GATCGACCTCGATAAACTAAGTCACCTCAACATCGTTAGACACTGTTTAGTCAGGTGAAACAAACAAAGCAAACCTTGAGTCGATCGGCCAGACGATGCAGGCGGGACGTGGTGACGCCGACGAGCTCAATGTCATCATCGTCGATCTCCATACTAACGCGGTTCTGAGGCGGTACCTTGGTGTTGTCGACAACCGGCATGCCATTGGTGGCAAACGGTTTGGAGACAGGCCAGCTCGGCGTAGCGGCGTCCTTGGGCAAGGCCTTGATGCGGGCGACGGCCAAATCATGGTCCGAGCGATGCAGGCGGGAAGTCTCCGCCGGGCGAGTCGTCATCGGTGAGACGATCTGATCGGTCGGAACCGGTGTGACAATCGGAGCTTTCGGGACAGGGACCGTGGAAGCCGAGCCAGGGCCCTGGTTGACAGTGAGCTTTTTGGCCAAGACTTCGACTGGTTCGACGTTTGCGGCAACGGTTGCGGCAACCTTTGCGGCAACATTTACGGCGAGCGAAGCCACGGCAGGTCGCGGCGGAGTTGGCACAGCCTCGGTAGAGTCCGTCGAGTGACTGGAGTCCTTCGAGTGACTGGAGGACAGCGATGTCTAAGCACAAGACATTAAAATCCAGACCAAACGAAGCGAAAAGAGGCAGGCAAGACCATACACGACGGCTGGCAGGGGCAGAGGACCCAAATATCTTGGAAACCGGCTAATACAAGTGTTTGTGACATCAACCAAGTGTGCAAACGTGTGCAAACTCAATGCCAGCAAAAACAGACGAAAAACAACGAGGGCGTACCAGAGTAGACCAGATGTCGAGGGCTTGATAGAATGCCTGGTGGTCTACGGCCACTTCTTCACCAGTTGTGGGGTCCTCGGGCAAAACATTGACCAAACGAAGTCCAGCGACGTATTCCTTGACGTTGCGGATGCCGTAGTGGGCAAGAAGACGACGGGCTGTTTCAAAGACGGTGCCAAAGGAGCTGGATGCTTGCCCGCCTTCCATTCTGAGTTGTTTTGGCCGAGATATCGAGATAACTTGTGTTTTTGCGTTGTCAGCAGGCACAGGTCGCACCGGTGGCACCAAGCAGGACTGGGGCATCCGGCAGGACCGGACAAGCAACAGCAAGACCATGCAAGACCATGCAAGACTAGGCAAGACTAGGCAATACCATTAGCAACGGCAAAACTAGGCAATACCATTAGCAACGGCAAGACTAGGCAAGACTAGGCAAGACTAGGCAATACCATTAGCAACGGCAAGACTAGGCAATACCATTAGCAACGGCAAGACTAGGCAAGACCATTAGCAACGGCAAGAGTAGGCAAGACTAGGCAAGACTAGGCAAGACTAGGCAAGACTAGGTAAGACTCGGCAAGACCAGGCAAGACCATTAGCAACGGCAAGACCAGGCAAGACCATTAGCAACGGTAAGACTAGGCAAGACCATTAGCAACGGCAAGACCAGGCAAGACCATTAGCAACAGCAAGACTAGGCAAGAATAGGCAAGACCATTAGCAACGGCAAGACTAGGCAAGACTTGGCAAGACCATTAGCAACGGCATAACTAGGCAAGACTAGGCAAGACAGAACTCCAGGCAAGGAAAGCAAGATCAGTCGAAGTGACCCCTCAAGCAAGCAACAGACAAGCAACAGGCAAGGACAGCAAACCAGAAGAGGCCATAGATCTCCAGGCATTCTATCAAGCCCTCGATATCAGGTCTACTACATTGTTTGAACACCAGGCATGAACACTAGGCATGAGCATGAGCGGCCCAATGCAAAGCAAAAAACAGACGAAAAAAAGAGCGAGGGCGCACCATGATAGACCAGATATCGAGGGCTTGATAGAAGACCTGGTGGTGTATGGCCACTTCATTCAGGGTTCTCGGGCAAAATTGGGCAATCACGGGCAATCACGGGCAAAACATACAAAAATCAGGCCTTGCACGCATCACAGTCCACATCGTCCACATCGTTCACATCGTTCACATCGTTCACATCGTTCACACCGTTCACATTGTTCACACCGTTCACACTGTTCACACAGTTCACAGCGGACATATGGTTGACAGTGGGCCCAACGCGTTTACAAAATTATTTTCTGCAACCATAGATACAACGGAATAACATGGCTATTCCGTTGGCAAATTCGCCATCGACATCGATCCCCCGTTCACATCGTTCACATCGTTCACCCCGTTCACACCGTTCACACCGTTTACACCGTTTACACCAATCACATTTGTTACAGCGGCAACAAGGGCAACAGCGGCCAACACACGAAACAGAGGCAACGCGATTCATTCAGTCAGCGCGGACCATTCAGGCAAGAATTGTGCAACCAGGACGGATCGTCCGTCCAGTTCCAGGTTTTGCAGAGACAGCAGCTTGATAACACTTCCTTACTACGACGCAAGAATCAATTGGCCTCGAAACAGGAAGCGGTCGGTCTCTCGTAGCAACTGCAATCATCATTTAACGCGTATGAATACGTGAATGCCACTCCACTCTTCCTCCAATAGCGCCCTTCAACCTGACTCGTCGCTTGCTTAACTCCTTCAAAACTTGCCAAAATCACCACGACTACTGAAAACTGAGAAAATGCTTAAAAGAGGGCGATCAGAAGACGAAGGAATAGAGTCAAGTAGCTCTGCTCCGCCTGCCAAATCTAATGGCCTAGGAAGGAGCTGGCATAGGACCAGACAACAAACCTCTCAACATTCTGCGACAACTCAAACTGAAGAGGTACGAATAAGTAGTTGTCGTTTAGGCTGCTTGAGGAAGGTTTTCAAAGAGGTTTTTCTTACTTTTGGCTCCTTTCAAACTATCCAGGAACACGATTCCTCGTTGAACTTTGACGTGTTGAGCAAATTGGAGCATCTCACTGCTTCTTTTCAAAGGATGGCTGATACTTCGTAAGCTTTCAGATCGTATCGATTTTACTTTTAAACGCCTCTTCTTATTCTGATTTTGCCCCTAGACTGTCCAGACTCGAGGATCTTGGGCGTCGAGTTGTAGAATTGGATGAGTCCATTCAGCGGATGGATGCCAATCCCTCTATCAACGAAGAACTCACAGCTCCTTCTTCGCATTCAATGGAAACAGCCCATGAAGAGGTCAAAGAACCTGAAACTCGCCAAAGATTACCTGAGGCGGTCAGGCTTCGTAAAAGCAAGTTATTCAAGGACGCGCTGCACAAACAGATGTTCAAGTCGTCATTTTACCCAAAGACGGTATGCTGTACTGTTAAGTGTGGAACCGCTGTGGTGTAGTGGACTTACAGTTTCTGTCTCAAAGAGCGATGTCATTGAAGAAGCGTCGCTGCATTCTTTGGGTGACAGGAAAGGTTATTTGGAGCTTTCGAAAGTCAAATCTGTACGTACTCTTGTCCTTATTTTATGGGCTGGATAGCAAACGCTTGACTTTATTTCGGCTGTAGGTTCGCCAGGGAATGTGGGAATATCGCAACCGCTTTAGGAAGACGCTGACCTATAATCTTGGCCCATTGCTCAAATTGACGTCAGAAGCAACGTATGAAGATGTCGAGGTTGCTTGTGGTGAGCTCTTGAACTCCAATAGTCACATTCACGGACCGAACGATGTGGCAAGTTTTATTATGAATGATCATAATCCTTGAGATTTAGATTTCTTACAAGCAAATTTTCTTTTGTAGAAATACACTTCTGAAGTACTTGGACGAGTACTACATCTTTTCTTCCCTGACGAGCTTCTGTCAAAATGGGCAATCACTGCTTATACAACACCTGCCATAGCATTCACTATCTCTGCTGTAAGTAGTGATCCGCACCCATTCACGCCACATGCAATTGCAAATGAGTGACTCTTAATTTCCATTAGCTCGACTTTTCCCTCCAGCACCCAGTTGATTCCAACCAGTCCGTTGGGTCACATGAATCGGTATACAACAACACGGTCAAAGAGCTAGAAGTCTTGCAAGATGCTGATCCTGAACAATATGAAGAAGTCTTACAAAGGTTGTGGGAGTATCGAACAGCTAAGGAGGAACAGGCTGTAGTAGCACCTTCGAGTAGTAATAGGAGTATCTCAGCTTCCACAAGCATCACCACCGCTCCAAGCACATTGACCTCAGAGCCTCAAGTCGATGCATCAGACACAGAAAATGAGAATGAGCCGGTACTGAGGGAGATTGAAAGGATTCTTCTTGGCATGGCACACCATAACTGAACGCTTCTCATGGCTATGGGTCTAAACTCATATCACGTCCATCATATGTTGTAGTAAATTGTATCTCATTCATGTATGATATCACGTATAAAACAACCTACATACCAGAAATCGAGATTTTTCATTTCTCTGAGTAGGTTTGAATTTATGAAGGTCTACATTTCACCGAGAATGTCCAGAATCCACTTTAAAGTCACATCCATTGCCGATATATATCACTCTGATCACTTATCATCAACATTGCGGAATTCACGTGTAAGACACGTCTATCGATGATTGGACTGAGCTGCAATGAATTCAAGCTTGCGTATTACACGTAATAGATTCTCCACCTCGCTTTTACAAAGATCTCGTGTGTTGCTTAAGCTTCCATTGCCAGTCACGAAACAGTTGACTTGGGAGTTAAGCTTCATCAATTGTGATGGCAATGAGGGCGGCAGTGAGGCATTGCCAACTCATCTATACATCTAACATTCCCTCACGCTCGGAAGCTTCTAGATCAACGATAGGTTGCCTAATCTCTCACAATGTTTCAAGTGCAAGATCTTTACGAACTGCTACATGGCATCAACCAACGATACGCGGCCAATCTAGTCCCAAAATAATTAATCATCAAGCTTCCATATGGCCTACAAGAACGACAAAAACAACCAATTTGGCCAAATCATCAACACCACGGACAAGGCACAATTCCACCACGACAACATCAGTAACAATACCCAACACAGTGGAAGAAATTGCAAAGATCAAAGTATTTACCAACTCTCAACCTGATCTGAAGCTACGCGCTATGGTCTTCAACGAGAATGGCGATATCTGTGAAATGGAAAAGGAGTTCAAGAAGCTAGAGTTGTGTACTGCTCATGGGCTGCTGCCACGGGACTTGCGGACTGTAAGGCTATTTCGTTAATACTCTAAGATCCATCTTTGATCGTGTGCTAAACTGGATCTTGATGTTTATAGATCGACTCAAGTTTTGGAGGCCATGTTTCGTCGATACTAGTCAGGAAGCATGCAATTGTGCTCCATCTGGGACATATTAGGTGTATTATAAAAGCAGACATGATGCTGCTAATCGGGGCTCCTGGTATGGACGCCAGTCATCAGAGTGCGTTTGTGTACGAGTTGCAGGGCAAACTCAAGTCAAGGGATTCTCCATTCTTTGAACATCGGTACGTTTTGTTTGTGCTTGAATCAGTTACAGTCTATACCTCTCTAATGAGTCGACGTTGCTCTCCTTGATTGCAAAAAAACCATACCCATAGTTTACAATTTGGATCTTTTACCAAACAACTCTCACCCCTTCTTTTATAGAGCGCTCGAAGCCGTCCTCCAAAACGTAATCAACGAACTCGACGAAACGAAAGAAGCCCTCCTTCCACCTATTGGTACGTTTGTCTGTGGTTGAACCAGTCTCGACCTATCTAATGAGTCGACTTGTGTGTTATAGAACACCTCCTTGAATCCCTCGCACAACACGTCGACAGAGATAAACTATTAGAACTCTTAGAATTCAGGCGTCGAATAACGAAATTCGAAAACAAAGTGACCTCATTACGTGAAACAATACAAGATTTACTTAATAACGATGAAGATTTGGCCGAGTCGTATCTGACAGAGAACAATGCGGGGAGGCCGAGACAGGAGAGCGATCATCTGGAGATTGAGTTTCTGTTGGAGCATTATATGAAAAGGATTGATGGTATGTGATCGATTCATGGCAACTTCGGCATGAAGCTCTTTTGGGCCTTTCGCTTACTCCTTTTGCTCTGTCATAGAAATCGCATATACCATCACGGAAGCATCAAACGGTATTTAAGAGAATTTCAATTCACTGGAAAGACCCCATTTTTGACTCTCGTATTCTCCCAATTAGGCATCGCATCGACCCAACTCATAACAAACATGATTCTGGCCTCACAGCGAAACCAACTGTTATTATTCGAAATCAAGATAACCCTCGCAACCATGGCTCTATCATCTGTAGCTGCTGTTGGTGAGTGACAAAATGAGTCTTGTAAAGTATAATGGTAAGCTGATATTCTCCTCCATACAGCATCTATATTTGGAATGAATATTCAGAACGGACTGGAAGGTTCGCATCCATCATTCTATGCCGTCGTAGGACTCAATGTCTGTGTCGCAGCATTCTTGTATCTAGCTACTACTAGTCGGATGAGGAGAATGTCGCAGAGTACGGGGTTCAAAATTAGTAAACGAAGCCCACTGCTTCCCCTCCTCAATGTTTCCGGAACCACAACTGCTACAAAGACCACATAGTATAGAAGGCATAGAATTTAGAAACTAATTCATTTACACGTAAAACTCTCAATGGCTGTTTCTTTTTATAATTCTACAATGTTTACAAACATTTTTTGTACAAGATTTTCGCAATAATTCTACAGTAATTTCAATACTCAAAATCATCCTCGTCGTCTTTACTCTTGCTGTTGCCAGTGTTGATGTTTTGAGCCTTGTACATGTCAGCAACCTGTGGTGGTGGGCAAAAAAGCAAGAATTAATGACTACGAAATAGTATGAGCGACTCCAAGTGACTTGAACAACTTGACTCATACAACACTAAAATGCCCTCAAAACACTTACCTGAGCAGCAGAAGTAGCTTGTTCTGGATTCTTGTCATCACGAATACGAATAAATCGAGGGAATCGTAAACTGATACCCTTGTTGGGATCAACCAAACCAGTACCAGCCTTGTGAACTGGAGAGATCGACAAGTCGGCAGCTTTGACTTCCCAGACCTAGAAATGTTATTGAAAAGACCACTTGAGTGTCAGCGTGCACGAAAAAAAAACGTGAGAACAGCTGGTAGCATACCTGCACAGGTTCAAACCAAACATCGGGCATCTCCTTTGGAGCATCACAATATGAGAAGTAAGCCTTGGGATGATCCATCTTGTGCTTGTTGAAGAATTCTGTATGTTTAGCCAAATCCTCGTCCGAGAATCCAGTTCCAATCTATGCACGAGAGTGAGCAAAAGCGTCGCTGAACCAAAAAACAACCGAGGAAAGATAACTGGAAAGACCTTGCAGATGCTCTGATACACTTCATTATCTTCATCATAGCATGCCAAGAGGTATCCTCCATAACCACCTGTTCGCTTTCCCTTGCCAATATATCCACCAATAACGACGAGATCTAGAGTATCGCCAACTCCAGACAAGTAATCTTTCTTCACCTAAGCAGAGGAAGAGAAAAAAAGAAAACATTGATTGGCAATACGCGGGATTAACATTGATTGGCAATTCGCAGGATCGCACCTTCAGCAAAACGCATACTCAATGACAACATACCTTGAGCCAATTCCTTGACCGTTTGCTAGGCTCATATGAAGCCTCCTTTTCCAAAGTCTTGACCATGAGGCCCTCACAGTTTCCTAGATGGAGTGCGCAAAAAAGGGAAACATCAACGACGAGACCCTTGCATCACAAGCAACTCATCACATACCAACAACACTCTCATCAAGGAAAGTCTGAATCTCAGCAACATCACCAGTGTCCATAGACTTGGCAAAGTGGAATTCGCCTTCAATTTCTTGAAAGTGCTTATGCAGCAACTCTCGTCGTTTGATGAGTGGTTCTTTGATCAATGGCTAAAAACCATTCAATTAGCGGGCAGTTACAGCGATGAATAACCAATTTTAACACAAACGTTACCTGACCATTCAAATACAACAAGTCAAACGCAAACACACAAACTTGTACTTGTACACCTTCAGTAGTGACATCCTTGCGTTTACGAGTACTTAATACTTGGAAGGGCAAGATACACTTCTTTTCACGATCCCAAGCTACAGCTTCGGCATCCAATACAAACGAAGTACATTCTTCTCCTAGTTTACCAATGTTTGGTAGACGATCCATTATATCGGGGTACTTGCCAGACAAGTTCTCAGAGTTTCGTGAGAATATGCGTCTGGATCCGTTACCCAATTGATGGATTTGAGCTCGTTCACCATCATATTTGTATTCACAAGTGAAGGTCATATTCTCGAATCTATCTAGGACTTCGGATAGGGCCTTTGTTGGATGTGCCAACATGGGTTTGAGTGGAATTCCTAGGTACAAGAAGTTGAGTTAATGACCAAAACGAAAAAGGCAGAGCAGACAAAAACATGTCCCAAAATTGGCTTGATCCTACCTGGAGTTAGCTTGCAAACATTCGGTAAATTCTGATATCCATTCTTTAACAATGCGGGAACGATTTCATCGTAATTTGGAAGCTCGCTACGAAAACCACAGATATGTGAGATCTGAATGTGGGCTTCACATGCTGTCACTTATATGTAGCTCATACCTGTAGACTTGTTTGATGATGGCAATAGCTTCAACAGTAGCAGCATCCAATTTCTCCTTGGAGATTTTCTTGTCTCCCAATTCAAACTGTACAGCAGCATTAGCCAAAGATATCAAAACGGTCTGTTCTGCAAGACCAATTCGAAGTTTGCCTTCCAGGGAACGAATGAGATACTTGGTCTCCGGTCCATTGCAAGCCACCATTAAGGAGCCAATCTTTTGAATCTTGCGAGCTTGCGACTATGGGGATGGGGGTTGTCGTCAGTTGGTGATATTAGCAGGCCTTCTCGTTTTTTTATCAACTTTTTCATCAGGACTTCCAACTTACACTGCCACCAGTAATCTCAGAAATCTCCTTCAAGGTCTTGAATACATTGCTTATTTTGAGTGCTTTGGGTTTAAACATGGTTTTCTGCGAGCTTCGACTCGACTGCAAAAAAAGAGATTAGTCTTCTGCATGAATGCAACCAATGCAAGTAATGTTTTTACCTGAGCAACTTTTCCTAAATCTCCCATAGTTTCAACATCAGCTTTGATTTTCGCAACTGTACGACCAGTAGCTTCACCCACAGCCTTCATCAAAATGGATTCACCAATACCAAGTTCTTTGCCCTCATACTCTGGTGATAACTAGGACCGATGCATGGAACGAATATCAGTCCTGGTTCGAGGTAGAAAATTAACCAAGGAAGAACTTACTCGATTGATACAAAGATAGATACACTGCAACAAGTCTTTTGGTGACTGACGCATCACATTCACAAAGAATTTTGTGAGGATGGCTTGAATCTCGAGTCTATGAAGGCGAGCAAGTGAGCGAGTGAGTGTCGAAAATGACCTGTTTTATGATAGATTGGTTTTTTTTGCACTGACCGTTTAGTGGTAGCTTCCACTTTCTCAAACATATCACATAGGGCAGAGTACGCAACACTACAAGAATGTGGGTGAGAAAATTGGTCGAGATCACATATAGAGTCGGTAGTAGATCACCTTTCGCCAGCTTTGAAACCCGGATCAGCAGCCGAGGACGAAGGTCTATGATTGTGATTGCAAAAAAAATTAACAACTGATTAGAGAAAAATGTCGCGAAACGTACTGCATCGATAAATTGGGAGCATTGGACGCTGTGGCAGGAAGCTCTTCATCACCATCTGTATCCGAATCGTTTGCGGCATCTTCCTTTCCGTCTGGATGAATATGTAAATGTGGTAATATGAGGATGATGTGTCCATGTGACAAATAGTGAGAAGCGCTTGCCTTGATCTGTAGATTGTAAAAAAGCGTTAAGTAGGTTTGGAAGATGTTAAGACCCACCCTCTACTTAAGAAATGCATCGTTTACCTGCAGATTTTATGGCCGAGTTAGGTGTCTTGACATCCTTCTTAGCCTTTTTAGCTGAACGGGCTTCGTCTTTACTATATGCGGGAGAACTCCTCTTTGCAGGATGACGAGCCTCGTCTTCACCATCAACCTACAGTTGTGGGTCAAAGTGAGTGACTGAGAGCCAAAAAAAGGCGACAACGTTGTGGTTTTATACGTTTGGGAGAGCTTCCGTTTGTTTAGAATCAGGCGCCTCGTCCATATCAGTATCTGAATCATCTACGACACGGCGCCTTCGTTCTAACAATCGAAGGATTGAGTGGGAGCAAAATAAGATCAAGTTCGGCAATAGACAAAAGGTCAATATGGAGCATACTTGAATCCTTCTTTTCTACCGCAGCATCAGGAGATAATGGGACTGCATTCTCCTTTGATATCTTGTCACGGCCAGCTGCATCATTGTCAACATTAGATGTCTTTTTGGTAGCTAGCGAAGCTCCTCCTCCACCAAAGAAGGCTCTATAGATGGTAAGATATATTTAGAGACACAAGATAATAAAATTACATGCTTAAGATATACGAATAACAAGAATGACGAATGATCTTACGAGAGCGTAGTCTGCTTCTTGCTCATTGAGAAATGAGCTCGACAAGTGATTGAGGATGGAGAAGCAAAGACAGCCAATCGCCAGTGATGCTGTCGTAAAAAGAGACGCGCCAGTTAAATCTTGCTAGCAATGGCTACTTGCTAAGACCTTTCCAATGATTGTGCTGGGTTGAGCTCAATGAGTGATCGAGAGGAAAAGACATGGTCCGGACGCGATTATATGTATTATTTTAATGAATTAAAATGTAATTAGGCGCATTTGACCTATACCAGCTATGAAAGGATCCGAACTTTGAAGACTAGTGATTTGGATTCCGTGATTTGACTTCCACCACGAGTTTGACGTGTCTACGTGTAAATCTCGTCTCAGAAGACTGGAAATAAGCTTCAAGAGCAGAATCTTCTCGTCATCTTCATTATTCACTCATTCTCTCCTACGAGTTGACACTTGAAGGTCCGAAAAGTTCACAAGCTGGAGACGACGACAATGTCTCTGTTAAAGTACATTGGACTGGCAAGTATTCCGTATACAGTTGCTGCTACCACCTCGTTCTGACTCTTATTCTCTCGCTTTACTAGAACAATGCCAATTCCAAACCAACTGGAAATACAGAGTGGATGAATGTTGGCAATGAGAGATACTTTGGACTCGAGAACGTGAGAACCACCAACTGCAAATTACAGCTCGCATTGACTGTTTCCTGACTCTCCTTCATCCTTCTAGTTTGGCAATACCTGGTAAGGCACCCATAACATTCATCAAAAACACATCTGGTTAAACACTCGTTTCTTGCTATGCTACCATATTTAACCTTCTTCTTCCAAATCAGCTATTGCAATTCAGTCCTACAAGCACTATACTTTTGCAAACCATTTCGGGAATGCTTAAGAGCCTACAGCTACCCAATGTCGGCTGCTCTACTCGCTGCTGCTGCCGAAAACCCTTCTTCAAATCCTTACGCCATGGCCGCAAAGACTGCCGGATCAGGCTCGCTCCCCAACGGCCTGAATGGAATTGTCAATGGCTTACCCAACAAACCAAATGGACTGTTACCAACTACCGACGCCAAACGAGACAAGAAACAGTCGGTAGTCGCGCTACCTGGTAGAGGGAAACCAGTACCTCCTGATAAGAATGCTGCCCCTAATGGTGGAGCTGATGCTGTTGGAGAGGGTTCTGATGACGAAACGATCTTGTCGGCAATTCAAGACTTGTTTCTCAAAATCGTGTCGCAAAAGAAGAGAACGGGAACTATAGCACCTACTCAGTTTGTGAATAAACTGAAAAAGGAGAATGGTATGTGTATTGTAGAGGGTTTTGCGCTTGACGAACCGTCATTGTTCTCCATTAATTTTTTTTGGTTGCTTCTTTGTAGAATTGTTTCGGAGTAGTCAACATCAGGATGCACATGAATTTCTAAATTATACTCTGAATGCTATTGGTGAAATACTCGTGAGGCAGCAGAATGAATTCAGAGAAAAGATCAAGTCTGCCAGTGACGGTAAAGTGAATGATACTCCTGGTATGGCTTCTAGTACAGAAGGTAATACAGATGATAATAATGTGTGTTGGGGTAACGGTCAATGGGAGACTCACTTCAAGTCAACTTCTTCCAAACGTAGATGAAAGGAGTACCAAATCAGCACCAAAAACGCCATCTAGTTGGGTGCATGAGCTATTTGAAGGGCTACTGACGAATGAAACCAAGTGTCTGACGTGTGAAACTGTAGGCTCATAGTTCTACTACCCATTTGTCCCCCAGTTTTTTTGGCCTCACCGTATTTTGCAAATAGGTCACGGATCGTGATGAAGCCTTTCTAGATTTATCGATAGATGTAGAACAGCATTCATCACTCACCGCCTGTCTACGTAACTTTTCATCATCCGAAACATTATGCCATCGTAACAAGTTCTTTTGTGATACTTGCGGTTCATTACAAGAAGCAGAAAAAAGGTAGCCGTTGGTGGAGCTCTATATATATATCGGTTACTAAACGCTTTGTTGCCTCGTTAGGATGAAGGTGAAGAAACTGCCGAACGTATTGTCAGTCCACTTGAAGAGATTCAAGTATCAGGAAAAGTTACAGAGATACGTCAAGCTGGGATATCGAGTCGTGTTTCCTATGGAGCTAAGGCTTTTCAATACCGTAAGGGAGACAGAGAACATCGTTTTGTCTTGGGGAAAAAAATCTCGCTCACCAAGGTCGTGTGCTGACCCAGCTTTGCATCTAGGCCGATGATACACCAGATCCAGACAGACTGTACAACCTGTTTGCCATAATAGTACATATTGGAAGTGGACCGTATCATGGGCATTACATTGCAGTCGTCAAGAGCCAGGAGCAATGGCTCAAATATGACGATGATAGCGTTGAGCCTATTGAGGAAGTAGAATTGGCTCAATACTTTGGAGAAAGCAATACTTCTGGATGTGGCTACATCTTCTTTTATCAAGCTGCTGATTACGATGTCTCTAAAACAGTCAAGATTATGAGAACGAACGAGGACGGTACCAGCAGCAGCACTCAAAACGTGGATTCATACGATACGGAATCTACCATGATGGGAGGAGGCAATCATAGTAACATAAATAGTCCTCTAGCACCATCCATACCGCCAACACCAGCTTCATTTGCATCCAGTAGCTCGACATTGATACCGCCACTAAATCTCGGACCATCACCATTACCATCCAATATACTACCGCCCACAAATCCACCTATAACGACACCGCCGCCGCCATTACCCAATCCGACAGCTGCACAAAACTTGATTGGATCTATGAGGAAGAGAAGTAAAGTCTTGACGAAGAACGGGATGGTAGATGATAGTTCTAGTATCTTGACATCATCTACATCCTCGTCTACGAATCCGATTCCAGATTCGTCAACTGAGTCTGGTAGTATGAATGGTGGTGCTAATGGTAATAATAGTAAAGAGGGATGGGGTTCGTGGTTTGCTAAACGAGATTCTAAAACTGGCAAACAACTGTCTGCCAGTGGAACGACCTCAAAATAATGAAAAATTGTATATTCTCCTTTTTAGTATACGCACGTAGAATAATTGTTACAAAAGGTCATTTGGTGACATCGTTTGTTTGGAGGGTCTTTTGTTGGGTGGAATTTGTTGCGCTACTAGTGACGGTTCTTTGTAGTGGCCTGGCGTGATAGATGCAACTTCCAATCCAAATATCATGGCGTGATTATTTAAAAATATGCTGACATTTCCTCTCTATATTCTTTTGCGTCCAACACCTATCAAATATACAAAACACCCCAGCTACTCAAACTTGAACAAATGATGGACAACCCACCCTCAAACCACGAAGAAGAACGAGATCCACACATCGCAGCACACCTCCCCACCGAGATCCTCATCGAAATCTTCGAGTACCTCGCCGACTCACCCCAAAACCTCTACACGCTTTCCCTTATAAATACGAAATGGTCTGATGTCGCAACCAAATACCTATATCATCAAGTGCCCTTCAATGCCAACAGACCTCACCGAATGCGTATCGATCTCGTCATTCGGGTTCCATATGCAATGAGTGAGACGAGTCAACGCTTGTTACGACATTTGGTGTCGAGGCAATTGTCGGCGAGGTTGAGAGGGTGTATTCAAGTTGTCAATTGGAAGATGTTGAGGTTTGACTACAGGTTGTAAGTATCTGACATTGGGATTTTAGTTATGGTGGCTTATGTGGTTGGTTGGGTTGGTAGATGGTGAACAGTGACGCTCACAGTTCTTTACCTGTTCGTATAGATCGATACAGTCTTTACGAATGTTGGCTCAATGCTGTCCAAATTTGACTGATATTCAAATGGAGGTAATGCTTTATTCTCAACTACTTCGCATGCCAACAACAGCAGACAAAAAACCCACACGCAATAAATTATCAATTGCAACATTGCAATTGTTGCATTGTTGATTTATTCTCAACTTCTTCTCACAAATTCTCACCTCACACACACACACACACACCAAACTTCCAAATAGGGTGAAGACATGATGGCAGCCTTCGAATTCGTATCCTACTTCATAGATCCATGCACCCCCTTCCAAAATCTCCAATCTCTCGATTTGAACATCGTTGGATTCCCAGCTCCTCGCCAATGGAGTCCACCACGATGGACGTCTCTCGCGCGTAAATTTGTCAATTTGACGGATTTATGTATCACCATCAACGATCCAGCTGCAAATATAAGGCACTTTGTCATGGGCTTGCGATTGAAGCACTTTTGGATTAGAGGGGCTCGGCATCGAAGTGGGAGCTTTCACGAGTATGTGAATCTGTGATGTATATGGGGTTTTTTGGGTGGTTGGTAACGCTTTCGTTTTTTATAGGTTTCATACACCATTGAATGCTCAACTACTGGAAGCGCTACAAGCTCGAAGCAAAAACACACTACAATACATCCAGCTATCAGACGTCATATTGGAAGGTTTGACAGCAGATACCTTTTCCAACTTTCCAAATCTCAAAGGTCTGCATTTGGAGGAGGTCGACATACGATGTGGTAATTAGGAGTGTCTGTCAAATTTTTTTCCTCCATTGTCTTACAAATCTGCTATATTAGACATGACGTCCATGTTGACTCAACCATCCCAACACCTCCAACAAATACAAATCTGTGAAAATTCGAGATTGCTTGTGTCAGACCTGAACGCCATATTTTCCCACCACTCCCAAACCATCAAGCTCTTACACGCTGGAGGTTTCCGAGCCTGGGATGTGAACGAAACGTCCACAATCCACAGACTCAAAGATTGCTATACCCGTATCGTCCTGTCAAGACCACTATTCGATACCACGAATGTATTTCCAAAATTGAAATCATTGTGTTTGAGTACCCCTGATGCCGTCAAGGGTGATTTGGAATACTTTGTCAAGGAACGTGGTGCTCAACTTACGTCGTTGACACTTGTCAATTGTCAACAATACCATGAACGACGACGTATCCCATTGCTTGATATCAGTATTATACATCGGTATTGTCCAAACTTGGAGTATATCTGCCTTTGGTGGTTTTGCACAAACGATAATAATGGGTTGTCAGCTGAAACTTTGCATCGTATGATATCGAGCTTGTATAAGTTGAAGGAATTGAGGCTCGATGGTCGTTGGTAAGAACTTAGCTACATGTGCTCGAACTGTTGGTCGGTTCTTTTGCATGGATTCGAGTGCTAATAACCCCTTTTTGCATACGCTAGGTATCACATTAGTGAAACATTATTGGCTGCAATTATGGAACGAGCAAAGAATGCTAAAGCTGCTCGTCTCTTGTTGCAAGCTGATTATTCTTGGGAGCCATTCATAGAAGATTCTATCCGAGAAGCCAGCGGTGGCATGGTTACCTTGCAATGAGAGAGAAGTGCACATGAAATTTATTTGATGATTTGGTTGCAAGGTTGGCTATGCTTGCTTTTGCAAACAATGGGAAGTGTAATGAATTAGCTGGTTGGGGGTTTTCGCTGTGCTGCTGTAAGTAGCAGGAAGAGGAGCATGGACGCTAGCTCTAGATCAGTTGTAGAACGTAGCTTAATGTATGGTTTGCTGTCTGTTGTGCTTCTTATATCCGATATATGTATAGCAAGATTAAACATACTTAAACATGGTTTGAACAAGGCTCAAAGACAAGGAATTATTATAGGAAGTACTTGATGATGATACTATATTCTATGATGAAGCCAAAAGATACACTCTACTCCGCATCATATAATAATGCTGTACAATATTGAGCTGAAGTAACCACAATTACCCACTATCAGTCAAACGTTATATACTGCCTGGTGCTATTTATAAGCACCTTCCAATACGCTCCCTTATAAGTCTTATTAACCAGAATCTCAGCAGCTGCCAGCGTATCATCAACCAGATGTTTCGCCTCCTCACGTTCTTCCACTTCGCTTATCGATTTAATAGCACTATTAGCATTGCTTGCATACTTGTTGAATGCAATTCTGGCTACATCAAGCTCTTGCTGTCCAGCTGGATATCCAGCACCCGAGCCTCCAGAGACTACATTGAGTAGAGTCATTATAAGGGTGGTTGAAACACGAGAGTCTTTGGCGTTACGGTATGTAGCGACGAAAGAGTTTAGCTCGTGTAAGAGAGTGTTGGATGCTTGTTTTAGGGCTTGCATTCTGTGTGTTTGAACGAGTTGCGGCGGTTGGTTTGACAAAGATTTCAGCGTCACACAAACGCGACGGTACAAAGTCGGTCGTAGTGTGCCAACAAAGACAAGTGCTAGTATTGATGCGTTGCTGGTCGATCTTCCTCACTTCCTCGGGTATGCAGCATTCCGCCAAAACGAAGGTACCATTTTGGAGACAACTTTTGGATGCTTTGTTTTGTATACATGATCCCATTTCAGATCAAGCTTCTGCACATTGTGATATCAATTTCTCTATCGATGAAAGCTCTTTATACGACCAACTCACTTGCAAACGACACACTAACGACACTGCCAGTTTTCGTTGATACAAATGAAACAAAAGTCACTCATAAAGCTCCTGATTCTCCTCGTTGTAGTACTCGTAATCTTGAACGTATACTATAATGTACCATCTAAACAATCGATAGATCCTCCTTTGGTCCATTTCAAACCTGTAGTGTCTCCAATCGAAACATTGCAAATCCCAAAAACCGTGCATCAGACTTCAGCCAAATCTACCCTTGACGACAGGATGAAATCATGGCAGGATATGAATCCTGGATACGACTATATATTGTGGTCTGATGCGCAAGTGGATTCCTTTGTTTCGACTGAGTTTCCTGAACATTATTTGGACTTTGCACGATTACCAAAACCTGTAGGTGGGGACGTGACCGTTTCGTGTGAGATTGTCCTGACGTATATTTGCACTGACAGGTTTACAAGGCAGATTTATTTCGATACTTGCTGCTGTACAAACTTGGTGGCATTGTAAGTGCTTCCTCTTGATGTCGACTGATAGATATATGTTCAACACTTAACGCACTCTCTCATATAGTATTCAGATACAGACACTCAATGTCTCAAGCCAATATCAACATGGACGAATGACGCCCCCAATATGATTATCGGAATTGAATTGGACTCAAGTGAACCACTACCTGGACTTAAACATCGATTGCAATTCGTGCAGTGGACTATGGCTGCATCTCCACGGCATCCATTGATGCAGATGGTCATTGAGCACGTCATGAGGAAACTGCAGTCGGCACCAATAGGAGCGTTGGAGAGTGCGACTGAATTTGAATTGGAGGTATGGATCCACTCTCGTCGTGAAGGGCAGTAAGCATCTTCAGAAACTGACAATGATTTTCATTTTCAATGTAGACATATACCGGACCAGCGATATTCACCGAAGCAATATACGCATGGCTGAAACTCGAAGGAATTGAATGGTCTGCCCTCCAACGACTAAGAGGCCCCCGCACAATCCGCGATGTGCTCTTCCTCCCCATAACAAGCTTCAATCCCACCAACACAAACATGGGCTCTGATGGACCGTGCAACAACTGGGCCTTCGTGATGCATAACTTTGCTGGATCTTGGAGAGCTGATGATTCGAAATTCAAGCTTGATACGCTTATTGCTGATCGCGGGACTGTCGTGCTGCAGGCTGGGGATGTTATAGCGGTTGTGGATCGCAGAAGGGGGTTGGTGAAGGATGAGGATGGGAGGGAGGTTAGGTTTACTTTTGTTCAGGTTACGAAGGAGATACGAGTTGGGAGGCGGGTGTTGTGGCAGAGTTTGTTTGCTAGCCCGTGGGTGAGTGATTTAGTCGCTAGTCGATTGTTATATAACCTTCGTTATTGACTTTTTTTCGCTAGGAATTCGATGGTCAACGCCATGTAAAGATAAAACAAGTTGAAACAACTCTTGTCAAGTTTAAGCAGATACCTGAATCTGAAGAACTCGAATACTGTTTGAATGATATTATAACTGATACGAATGGATCTATATTTAGAATACGTGTTGTAGATATTCCAGAAGGCTCATTGTTTGTCGAGCTCAAACAGGAGGATTTCGACACCATAACGAGGTGGGCCATAAGTGCTCGAGATTACGGGCAGATTTGGAATGGAGCTTATTGTTTATACTCAGAGACAAGGGGGCCGACGTGTTTGCCACCAGTCTTGTTCTAAATAATTGTTTATAACTTGTATATGACATGTAAACCTTGTAAATAACGTATTTTTTGCATGGAAATTGTATCGAAGGGGCCAAATTCGTATCTTAATTGGTCATGTAATGGCAACGCCTGTCGATCGCTATCTCGCGCTTTACCAGCGAGGATGATCACGTCGAATTAACGATTTGAACGAACTGTACACAGATATTCCGGCCAAAACTCACGTCTCAACGCAATTCTAGCTTTCTTTCCTCCCAGCTTCGCTCGGTGCATTGAACTTAGCTTGTCCTCAACACAAAGAAATCACAGCTCGTCCAAAGCTCGAAACTGTAACATATGGAATGGTGTCATCCACAAGATGGCTACGACGTGTGGCACTTCCCTTTCTGTTCATAGCACTACTCATAGTCTGCTACCTCCACCATCAACCTCGTCAACTTGCAAAAGAAGTGCAGACGCCAATAGTACAACCAATCATCCACGAACCAACTCACGAAGGCCGCATACCGAGGATACTTCATCAGACTGGCAAGACTGGAGCTCAATTTGAAGAAAAGACGATTGTGCGAGTCAATACGTGGAAGAAATTAAATCAGGACTGGAGGTACCGGTTTTGGACGGATGAGGAAATTGAGGTGTTTGTGAGAGACGAGTTTCCAGAGTATTTTGTTGCTTTTTCGAGGTTGCCTCGTCCTGTACGTAAAGATTTGGTTTGAATCAGTGTGAATGCAGTGCTTGAACAAAACGAGCTTACGCTCGTTGTTTTATCTGTTAGATATTTAAAGCAGATGTATTCAGATATCTCGTTATATTGAAATATGGTGGTGTTTACGCTGATCTAGACACTGAATGCCTCAAACCCATATCGAAATGGACGTATGAGCATAATCACGTCGATGCAATCATTGGAATGGAGTTTACAGATGGTAAGCACTTGCATCTTGCAGCGTTTGTACAGAAATCACTAACATCTTAAGTCTGCAACAGACGAACACCTCGAAATCCTCCCCGAAACAATCCAATTCTGCCAATGGGTATTCGCTGCTCGTGCCAACCACCCTTTAATACAAACAGTCGTATCATATGTATTCGAACGCCTAAAGGGACTCAGTACAGCATATATGGAGTCCGCCAATGAAGCCGCAGTACTGGATATCACTGGGCCGGTAGTTTGGACACGAGCAGTGTTTTCGTATCTGAATAGGATTGAAAAGTTTGGAAAGACGAATCTGAGATATATGCGAACGTCGTATCTGTATCATTCAGTGACGTCGGAGAATGTATTGGTGTTGAGTACGACGGGGTTTAATCCGACGAATGTGTGGAATGGGGCAGGTAAAACGCCGTGGCCCGATACCGTGTCTTCTTTTTTGCCTACAGGATTTATCTCAACCTTTTTATTTTGAAATCGCAACAGAAGGACCATGCAGTCCATACGCAATGGTACTACACAGATTCTCAGGCTCGTGGCGCGCTGCAGACTCGGTTTTTAATTCCACGCAGGACAGTCACTTGATATCAAAGGGCACAGTGCTATTCGAGGTTGGTGATATCCTGCCGTTTGTCGATATGCCACCTATGATGGATATCATGACTCATGGACGGAAAGGAAACTTTCGGTTTGTGCTAGTTGAGCTGACACGGCCGTACCAATTGAGCTATGCGTTGCCATGGAGTGATTTGATGGGCAAGCCACTCGTAAGCTAGGTTGTCCGCATGATTCTTTTTTATCCTTGACTAAATCTGTCACCTTCGCTCACAGGAACAATTCTCAACACGAGCCCTCAACGCAACGTCCAAATCAATCGGCTTCCTCCTCCCACACTCGACAACACACGAACGCAGATACTGCCTTGACGATCTAATCCTAAACGGCATCAAACAACCTTTCGTGCTGGGCGTAACTAGACGTCCCGTTCGCCCTGAACTCGTAGATCAGCTCCCGCTGGGTCGGGAATCTAGTGAATTAATGGTGGAAATACTGGAAGAGAGTAGACGGTATCTGTCGTTCGTGTCTCGTTTGACGAGGGAACGGAAACGAGAGTATGGACTTGTGTGGCAGAGTAGTTATTGCCTGCAAGTAGAGGCGAGGTTTGAGAATAATACGTGTCGCCCGCCACGGCATTTTGGTATATAGGTTGGGTCATTGCATGTTGTAAATAGTAGCAGAATTTATCTTTAATAATCACTTGAATAGTCAGATGAAAAAACCTCAAACTCTCAATTATGCAGAATTAGAACAAACCTTGTTAAACTTTTGCTCAGTGTTGCTGCAAACGTAGCATATACAATTTCTAAATAACAAATCATAGTCTACTCTTTGACCACCATCTTATTTACCCTTTAACTCACATATTCCTATCCGCCAAATCAGCCTTATGGTGAATCAAACGACTCTGAATAAACTTGATCTCGGCCCTAAGTTTCTCCATCTCCTTCTCTAGGCCCATCCTCTCACCACGGAATCTTTCAGCGCTCTTCTTGAAATCCATTGTCTTTTTGGCTTCCTTTTTACCCATTATTGATATCTGAGACTATTGGAAAGGGTTTGTGCCTTAGGGATTAAAAAATAGGAACAGAATACTGAACATGCTTACGAGAGAATCATCTTCACTAGCAGACTGCGTATCACTGCATGGCACTTCTTGACCTTCTTCTGATACAGTACTCAATCCAACTGCTTCTGGAACTAACGTGCTGATACTGTCTTGACTTATGATATTAGGTTTCATTGCATCGTTTGGCAATGATTCCTCTTCATCTCGTTTCGTAGCCAAGGCCAATGCTATTTGTACAGCCAGACGAAGTATATGTGGAGCATTTACGAGGTTCTTCACATTATGGCATGAATCACATGGTCCAAAGTTCTCAGCAAGTGACTCGCTGGGTCGTACGGTAATAGTCGATGTGTTATCAGCTACACTTGACTCGCCTTCATCACGAGACTCTTCAATTGTGGTTTTTGATTTGTCTTCGGGTATCGACTCTTGAAGTTTATCAGATATCTCAACGGGATGTGATGATACTGCAGCTTCGAATGATGTTGCAGACAGTTTGAAGACAGGGAGACATTTACTGTCACCACCACCAATCTTGGTGAGCCCGAATGGATCTTGTAGAGACGAGCTGTTGCCTTGAGTTAATGCTGGTGTACCAAACAATGTGTTGCCCAATGCTGATGTTTTCTCAGCAACGCCTTCAGATGATAGCTTGAATCGGGGAGTTGTTGAGACATGAGGAAGTCCAAACGGATTGTTGTCAACAGGTTGCGTAGTAGATGTAGCTGATGCTTGAGGAGCCCATAGTGAGCCGAATGGTGTTGTTGAAACCAGTGGCTAGGATTAGAGATGGCGGCTTTAAATAGGCGAGAAAACAACAAGCTGATGCGAGGCAAGGATGGCTTGATACCAATTCAAATCATCGAATCACACATACCTGTGACGGAGTTGCAAAACTAAAACTTGGGAAAGCACTTCCAGCAGTAGCGGACATCACTGGCACAAGTGAAGTCAATGGTGAGACATCACTTCCAAACAAATTGGCAGCTGCCGTTGTCGTTGGGCCAACATCTTGAGTTGTTGGTGCAATCTGTGATATGTCCTTGGCTGTCATGGATATTGATCGATGTGGAGAAATGGGCGAGGTCGATACAGAGCCACGAGAGTCGTTGATTACTTTAGACACTGCGGCCGCATGATCAATTCCGTCCACGAGGATCAACTAGAATAGAGGAAGAACAGTGGCAGTTTAATAATTTGGCGATTCCTGAATTGCACTAGATGTACAAAACAAGGATGTCACCCACGCACCATATACTCCATACTGTGGGACGAAAGCAATTTACTGACGAGTAGCATACGCGATGCATAATCAAGTCTGCAAGTCAACGATCCATCGAGAACAGTACTAAGCAAAACTACGGACTTTTCCAGAGTCTTCAACACCACAAAAGAATTTCGATCCTCATCATTCAACACTACAAGTTTAGCCCTTCCCAAGTTGACAAGATGTTCATCCTGATTAAGCACAATTACATCCACCACACAAGACGCAACATCAATCACCTCTTGACTGGCCACTCCTTCACTGATATAAATCGAGTTCTCAGACTTAAGGGTGTCAACCAACGAGTACAAGCACTCGATTCGTTTCTTGTTTACGACATCCACAAAAGTTTCAGCCAGTTCAGGGGTCTTGAGCTGCAAGTAATAGAATTGCGGTATTCCTTCCATTGACTCGAATGATAAGAAGGCTTGTACTTTATGCACTATTTCTACACGACATGCTGGTGTTATGAGCGTCTCGAAGCATTTCGTATGGGTTACGTCGAGTGTTAGGGTAATAAATGGGATTCCCTTGCTGACTATTATGCGGAGGAGACTCTTGCCGAGGCGTCTATCTTCCGATTGAGCACCAGGACGTAAACGATGGATGGGATGCGTATATGAGGAGAATAGGATTTCGGCAGTGTTTGCGACTTCATCGTCCTTTGATGGCTCGAGTGATTTACCAGCATTCACTCTCTCAGCAATAGCCTTGTTGTTTTCAATACAGTATTGCATGAAGGCTTCGATATAGTTGTACTTTTCAACGACGATATTGAGACCAGAGTTCTTGCCTGTCTTTTCATTCAGTAGATTTGGAGCAAACAGTTGAGCTAGAGTCTTGGCAGTCATCCTGTTTGACTCGGTGTGTCGAACTAACTGACTACAAAAATCACATAGATAAGTCCATATACGACGGCGATCCAAATCAAATCTCGTAGTTAAAAAGTTGGCGACCACAGAGTCATTTAAATCGCTTCCTAGTCTTTGGATTTCCTTCGATATGGTCTCTGGAATGAAACTGTCTGGGATATACCGTATAAATCTCTTTATAATGTTTGCCACCTCGTAAGTGAATTCTGCAGCAGATTTCGGTTGAAATACATCTGCGTCGAGGTCAGCACGAACATCCTTGGATGTTGTAGTCGACATGTCTTGCTTGGGTCGGAGATCTTTGAGCCTCGTCGCCATGATTTTCAGAAACTCTACAAGTGGGACATCTTCTATGGGTTCGTGAGTATATACGGCAATCCATCGAGTCCTAGACAATTCGAGCTCGATGATATCCATATATGCTTTAGCACCAGGTTTCCTATCAAATTTTTATATTATCAGACACAGAGCAAAAACAAGGCATAGCCCAGGTGGATGTACCTGAAGAGCCCTTCAGTGGTGCTCCCATACTGAAGTAAATATTCACACATTCTTCCCAACACGAGTGGAATGCTCAAGACCAAGCCAAAAGAAGTCTGGAAAGTTTTATGAGGCAGCTTGTCCAGAGCAACCGCGAATCTTACAGCCTCATACTCAGCAACGAGCGTATCATCGGCAACAGGTGCAGTATTGATACGATCTGACGTTGCGGTGACTAAAGCAGGATGCTTAACAGTTACTATAATTGTTTCTTGTTAGCAGCAGCAAGATGCTCACGTTGTGGAAGAGAACGTCTTATGAAGGCTTCCTCTCCTGACGTGAGCTGGAATGAGAGGATCTCGGCACCAATAGTCAGATGCAATACCAATCCACCTACAGAAAACCACAGAGTGAGAAAATAAGCCAATAATTGAAGAATGTATGCTAATTCAGCCCACCATGATCTTTCAGCTCCGACAAGATTGCTTTAACATGTTCCTTTTTTATTGGAACGTACAACAGCTTTCTTGGAGAGTCTCTCTTCTTTTGTCGTTCAACAAGCACGACAGTGTCTTCAAGCAGTATCAGCGATACTTCGATAAGGCCTGTTGTGTCGAGCAGAGACTTTGCTGATTTAGGGTACATGTAGCAGTCTGTATGGCCGAGATACTTGGGTGGACGAGGCACTGGGCAGCCTGCAAAGTCTTGAGGTTGACATAGCATCGTGATGATCGACTATGAAAAAGAAGGTTCTGTATATTTTGAACATACTCCAGCTGCATCAAAACTTCCTCCAAATTACCTTTGATTCCTTTGATACAACGGTCGGAACGAGACAAGACTTTGTGGCTAGATTAGACTCCAACATTACAATATCCGAAACTTGACACTCAACACCAATGTTGCTATAGCAGCTCTTGACGAGGTTTGAAAGTTGGGCCACTAATGCATCCACAGCGGTGTCTCCTTTCAGCCTACACCATCGATTCACATAGAATTCTGCCATGATGACTTGTCTAAGAGGCAGGTACATGTTTTCTATAACATTCCCACAACCATTCAATAGATGTGGATTGGTTGCCATTGTCGTCTTGATGTGCTCCAAATGACTTGCAAAGGTCTTTATGTACAACGCCATGCTGGGATTGGCAATTGTGGGTATGAATCGATTAAGGTCGACCTTCGTTGAGCTATGGTATGGATTTGAAGGTATGACACTTTTCAGAGCTGCTATCACTTTATGAACTGCGGAAGAATCTGCGGATGCTTGCGTCAAGTTCTAATGTGAAATATGGTTTAAGGAGTTTGTTCTCGGTTCGAAATTAGAGGCAGGGCTTACATTGACAAAGGTCTGTAAATCCTTGAGAATGGCAGAGTTGGTAACGAGACAGGTTGTCCAGAGCGCATCAATGGAATCTACCTGCAATTTCATCGCGTCATTCGGGCCACTGAGGTTCAAAGAGCAATATTTGACAGCGAACTTACGTATCTATGCGGATGTTCTCTATCATACGATGGTACTTGAAATTTCTACGGAGATGGAAAGTCAGTTGGCAAGTTGTCGGCGAAAATCACAGATCTGAGTTCTACTTGATTCTCGAGTGCAAAACCAAGAAATTTCTAATGAATACAATACATGGTGTTAGTGAATGGCCTGCGAATGTAAAATAACAGAATTCTCCAACCTTTGTGGTATTGTTTGCTTCCTCAGTGACCACCGTTTGCTTCTTTGCATTCGTCGTTCCAACACGTCCAAATCTAGAAGTCTCATATGGAGCTTGCCTTGTGGATGGTGGTGACGGTCGAACAACATGACTTGCAACGACATTTGATGCTGGTGATGTTGTCGAGGTGACTGATGGCGCGGCAGTAGAGATCGAAGGAGAGATATGAAGTGGGCGGTGGCCATCTAAACTGTCTCTTCTTACAGGCGTTGGGACCATATTCTGACGTTGGCCAGGGATTCTTGTATTCTGCAAAACATTATTGGGATTGGGCGGTGTTGCCTTTGAGGGATTTCCAGACGGTGTCAAGCTAAAGCTATAGGATGGACTGGTCGCTGACGGCGTAGAAGTCACACTGAGACCACACCGTCCATCGCTCGAACTCGTTCTATCCTCCATTTGCCTAATTTTCAAACCCAGCTAGTGAGACTTTTGTCTTTGACGCGAAACAGTTACATAGAGCACGGACGAGTTACAACTACGAGATCTTTCAGCTTGTCTCAAATCTGGAACTCTGGGAATCTCATGCCAGTCTCTTCTGCGCGCAAAGTATATTGAACTGCGACAGAAGACCTTGTGCAGACACAATTCGGACCGTTCCGCGAGCAAATCGGTAGATCCGTCACTTCAGATTAATGAGTATACGTAACAATACGCAATGGGCGCCTCTCCTTTACTGCAACTGTACCAAGCCCATGAAACTTTCTTAGAGCAAGTAATCACTGCCACACTAGTGATCGTTGGCCAAACGAACGCCGGTGAGGTGACATTCTGTTAGACTAGAGTTGAATCAATTAATTGCAGGCAATCATCAATGCCGGGACAAGCGATGGAAAAGTTGGAGAAGTTTTTTGAAGCTGCAAGAGGACGACCGGTGCAGAATGTGTTCAAAGGTAATCGTATCGATCCTCTCTTAAATGATAACGTACTAAAGATCTTATCGAACAGGAGTACTCGCTTATTGGATGTACGTTCGCCGACATCAAAGTTTGACAGATGGAACTCCGATGCACTTAAAAGCTGCTGAACAACAGCTCTGACTCAATTGAACCATCTCATAGTGCCTTTCTCCTGGTGTTTGGAGAGTATTCAAACACTTTTCTCAGGCCGACAGTTTACTCAAACATAATCCTAATCACAATCTTCATGTCGCCAGGCAAGTCAACCACGCTGGATTCTGAGACTATTGCTCGCTGAAATTTGTTGCCTCGAGCTAAAACTTCACCCCTGTAGCTACCACTGTCGGTGGTTTCCGCGATAGTGCAATTCTAACATTGATGGGAGTTTTCATTGGAGCAGCTTGCTGGTCATTCATTGCATCAGTCTCGGATGGGTCATATTATGCCTTTGGATTTCTCCTCTTTATAATTCTCTATCCTCTCAGTGTCCTACGGGCCATGAAACCAAAGTTCTTTGGAACAACGGTCATTGCGTCTCTCATGGTCTTTCAAGCAGTCTATTACACATATGGTAAGATTGCCGCACGCCTGCTCAGCGCGACACTATGTGCCGCACGCCTGAATATTCAAGTTGTATCCTTGCTTACCTCGAAAATATATAGTGAATGGGGGCAAATTTGATGAGAACAACCAGACCCAATTGCTTCATACGATGGCATCATATGCTATTGGGGTGGCCATTTGTTGGTTTGTCAATGCCTTCATCTTCCCCGAGTTTGCTGATGTGGAACTCAAAACGCTGATGGGGAAGGCTTTGGCTTCATCGTCACTTTTATTGCATCTCGTCACGCGGACATATCTGCTTGAAGCGACAGATGAAGAAAATGCTCAAAGAGAGAAGGAGAATGCTTCTTTGAGAGCAACGCTAGGTCAAATAGCAGCAAAGATGGTACGGTCAGTTTATTCGGATTCATCAAGTTTTGGGTTGGGTTTAGTCGGATTCATCAAGTTTTAAAACTGAGCGTTTCTTAAAATAGGTGGACGCGGATGCTGAATTCTTCAAATCCGAGCTTGATATTGACGACTACAACCAAATTCAAATCCATTTGAAAATAGTTGGTCAGCATTTGGCCGCAATCAACGCATCTCTCTCTAGTAGTTTGGCTTCTATCACTGGGTCGGACGAATACAGTGCTATCTTTGCACGGCCACTATCGCAATACATGAATGGCGTTTCCTCTAGTGTGGGAAACGTCTTAGACGAAGTTCGATGTAGATTGCTCGGCTGCGGGAATACCAACGCAGAGCAACGACGAGAGTCTTCCGCAGGCCTTCACAGGAAGGGCAGTGTATTTTCATTGAAATCTATCGAAACTCGAAACATGCCGACAGAAGAGTCAGCCGTTGATGTTTTAGATCAGTGGTATAATACGTTTGAGAATGAATTCCAAGTCATGCACGAGCTCTTTGATGCTTCAGTCAAGCATGAAGCTTCACCGCAGTGGGAATCATTGCTCGAAGTCAATTTTTTCATATTTGGTCTTCAGGTTTGTTTGTGTCCTTGCGTCTTGCTTGACCCCCAATTGTTTTCAATATTCAAACATTATTTAGGCAATCGTTGACGAATCGAAAGCTTTGAGTAAATTCATGTCAAGGCCCAGAGTCAAGAAATGGCATTTCGTAAGTCCTTGTGCTGACATTTTGATTGATTCGCGCTCTCTTTTTGGCTTATCCTTATTGTCACAATAGCGCGTCGCACACTATGTACCAAGCTTTCTGAAATGGATGCTACCTCGTAAGGCTGCAGCCCCGAAAGAGTCGCAAAAGATATCGATCGATGACCAGCGAGGTGACGATCAGGAGACATCAGTGTTGAAACACTCGCCCAGTATTCTAAAGCCGAAGCCGCCACCCATTACGTTACGTAAACGAATCGTGCTGTTTCTGAGATTCTTTTCTAGTCCTCCATCAATCTATGCTCTCAAGGTACAGCAAAACATGTTTTTCTTCTGTTTCCAGTCAACAGCGCATTAAAGACGAACCCAACTGCTATTTTTTTCAATTTGCATTGTTTTACTGGGGTGCTCATTGATTGACCACCTATTTTAGGGTTCGACGGCTGTTCTTATTCTTGCAATAGTCTTATTCAATCAAGCTTCATTCTTTATACAATTCACCTTGAATACTGCAGTTATCACGCTGCTCGTCATGATTAGTCCATCTCTCGGACAAACGTACTTGTCCTTCTTTACGAATCTATGCGGCAAGTACTTCGCGTTTCCGTACTGTTTCGATATACTGACCTCCTTTCCGATACCAGGGACCTGCTTTGGGGCACTGTGGGCTTTCGTTACCCTTGTAGCCTGGAGGAATGACAGCGAAAATGTCTACAATGCTTACGGACAAGCCTTCTTTGTTTTTATCTTTGCCATTCCGTTTGTTTATATATACCAGAGCGTACTACCTCCGCTTGGGATTCTTAGCTTGCTGTCTTATAGCTCAGTGAGTTACATGGCACAACCTACGACGCTTTTTGATTACGCTAACGGAACACCTAGTCTCTCACTCTCTCGTATATGTACCGTCACGGTGGTCCTAATAATGTGCCTTATGATCGACCTGGTATTTTTACTATTCCTTTTTATTAAGGGGATGAAGCTTACCGCTAATGCTCTCTTTCGACATTAGAAATTCGATTGTATAAGCAACTAGCAGGTATGCTTCTTTTTTCTACAAGCCGCTTAAATCGTTGTGCAATGCTCATTATTTTTGCCCTTTTAGCAACGACGATGGGTGTGACATTTGTGCTACTTTTCCAGGTGGTAGTCTATCCAAATCTTGCTAGGCGATTGCTTAGAGAAGAGATTGCAAATATCATTGCACTGATTGACGAAGTGAGTTTGTTTGGGTGCATTTTCAATGGAAACAAATGCTCTAATTTTGCCAACATGCCGTCTAACCTAACATCATCCACTAGTATTACGTGTCACTGGTGTCCTTGACATACTACATACTCCCTGCAAAAGGAAAATCGCCAAAAGATAAACTTTTGCGTGACGAGACAGTTGAAACCATGTCACGGATACAGCTTGCATTACCCAGCAAGTTTGCACAAATAAATCAACTCCTGAGTTTTGCCAAGGTTGAGCCTAGATTAGAAGCCAAATTTGAAGCAGAACAATATCAAGCTATTATCTCAGCTTTGCAAGTGATTGCCGATCGACTCCTTTCTGGCAGAACGGCAGTCGGATCTGTTCCGTTTATAATCATGGAACACCAGTCACAAGACGTCATGCGAGCTAGACATGATTTACAGGCCACAGTTCGGTGTGTATGCGAAAGCTCTTGGCTCATAGAAATCCGACTCACACTTTCGACTTACTGGCAGGTTGCTGTTTTTCATACATGCCTCCTCGTTGACATACAAGAATCCCCTTCCTCCTCATCTTCCCTCTGCTGTCAAGGCTAGACATGCTCTGTTTAAGGTCTTTGTCGCCCAAGCTGTTGGAAAAGAGCGAGTGGAAGTTAGAAGGAGTCGAGATTTTATTCGGTACTTGGCTGGACATGTTTCTGAACTTCGGATATTTGCTAACTGGATTTTGGCACGCATAGCTTCTACTCGTGGGCACTTGCGCTTCGGTAAAAACTCGTACCATTTTAGAATTATTGGTTGGCACGGCAAACGATTCGACAAAAAAAGAGCATGCTTCAAGAAATAAACATTCACAACGTTGGTACTAACGCAACTCATTTTAGGTCGGTGGCTCAAGAGGTAGACAGACTTGGGAAACTGTTTAAACAGTTGTTTGGAGAAGCAATTGACCCGGTCGATGCGGCTTATCACCATGAACCTGATGATGAAGAGGAAGAAGAATGGAATGATGAAGCAGAAGAGATTGCTCAAACCCTTTCTGTCATTCATGGTGATGAGAGCGGATCCTCTAGTGCAGCAACGTTGCCTCCGCAGTATTCGCAGCGGCGATAGTGGCGCTAGTAGTACTAGTGGGGATAGTAGCATAATCAAATCGTGTCAATAATCAAATATTCAAATTATATATTATCTAAAGGTTTTGGTCGAAACTTGTTCCGTGTTTATCTGGTGAGTTCGCTTTCAGAAATGTTGTGGTTGGACGCAAGACAAGAAATCGGCAGGAGGAACTCTCATATCGTACTCAAAAGACTGCAAATGGACTTGTTATTTCCAGAATTGTCCATTCCTCTCTTTGATAAGTTGCTGGTTCATGTTGGATTTTGGGCTTCTAACGTTGTTGTTACAGTTTGACACAAGTTCTCATACACTTTTGAACCTGACTCATCTGCTGCATATGAGGATTTTTCAACCTTCCATTGGACTGCATACCCTTCTTTGGTAAGGCTTTGGATGGAACAACGTAGACATTACAACATCGTCTTGTAGAAGGAATTCAAACGTTTGGGTTCAACTCACAGCCTTACACGGAAATTGTGGATAGCTAGATTGCCAAATATGAGATCTAGTCCACGGTAAAGTCGACTACACGGTCTATGTGGTCCGCATGAACGAAACCTTACAACGCACAAAGCCAAGCGTTTCATCCCAAGTGTCAAGGGCGCACCAACGACATCCAAACGCTTCTACAGTACCGAAGATTTCGTTTAAACATGTAATCCTAATGACTTTTTCGATGCGGTTACCTCCTCAAATTAGAGTGTGGTTTCAAAGCCAGTAAATCACGACAGTCGTTGCGTGACGAAATAACATAAGTTTCGATCGCGAACTCTTTCTGCCATATTTGAACTTCCCAAGATATTTACAGTGTCAGAACCTACACAGACACCTCTTTCAAGGCCTTTTCACGTATCTACAAAATGACTAAAGGACAACCCAATTTTCTCGTCATCATTGTTGATGATATGGGATTCAGCGATCTGACTAGCTTTGGTGGTAGGCCCTATGTCGCCCGTTTTCTAACAAACCCATATCATTGACATTCTGTTTTTGACTTAACAGGAGAGATCGATACGCCAAACCTAGACAAGCTTGCCAACGATGGCATTCGTCTGACTGGGTATCACACTGCTTCAACTTGTTCACCGACGAGAAGGTTCGTATTACTGATCTACCTGTGCCCTTGTGCTCGTATTGACTGGGTGCGACTTTGATAGTATGATATTCTCGGGTACAGACAACCACATTGCCGGACTAGGTAAGCTGTATCTCAGTGTTTATTGCCACAGACGTCACTGACCGTGCATTGAATTAGGACAAATGCGAGAATTCCTTGAGCGTAATGGCGCTCCCTTTGCTGGCGTATGTCTCTGAAAAAACACGCAATCCGTGAATGTCACCACTCTGATGCCGAATCTCGTAACAGAAAGCAGGATATGAAGGTTATTTGAACTTCCAAGTGGCTGCACTGCCAGAAATCTTGCAAGACCATGGATACTTCACCGCATTGTCAGGAAAATGGCATCTGGGATTGACCAAGGTGAGAAGTTCTTCGAATGACTGTACCTTAGCTGGACACCTACTGATGCTCCATATATAGGATACAAGTCCTTTTGCCCGGGGATTTGAAAAAGTCTTCACACGTATGGAGCCTTGAAATGTTGTTCATAGTTTGCAACCAAAGCTAAGTTTCTTTCTTCGACATCACATCTAGTACTACCTGGTGCCGGCAACCACTGTAAGATTTGAGCATCTTGAGGAAAAAGCAACGACAGTATATCGCACATAGCTAACTTACCTCCTTTCAACCAACGTGTAGACGCCTATGAGCCCCAATTCGAGCAGAAAGCAAGGCCAGAAGGTGCAGTCCCTCATCAGATCTACATGGAAGACGACAAGTTTATAGACTTGGCGGACTTGCCAGAAAACTTTTATTCCACTACCACCTTCACCGACAAGATGCTGGAATTTTGGAAACAACAAAAAGAATCAGGCGATTCTCGCCCCTTCTTGTCATTCATGACATACACAGCACCACACTGGCCGATTCAAGCCCCCGCTGAAGTAATTGCCAAATACAAGGGTCGGTATGATGCCGGTCCAGATGTAATTCGTGCTGAACGGCTTGAGAGACTCAAGAAATTGGGATTGGTGCCAAAGGATGTTGTCGCTCATCCGATTGTTAACTTGCTTGGTACGAAGCCGTGGGATGAGTTGACTGATGAGCAACGCAAGATATCGGCTAGGATTATGGAGACGTATGCTGCTATGGTGGTACGTGTGTTTGGCGTGACATCTGCTCACGTGGTTTCACGTCAACACTGTACAATACTTATAGGATATTGTCGATCAAAATGTTGGTCGTCTTGTTGACTACCTTCGAGAGACGGGCGAACTCGACAATACCTTCATCTTGTTCCAGTCTGACAATGGTGCCGAGGGTGTGACTATGGAAGCATTTGCTACAATGGTGAGCCATCGATGGGAGTTTCTGTGACTTTTTTCGTTTTTACTAACGAACTTCCAAAGGGTTTGGATGTTGGCAAAGTCATTCGAAGCTACTACGACCAGTCTTACGACAACATTGGTCAAAAGAATTCGGTATGTTCGTTTTGGGTGTTAAATTCAAACATTGATTAGACACTAATTTGTCTCCAAATAGTATCACGCGTATGTCGTATTAGGTCTCTAATTTAAGAAGCAAACAGACACTGAATTTGAAATTTTTAGTTATGGACCTAGGTGGGCGCAGGCAGCTACAGCAGTAAGTCCTCGTAATACTTTTCCCTTTTGCAGAAGAGTCTCAGATATTTACATTTTCCTCTACAAAAGCCCTCTAGAATGTTTAAAGTGAGTGAGACGAATAGATGTTGGGTTGGGATGTGACATTGCAAGCCCTAATTTGTTCACCTATGTAGGCTTGGGTCACTGAAGGTGGTATACGAGTACCCTGTATCATACATTACCCGACTCTCTTCAAGCAGCCAACCATTAGTCACGAGTTTTCTACGTGTATGGATTTACTTCCAACCATACTGGATCTGGCAGGTGTACCTCATCCTGGAAAAGTCTTCCGTGGTCGTCAAGTCTACGAACCACGAGGAAAGTCCCTCGTACCTTATCTCACTGGAAATGCTCCGAGAGTTCACGACAAGGAATCTACGCATGGTTGGGAGCTCTTTGGAATGCAGGTGAGCTTTCGATTTCAGGAACCGACAAGCATTGTACCTACAATTCTGTTTATAGGCGATTAGAAAGGGAGACTGGAAGGCAATTCTGATTCCACAACGTGACGCTGATCCAACATGGGAACTGTACAATCTTGAGTCAGATCCAGCCGAGTTGAATGATCTAGCTCTGAAAGAGCCTGCTACACTCAAGTCTCTGGTTGCATACTGGACTGCGTATGCTGATGAAACCGGCACCGTATCGGCAGGAACTAGTGGACCGATATGGTACACGAAGACAAACGAATCCAACCAAAAAGAGTAGTCATTGTATCAGACCTCCTATAGAATGATGTGAAAATCAAATCCATACGTATTTTCCATCGAGATCTCCCTTCCTGTCCGAGTTTTCAACACGTCGTGTTCGTGCCGCAGCACGAGACGACAACACCAATGTTCAGATATACGCGTTTCCAAGGCCAAATAAATATTTTTTTACTTTTTACGTGACAAGTTCATCTATTTCGTACTGAACTTCATCTTCGTATTCATGTCTCTCATCACGAAAACGAGTGTTGCTTGCGTTTCTGGTTTCTGTAGAAAACCAAGCAAGGTACTATACCAGAGTGTCCATATCCACTCGTAGCTACTATTGAAGATTTGATCGGATAGGATACTGTTATTACTCTATATCACCCAGGTACTTTGTCGTTCTTGAGTTTGGAAGTTCGGTTTTTGTTTGTCGCGTTTTCACAACGCACTACTGTTGATAGGAGGTCTGCCACGTACAAGGATTGTTAATTTCGCACTCAGATACTAGGAATACTGCTTGGTAAGAGGAGATTTATCAGAGTGATCACGTCATCAAATATTTCAACATTTGCATCTTGCTTATTGTTGAGAGTACGAGATAGTTGATTTCTGAACCTTGACTTGATTTAATCATCACTTATTCATACTCTAGTCCGCTTACATGATGCCTGGACTGAAGGACATCCTGTCTCAAATGATGAGAAACGGCCCAGACCTCCATTGATTGTCACAAACGAGCCTTTGGGGTTTTGGTTGAAGGGAGCACACCAAGTCACCATCTTGAAAACTCCCTTCAGGTTGGAGCCACATTTCGCTTCTGACCTTATGGATATTGCCACATGGTAAGAACATTGGGATTCCAAAGCATGCCGTGGAAGGTGTGTAGTGGTGTAGTGACAATTGTTCGCACCAAATTTAGCTATCATGTGCTTGGTGATGCAGTTGGAGCTAAAGCTTGGGTTGCTGCTTCTCAAAGTCTCTACTCGCTCACCATCAATGAAAATGGATGGCTGAAAGCACACCAGGCTGACCTGGATGCGTTGTCAAAGTCTTTGTGCGCCTGGAAATTTTGAACTCTGCATGATAGTCTTGATCATAGCTCTTAATAATAGTTTTGTAAGATTGTACCAGTACGTAGGCCAAATATAGATAATACATAGTGGTGCACAGCACGCACTAAATTGTGCCATCGCCAGAATAACTCGTGAACAAGTGCTTTTGGCTTTAGATCTTAGACTATATATTTAAAGCCTCAGATTCCTAAATTTTCCTGTGAATTTCAAATGCTCGTAAAATCCAAGAATCCAAGCTCCTCTCAACAATTCGATTAAACACAAGAAAACGACAGGATGACGCTAGATAAACCGCAGGCAAATCCAGCTTCCATTATCATGAAATGTAACAGATCTACCACTAAACTGACATTGCTTCCTTCCATTTCCAGATTATTTCGCATGTCTCGAAATCCCTAAATTACACTGCATACGATGTAAAATGGGTGCCAATGTCAGCCAGATTTGTCGTTCTCGGCCAGCATTCGCGTGGAACGGGCTGTCTCCAAGTCATGGAAATTGATCAGGGCCAGATTAAACTCACTCATGAAGTAAATCAGTGACATTTGTGAAAAGTGTCAAGTTGCATTTCTTAACACATTCAACGACGATTAGGCAGAGAAACCAACTGCCTTAAAATGCGCTACATTTGGTGCTTCTTCGTTAAATCAACGGCATATTGCTATTGGAGATTACGGTGGACGAATGTGTTGTTATGATCTTGAACATACTGATCTGCCGGTTTATGCTGTCAAGGCACATGATGAGCTGGTTAATTGTATTGATGGGTGTGGTGGTGGATCTAGTGTTAATAGTGGGCCGCCAGAGATTGTTACTGCTAGTCGTGATGGTAAACTTATGTTTATTGTTAATCACAATCTTTGTTGTGTTTCCCAATTCTCACACCAATACGCTTATGCAGGTGCTGTAAAAATATGGGATGTGAGACAGAAGGATAAACCAGTAGCTACTATGGCTCCAGCTAAAGGGGATGCCACTCGAGATGTTTGGACTGTTGCATTCGGTACATCATTATCACCAAATCACATTGGCGTTTTTTGCACCAAGAGCTAATTTTCAACCTCCTTTCTAGGCAACTCTTATAACGATGACGAACGTGTAGTAGCTGCAGGTTATGAAAACGGTGATGTCAAACTATTTGACCTGAGAACAATGACAACGCTATGGGAAACCAATGTCAAGAATGGAGTTGTCAGTATAGAATTCGATCGAAAAGATGTCAAGATGAACAAGATGGTGGTGTCGGGTCTTGAAGCTGCCTTCCATGTGTATGATTTGAGGACTCAGCATCCTACGGAAGGATTTGCTAGTGTTTCTGAAAAGGTACGTGCTTTCAGCATTCTTTGTTCGTTGTAGCTGTGAGTTCGCGTCGCTCGAGATGCAATACTGCGGTCTTTCCGTCGGTTTTTTTTGTTCGGCACTGAAGCTCTAACCACAACATCCATTCTAGTTGTCGGACGATTCAACAATATGGACTGTAAAACACCTACCACAAGATCGAGACGTGTTTGTAACATCAGGTGGTGGTGGCAGCCTTCATTTATGGAAGTATGGATATCCAAATCAACGATCCAAAAAAGATAAAGAGGACAAGTATAATGTGGGTGTTGCCGGCACAATTGAAGCACTGAATCATTCCAAAGTCGCTGAACAACCTGTAAATGCATTTGATTGGAGTCCTGATAAGAAGGGGCTGTGTGTATTTACTGCATTTGATCAGATGGTGCGAGTCGGTGTGGTTACGAAACTGTGAATAGTAGTGCTGTTGCCCCTGTATAATGCAAATGGCAAATAACATATTTATCTCGACTCATGCTTCTTCCAATGCATTCGTTCCGTGTCGTTGTGTTGCGAAATTTCCGTGAAGTATCAAGGCAATTGATCAGGCGAAAAAAGACATACTCAGTCAAGATACGCTTCGGCTTTGTCTCAACCAACAGAACATCAATTCTTGAAGGACATTTGTTGCGAAAGATCGACAAGGGCGAATGTCTTTTTACTTGAACGTGACGAGCCTATGCAAAAAAGGTAAGCAGCAATCGCATCATGGGTCATGTTGCGAGCTCGTTCATCGATTCGTTTGACTTTAGTCGGACCTCGGACAAGCCCTTTTCCCCAAAGAAATAAAATATATCTTGCTTTGTAAACCTATCAAGCAATCAAACAATTTTCCCCAAAGAAATAAAATATATCTTGCTTTGTAAACCTATCAAGCAATCAAACAAGATGAACTTGCGGTCTTCTTATGGGTATCATAACGTCTAGAGATCATTCGGATAAATTCTCAGTGCCCCCCAAAAACGTGAAGATTTGTTGCCAGCACATACCTTTAGGCTTCATCTATATTCTGAGCGATTGGAAACGAGAAACTAGAAAGAAATCAAGTGCGAAGAAGAATCTTGCTATAAAGTCAACGGGTCAGGCGAACCAACAAAATCAAGGGTAATCAGCCAGAATGAGCACAAGTATTCTCTCATCTAACATCAAACCCATAATTCTTGATGTGCCATATGCGGAAGATGCAAGAGATCCAATGATCTGTCTATTCCACAGTAACCCACAATGCAAAAGAAGTAATCTATATAACATGGTCAGATTCCAAACTCGTTCGTCATGGCCTTGACTTTACTAGTCACTTCAGATAAGCCCTTTTCAGCATCTTCAAGAAACGACACTATAGCTTCCTTTGTAAACCCATCAAGCAATGAAACCATGTGAGTTTGTAGCCTTGTTATGGGTATCAGAACCTCTAAGGTGCATTGGTAGACAACCAGTTTGAGTTTTTTTGAGCCAGCTCATGATAAAAATACACAGACACACTATGCAGTTCTCGTACCCTTCATTTCTTTGATCAAATCCTGTTTGCTGCTATCGAGCTTACTAACTGCTTGACCAACACCTGTAGTCTAACAACAAAAATAGTAATTTGAGCCAAAACCAACATGACACTCGGTGATGTGGCAACTCACATAGCTGTCATAAACACTACGATGATACTGCAACTCAGATTCCATCGCAACCTTCTCCTCATCGTGCAATCTCTTGTATGATTCTACAGCAGTCAAGAGTGATGTCATGACTTCATTGACTCTTGCCCTAGCATATGGATGGAATTTCAGGTTCTGCGAAGAGATTTCCAGTCAATAACATTAGAGTTTTCTTACGACTGATTTGCATTCAAAGTAGGCAGCTTAGCCATCGTTTCATCGATGGTAGGGATGGTAGGGAATCCTGTTCTGACCACTATGTAACCAAGGATTAGCATTGACGTGGTTGCAAAAAAACACGATGAGAGGGAGATATGTAGTTGGGTCGGCATCCACTGCTTACACACCTTGATCTATCGCTGGCAACGGAGCCATGGGTATCAACACAGAAACACTTAAAAGAGAGTTCATGGCCGATATCAGACTTTTTTCTGTTCCTTCCAGAGTAGTTTGTACATGTTCCTAACCAGATTGGTGAGTCTATGTAGACAGCATGATCAATCTCTTTTTTTGCATACCTTGAGACTTGGAGCTACATTGGGTGCAAAGGATGTGGAGAGACTTATCTCGATACTCTTCAAATCTAAATTGTAGAACAAAGACGTTTCGCCACAGTTACTGCGATTATGCATGAGAACGGTCTGGTTCTTTTACCATGAAAAAGACGATGTAGCTGAGATTCAAGGCGGCCAACATGCCGTAGATTAATATGTGAAATTTGACCTAAAACGAAAAGACGGCTAAGACAACCCATTTAACATCGTGTCAATGATTGCAACTTACCAGAACAAGCATCTAGCAAGGACACAGGCTTTACATCCCTTCTCCTATCAGGATGTATGAACTCTGACATGAATTCCAGAGCTGCCGGTGCAGGCTGTTGCAAGTCTAGCCGATCTTTAACTTGTCGACCGGTCTGCTTTTGCAATGTATCTAGTGCTTGTATAGCACCCTTCAGTAGCTGCTGACGTGAATCGTTACTACTGTTATTAATGTTGCTTGCTGATTTAGTTTTTGAAGCTGGATGATCAGGTTCATTGAGTATCGATTTTAAAGTATCCTTGACGTGTCGTAGTTCTTGACCAGCATCCGCCATGAATGTATCTCTTCCAAGCACAGAGTCTCGATATGACACTACTTGTCGTTGTAGCTGTGCTATTTGGGATTTGAGAAGCATGGATCTACGATGATCTAGCGTTTGTGGGGTTGTGGCATCTGTGTTTACTGCTGTATCGTACAAGCTGCGTAGTGATGTGTATGAGGCGTTCAGTGTGTCGTGAGAGTGCCGTAAGTCCAACAACTAACGTGAAAAAAGCATCAGCGACCAAAACAAGACTATGATGAGAGAGAATACGTATACCTCTTGCTCTAACATCTTGACTTTGGCATCCAAATCTTCTTTTCGAGTAGGACTTGTGGCTGTTGGTATAGCGGTAACGGATGGCGTTCGTTTTACAGTGGCTACAGGTGTCGTTGGTGGTTTTGCGGCTGTGGCTGGCAAGTCGACCTTCGTTGCTGAGGGTTTACGAGATGGTGGTTTTGACGATGATGGCGATGGGACAACAGAAGCTCGAGTAGACCCGGCTGATGATGGCACATTTGGCTTTCTACATTCAAATGAATTGTCAATGGACAAAAAAGCGCGTAGCGGATGTTTTGTACAAGAGCTTACACTGAAGTTTCTTCTGCAGGCTGAGCAATTGGTTGGCAAAACGTTAGAAACGAAATCATTGCCAAATCCGATAATTTTGTAATGCTGCACGTACCCGTTGAATAGGTGTACTAGCAGATCTAGTCAAAGTCTTTGTTGTCGCAGTATTGGTGCGAGGCGCGTCACCACTAATCTTACTGAGCAAGAATGACATTGTCTCCAAAAAATCCACTTTAGAATTGACTAGATCTGATGCTGATCTCCTCCGTCCATATTGTTGTTTTTGAAGCTCTCGATCAACGATTTTGGCAAAGACACCATTGAAGACTAGTTCACGGTTTCTCTTCTCGCCTTCAGGTAGATTGCCTTTAACTTCCAACCTCTAATTCAAAGATACAGATTTTTAACTTCTCAGTACTCTTTGCAACGAGATCCCTCTTGGCTTCATGATCACCAAAGTCCAAGCGTTTAATGTTTGGCGACTTACACGTTCATTCTTGCGTGTATCCAGTAGCTGCTGCGGTGAATCGACATCTAGTTTTGTGAATAGTCGAGCTATAATTCGTTGCCTTGCTCTCTCAGCTTTAGGCTGAGGAGATGACACGACATCCAACAATTCCTCGTCTTGAATACTTGCAAACTCTGGCAGTTTGCGAAATCTACCAAATATACCATATGCATCGGCATCTATTGTGGAATTGCTGGCACCTGTGGTTGGGCTAGTCATTTGCGTCCTTAGCACGATCAAAAACAAAAAGAAGTTGGGCGATGTTTCTATTGGCAGGGCAATCACCAATTGCGTTAATAAAATAGAATTATATCAATGTGTCTAAACATTTGCAGTATCATGACTCTCGTGGATCTGTGGCTTTCGAACAGGAAAGCATTAAAGAAGCCAAGCATTTGACATTCAAGCGATTTGACATTGGCGGCGATCAGTAATGGATGCAGCTTCAGGAGCACGCGTTAAGTGGCAATGATATCTTTCTAGGTAGGCAAGCGGTATCGCAAGTCACGAACGTTGTGTAGTGCGCTTTGCCATTGTCATCCGGCTGCGATACAGTCTTAAGTCCTATTCCTCACCATCAAGAGCTTAAATCCTGAAGACAGGGTGTCTAGCCGATGATCATTGGTACAACAAGTCGATATTCGAACTAGGACATCCCTCGAAAACAATGGTTGACAACTCATTGTCGATTGGCGGCAAAGTTTGGCACATTCTCATCTCCAGACAGTTTCAAAACTTATTCAAAGGTATGCATCGCAGTGAATCTGAAGTGCTCCGATAGCTCACTATTCCGGTTTCCTTGCGTAGGCGTCCTGAGCTTTGTGATGTGAGTCTGAGAATTTTTGAAGGATAAACCTTATACAGTTTTGAACTTGATACCCTGGTTCAAAAGGTTTTAAAGATATGATCTGACATGATCTAACGCCGATTTTGTGATCTTTATAGTGCGTCGGTCATCGTTTGCTCAAATGTGACGGGTACAGCTCTCAGAACAGCTGGTGTGTAGTGCCCACACATACGCACTTAACGTTTACTAATCATCTGCATTCAAAACAGTATATGGAAACCTATTCTTGCCTGTCGTGGCATTATCACCTGCCATAACAATTGGCGCTTTCTTTGATGGTGCCATACAAATGATGCTGGGCATTGGAGTTGGTGCCGCTTGCTGGAGTTTCATAGCCAGTGTCGCAGGAGGGTCGGTGTTTGGATATGGAGCTCTGATGTTTGTAATGCTTTATATTTTCAGTTTTGCACGTGCCCTAAATCCAAGATTGTTTGGAGTCACGTAAGTTGAAAGCAATGGCAGACTCTACCAATGCCGATGCTAACACACGTATTTGGACAGGCTGGTCGCTTCCCTGATGACTTTTCAAGGTGTCAGCTACACTTTCTCTACAACTGGAGAATTTGATACCAACAATCAGACACAATTGCTGCATACTATGGCCATTTTCGCTGTGGGAGTCGCGATCAATTGGGCTGTAAACATTCTCGTGTTTCCAGAATTCGCTGAGGTTGATTTGAAAGAGTTGATATCGACCAGCTTGACGACTTCAGCGGCATTGATTGACCTGATTACCAAGTCGTAAGCCCATTAATGTTTTCGGTATTTATATCTTCCGAATCTTACATATTTCCCTTCTAAACAAGGTATTTATTGGAGGTCAAACCTGAAGAAAATGGACGTCGGGCCGCAGTTTTAGCACTTAAAAGCACTATAAATCAAATGGCAGAGAAAGTCGTAAGATTTACTAACTTGAACGTGAGTGCTTCAATGCAATTCACAAACATTTTTCACAACTAGGCTGAAGCTGACGCTGAAGTGTTTTTCTCCGAATTGAACATCGATGACTATCGCACCCTTCAAACCCATTTAAGAACAATCAGCCAACACTTCTCCTCCATCGACGCAGCTATGGTATCTGGTCTAGACACGATACCGAATGTGGAACGATACCGATCGAGTTTTGCACTCCCGCTGCGAGACTCGTTGACGACTATATCCAATAGTATATCCGTAGTTTTAACAGATGCTAGAGATGCTCTGCTGGGTTATGGACATCAGACTGCTTTTCAAAGGAGGATGTCTTCTGCGCATAAGAGACGTCGAGGCAGTTTATTTAGTGTTCAATCTTTAGAGGCTGGCGAGGAAGCCCATCCTCTTACAGAAGCCGATGCCATTATTGAGATGCTGGATAGGAGCTATACCAAGTTTGAGGAGAAGCAATTCCAGGTGGGTGGTTTGTTGTAAACCCACGCTTGTAGAACTGAAACTCACCTATTTCCGTAGGTCATGTATGACCTCTTTGAGCTAGGCATCGAAGGAACATCAAACGAGCCAGTTCGACCTCAATCATGGGAGTCTCTACTCGAAGTCAATTTCTTTTTATTCTCACTACAAGCCATCGTCGAAGAAACAAAAGCCATTGGTAAATTCCTGCACAAGGATCGTAAAAAGAAACTACATTTTAGAGTGTGGCACTACCTCCCCAACTTTTTGATTGAGGGGCTTCATCTCAAGCCGAAACCAGCTGCCGCCACGACGCGACCAGAGTCACCAGTAAAACCTGTAAATGAAGAAGGTGTTCCTCTGCAAAGTTATACGCCCGATGAGTTATTCGTAACTTATAGGAAGCCCAAGCCCGCTCCTCCTAAAACGTTTCGTGTACGTGTTGTGGATTTCCTCAAGTTGGTGCAGAGCGCCCCATCTATATATGGATTGAAGGGAGCTACCGCCGTGACGGTTGTTTCTATAGTACTATTCACGTGAGTAAATCATACACCTCTGCAAACCATGAAATGCATTACCGCAGCTGCTCGCAACTGACAACAACTTAACATCAACTGGTAGCCAAAAGACTTTCTTTGTTACCTGGGGTCTATCTGGCGCTGTTATCTCGCTGCTGGTTGCTATCAGTCCATCTCTAGGCCAAACAGTGAGCACTTGCGCGATGTTACCAGATCGGTTTCTTTGACTGACTCCGCATCATCGCTCTGTAGTACATGTCTTTCCTCGTCAATCTTACAGGAACCTGCATAGGCGCTCTTTGGGCGTTCATTTCCTTCACAGTTTGGCGGGATGGAAGCGACAATGTTTACAATCCTTGTAAGTAACCGTTACCTGTGTTTCCGACCAATTCGTCCAACACTTCAACAATCCATTCTAGATGGCCTGGTTTTCTTTGCTGCTTTGCTGGCCATTCCGGTCATCTATTCACTGCAGAACACCACTTTGGGTAAAGCGGTTGGATTTTTGACGTTGCTCAGTTATAGCGGGGTAAGAAGGGTTCACTTAAATCAGCTATGAAACTATCTGACAGCTCGTTTGAACGCATAGTCTCTCTGTGTTTCGTACTTGTATCGGTTCCTTGGGCCATATGGTATGCAAGTTCATCATTTCAAGTATAAAATGAATATTGCAACGGGTCTCATCCATGAATTTTAATATTCGTCAGGTGTTCCATATGATCCTCCGTACGTAAGACTATACAAGCAATTAGCCGCAACTGCTATGGGAGTTACATTTGTGGTGCTATTTGCGTAAGTTTCACCACGTCGATCGAGCTCACACTTCTTTTCTGCGAGTGTTCTCTTACCATGAACTCCACTGACATCGAAACTCTTCGCGTCAGGGTTACCATCTATCCAAATTTAGCGAGAAGAATTCTACGTGACCGGATCTCTCAAATCATTGGAAACATTGACAGTTACTATGTCGACCTCGTATCCTTGACGTATTTAATTCTACCTCGACGAGTCAAAACAGACGACGAGGAAGGTCTTAAAAGTGAGATGATGGCATCGATTGCCAAGAATCAAGCAGCACTACCAGGGAAATTTTCCCAGCTAGCACAATTACAGGCATTTGCTAGAGTAGAGCCAAGATTGGAGGGTATGTATGCTCACTCTGCAATCTGGCGGGTCACGGACACTCCGAGCTGACGGTGCTGATTTGCTAGGTCGATTTCAAAGTGAAAAGTACGCTGCCATCATTGACTGCTGCCAGATGATTGTTGATAGGCTCGTGAGTGCTCGAACAGCTGTAGGCTCTACGCAGTTTTCCGCTATGAGGGCTGCAACTATGGAGATCTCAAGTGCACGACACGATTTGCAGAGCAGTATCAGGTAAAAGTGATTGCTCTCACGAGACCATAACTTTAGGTCACATTCCTCATTTTTTTGCCCTCGAAAGGTTGCTTCTGTACATTTACTCGAGCAGTATGTACGCCAAGACGAAACTTCCACCCGTATTGCCAAACGCCAGCAAGGCAAGACAGGTACTGTTTAATAGATTCATTGGTACTGTCAGTGCCAGTAGTCCTGGACCGCAAACATATGAGTCGCGGCGAACTCGAGAATTCATTCGGTATGAAGATAATTTAAGCATATGCGTCTCCAACCGTTTTCCAACAAATTTTGTCCAACTAGATTCTACAGTTGGGCTTTAGCGATGAGGGCCGTGGCTAGAGAAGTTGATCGGCTAGGTGGTCTCCTAAAAGACCTGTTTGGAGAGCTTGACGACCACTTTGACCCAATCTCTGACAGTGTGACTGAAAGCAGCGGTAATGAGCTTGAAGAGGATAGAAGTCTAGCAGTTGCAGCACATGTAGCTATAGACGCTGACATAAAAGCCAAGCCAAACTAAAGCTCTTGTTATGCAACACAAACCCATTTGGACAATAGATCTTCATAATACTAGATTTGTTTTTATATAATGCGGTACAAACAGCCGTGTAATAGCTGTATCTCATCTGTTTACAAAATCACTGCTCCCTTTGGTTTTCGAGCCTCCTCCTCCGCTACCGCTTCCACCACCACTGCTGCTACTACCGCCGCCACTACTCGATGAGCCTCCCCCTCCTGATGATGATGAGGGACCTGCATCTTCTGGAAACTTGCGAGCATGGACGGCCAACTAGGCATGAATTTTTGAATGAGTACTGATATTCACGTGCATCTAAATCTTTTGCATACCTTTATCGGCCTCAATAGTGGATGGTCGATATACGTTTCACACAAGTAGCAGTGTATAGATAGATCCGAGTATGATAATGCAATTGGATGCTGTGTTGATTCAAAATGTATAGCAGCGTGTCCCCTAACATATCTCGAGCAATGGACGTCATAGCATGTGAGACACAGCCAGTTCTCACTTGGATCTCCACATGCAGGACTTGCGCATGGAGCTTCAACTAGGTAGACGGAAGTGTAAAATGAGGTAAAGAGTTTGATGACATCACAAAATCTTCAAATATCAGACACTTCACAAGCATCAATAGCATTCATGGGAGGCAGAGCTCGCAAGATGCAGTACATACCGTCAATATTGAAGCTCAAAGCAGGGGGAACGGTTGCATCAATGTGTGGACAATCCAGCTTTGGTTCAATCGCAAATATTCCATCGTCTTCAGGTGCTTCATCCATGACTATAGCAGGTGTAGTGTTGAGCCTAGTTCCGACGGATCGAAAGTTTGATAGAAAGTACGCTTGGTCTCGCCTCCGTGAGTTCATTTGCTTGTTCGGTGCTGGAAGCAAATGCGAGCTGATAACGAGTTCCCGATCATTTGTTGGAACTAGCCAGGAACTAGATATTTGTTGTGCCTTGAGCACACGCCGTATCTATCAAAGACGTAGCCACAATTCGCGATACTGGCCTGCAAATATCAAAGTATGAGGAACGTGTTTGAATTGCGCTTCAACGAACAATGAAGGCTAAGCCGGTAGAGAATGAGTACTCATGAGATACCTGTATAGATCGAGGTCACGTAAGACTTGTTCTCAGACAGCAGATTCGAGCTGAAATCTTCAGTTTATTGTCAAAAACACGTGCGCACACTTAACTGTTTAATTTTGAATTTGAGGATGAGAGGGAGGGTGTGGCCAAGGTGGGAACGGGATTTACTTCATCTGTAAAGTAGCATCCATCGGTTCCCACTCTTTCCGACTTCTAATCCCCTGATGTTGTCATCGAACATTTGGCACAAATCTCCAAACACATATAAACATTCACACGCTCATCGGCTTTAGGTCGAGGCTTCCATTATCCCATCCTGCTAGTCGTGGAATGCAAACCCTTCCTTTCAAGTATCCCAACTAGTTAAGATCGACCACCTCGCGCTGACCTATCTGCTTGTATCATCTCACAAGGGTAAGAAGGAGAACGTGATGCCCTGGACTAGGAATCGACTCAACTAGAAGCCCGACATATAATCCATTTTGTATCAATACCTTTATATATTGTGTGTTTTTACTCCTTTGTCATTGAACAATGGAACTTATACGAGACTTGTACATTGGAGTTATATAACAAGGAACCATCTACTATATTTTGCAATCAATGATTTATTACTAAAGCAAGGGAAATCACATTAAAATACACTCCTTATCATTTATATCAGGCAGCTTTGGGACCCCATCAGGACCTAACTCCAGACCAGGCGCTAATTCTTTGAGAATCTCTGCTGGTGGATTACCACATTCTTGCATCTATTAGAGATTTGACATATTAGATTTCCACAGTTTGTCTTGTTGGTAGGTAATAGTTCTGTACGATGACTTGCTCGTCATGCACACACAAAACCAAGTAGTCAGTTGTACGTATACTCACCCCTTGCATAAGATCCACAACTCGCTTCGAGTTTTCAGGGGATGGCGTAGGATCATCATATACCGCAAGAATCTGCTCTACGAATGATAACTGCTTTGTGTATCGAGCGTAATCCTCTTCTGAGAGGTTGCTTTTGTTCTCGGCCAACCAAGCTGGATATTTAGCAGCCAAGTCCTTCATTGGTTCATATAAGACATCTTTTGATAGTAGAGATTCCATCATGCCTTCTAGCATAGTGTTCAAGTCACCAGAGTCCATGAGCCCTTCCATTTGTTTCATCATTTGTTGCATCATGTCTGTATCTAGCCCTGCTTGTACTTCTGACTAAAGATAGAAGAGTATGCGAGTTGGATATTGAGTGGGGTACAAATACAATCAAATAAACGTACGCCAACAGCATTTGAGCTATTCTTTAGCTTATTCATCGTTTCGGCAATCTTGTCCTGTAAGCTTCCAGCACCAGCAGCAGAAGCAGCAGCTGAAGACGATGAAGCAGTAGCGAATGGTGGCATGGGTAATATACCTTTACTAGTGCTAGTGCTTGCACCGCCGTCCAAGTTTTGAGCATGGAAGTGCTCTCGTAATTGTTCCATCTGTCGATCAAAGTCAGCAGGTTTGTCTTCCATATCGGCCATGAGGGCTTCCATTCCCTTTGCCAGCTGATCAGCAAAGTCGTCGTCCAGAACACCGTCATCAGGAGCTTCAGGCAATTCTAGCGGTTGAGTTGATTTGGCATGAGGAGGTACGGAAAAGTCATCGAGGACATCTAAGAAAAGAAGGAGGATGAGTGATAATGCAGCATATAATGGCTACAGCTTCTTGATGGGGTATGATATGATTGTCCATTGCTTTGGTGCAATGTGTGTTGGCATGCTTTTGCCCGACTCTTATAAGAAAGCTTGAACTGGGCAGCTAAAAGAAGACTGTACTTGCCATCGAGATACGAGTCCAGGTCATCGGGAGCGACCTGTGCCTTTTCTTGCTCGTTGTTCATCTTGATTTGGTAAGTGATTGCTGGAGTGATGACGATGGAGCACAATGTAGAGTTGCTTGACAGGATATTTTCAATTAAGAGCAAACAAAGGTGCATTATTCGTGATTCCGCTAGCACTAGTAAGTGAACGCGTCGCACTTGGGCCTTTCCACCTAAAAGAACCTGAAAACCATTCCTACATCAAAAATCATGTATTGCCGTGTTTGCCAAAAACAATTCCAGCTAATTGTGGCCTATCTTTTACCAGGATTTTCGAATATTGGAATGATTAGATCCAAAAGTGCCAAACTCTGTTTTGCCCTAGAGCGGGTTGGGGTTAAGATTCGTGACAAAGACACAATCGTCGCTGCTCTCCATCGTCAAACCTCAACATACTGAACGTTGACAGTTCAATCATCCTTTTCAAATTCGATATTTAAACAATGTCATTCACGGTACAGGCTCCTCGAGACGACCGTGAAAAACGAAGACTCGATGAGAAACACTTGAAGATTTTGCAAGAGTTGCTCAAACAAGAATGTAACCAAAATTGTGCTGATTGTGGTCAGAGAGGTCCACGTTGGGCTTCCGCTAATATCGGTTGCTTCTTGTGTAAGTTTGACGGCACTCACCACTTCGATTGAAATGTCCTACAAACTGATCGAACCTCTCAACTTATAGGTATTCGTTGTGGGGGCTTGCACAGGAAATTGGGTACTCATATCTCAAAGATCAAGTCTATCACTCTGGACTCGTGGACTCCGGAGCAGATTCAGGTCCGCTTCTAACATTTGTGACGCACAAACGAGAAACGCTCAACTGACGCATTGGCCGCTTAGGTTATGACTGAAATGGGCAATCAGCGTGTAAATGCAAAGTATCTCGCTAATGGTGCCAATATCATTCCACCTGCGACTAGCGACAGGTATGTCAAGCTCGACGCAAACAACGGTCAATCACCGCACTTGATGCTTAACTTATGCAACTTCCCAAACTAGTGATATGGAAACTCTCATCCGTAACAAATATGAACGTATGGCTTACATGAACTCGAATGGCGCAAGAGCTCCAGTTGAAAACAACAATGCCGCATCTGCAGACATCGCCAGATTTGCTCCTCACTTGCAAGCTTTGGCTCAAATGGGATTCACTGATAGAGAACGCGCTATGGCAGCTTTACGTGCAGCAAATGGACAATTAGGTCCTGCTGCTGAAATGCTGGCCAACAATCGTGCAGCTACTCCATTGACCAATAATCGTACTGGTGGTTCTTCTTCTGGTCAGGCTGCTGCACCCATGGCGATTGCTAGAACTGGAAATGGAAGAGTCGCTGATCCTCTCCTTCGTTCCGCATTGGAACAACTCTTTTCTCTTGGTTTCACCGATGAAGATTTGTGTTTGGAAGCTATTCGTAGAGCCAATGGAAATCTCGAACAAGCTGCTAACTTGCTTTTGGATGTACGAAGACGTCGATCGTCTGCTGGTCCTCAGCAACACCAAATTCAACAACAGTTGCAGCAACAACAACAACTTGCTCAACAACAAAAGGTGTTTGGTGGCCAAGGAGCTCGCACTCAACAACAAACTATTAATGAGAATGATGCCTCTTTCATGATTGATCCTCCTGGCCAAAACAATCGTCGTGGAAACCGAGCTCAGCAATTGCACAACCAACACACAGGCGGTAATGGTGGTCAGCAAGCTCTCAGACCTCAACATACTGGGGGTAGCACTACCTCGTCCAATGGTGGAGCCTTGTTGGATCTCCTTGGTAAGCTTTTCAAAGAACTCGCTTAAGACCACCAATGTATTGACGACAGTTCTGATTTAGGCTTGGATGAACCTATTGCTCAACCAAACTATCAACAACAGCAGTACCAGCAACAACAACAACTGTTGCAACAACAATACCAGCAGCAGCTGTACCAGCAACAGCAACTCATGCAACAGCAATTGCAACAACAAGGGTTTGCTCAACAACAACAAACTCCATTCCAACAAGGTGGTCAACAGCAACAAGCGCAGCCCTTCCAACAGCAGCAACAAACCCAGGCTGCAAACCAACCAAGAGGCAACGGCAAAGATAACATTCTTGCCCTTTTCAACTCGGCCGCTACACCTAATGGAGGTGCAGCTGTCGTGCAAAACGGACAACTACAACAAGCTGGTGCCTTCAATCCATTCGCTGCAGCTGCTACCTCTCAACAACAACAACAGGGTTACAATGGCGCTCAAGCACAACCAGGATTTAATGGAGCTGCTCAACAAATGCCTTTTGGCGCTCAACAACCACAACAGCAACAAGCATTTGGTGGTCAACAACAACCACAACAACAAGTAGCTGCTCCTAATGGTGCATTTGGTATTCCACCCCAAGTTTCTCAGACCAATATATTCGCTGCTCAACAGCAACAACAAGTACAAGCTCAAGGTCAAAACAATGGATTTGGCCAACCTCAACAGCAACAAGCTAGTACATTTGCAGCTACTCAACAGCAACAAGCCAATGGATTCGGTGCTCAAGGACAACCTCAACAGCCGTTTGGCGGTCAAAGACCAAACCCTGTAGCACAAACTCAACCTCAACAACAGCAACAACCTGCCGTTAATCCATTTGCAAACTTCCAAAACGCACCAAATCCATTTGGTGCTAATGGTGCTGCTGCTCAGTCCTTGCCATATGGTGCTGTTGTCCAACAACAACAACAAGCTGCTTTTGGAGGTCAACAAACTCCAGGTCAATATAACAATGCCAGTAACACTGCTGCCCAACAACAGCAACAACCACAGTTCGGAGGTCAACAACCACAACAACACAGCTTTGGTGGACAAGCTGGTCAATTCAATGGCGCTGGTCAGCAACAACAACCAGGACAGAACCTTGCTAATCAACAGCCAGGACAGAACTTTGCTACCGAGCAACAAGGTGTCCGTGCATTCGGGCAAGTAGCCACTCCTGCACAGAATGCTTCATCCAATTACGCATACGCACCAGCCAATGTAAGTTGAGTCAACGAAGGCATGTCAGTATAATATTTCGCTAAAATCGAACTCGTCTCTTTACAGCCATTTGGTGGAAACGGAGGTGTTCAGAACAGGTAAGTCCACAGGAGCACGATTGGTTGGCACGCGCGAAAAAACACTCCTGACACCAATTCTTCATTAGCATGGCAAACGTACCACGTGGTCTCCCCAACGGATTCAATGGCCAACCAGTCAACGCTCTTGATCTGAATGGACCTAGTGTATTTGCTCCCTTGATGCACGGAAGTCAACAGCAACAAGGAATGCAACAGCACCAACAGCAACAACAACCTCAACAGCCCAACTTTGCTCGTGCCATGGATGCAAACTTCAAACCTGGCCAGAACATTGCTGGATATAATGGAAATCCATTCAGTCTTTAAATTTGGTTCTTCGTTGTTCTTCGTTTTGTCTTGTTATTTCAAACTTCAGCGTGATATACCACAATACACAAATGTTTTGATCGTTTAAAACGCCGTCTTTCGCGCTTTAGGACGGCGAACGCGTGCATACGATGTATTACTTCATGAAAAATGCCTTTCGTATCGTGATTTCTCTGTTGTTCTCGTTGTAGCTCCATAAATTCATTTCGCATTTTCAAAGCGGCGTTCAAAAATCCAAATCTTAGATAATGGCGGCCAAGATGCCCGTAGGAAGCAAGAGCATGAAGACAGCGAAATCACCATCAGAAGCCTTTGCATTGACAAACTGCGTCGCTGTCAGCAAGAGAGACTTTGACCCCGCAACGAAATACATCTTGGTGAATGACAGACATGTCTTTTCAATCTCGTAGGTGTTTGAAAAGTCTAGTATATAATAACTATTTGAAATACTGATTTTCACCTTGTTATTTTCGCACTAGATTCGCAGATACAGTCGCACCAGGCGAATTGGGATTCTCTGCCTATCATCGAAATTTCGCTTCGCTGTCTTTGAATATGGAAGTCAAGGTTCGACCATATGATCCATTGGCTGATGGAACTAGTGTGTATATGGCTACGTTGAATCTACAAGTACGTTTGCCTTGGATCTTGTGTGGTGGAAGTGAAGGAATGCAGGTGCCTGACTGTTGGTGTGATCTGGTGTTTTAGGTATCGTTCTATCAGAAGGCTACTGTTGCAAAGGATTATTATGATACTGCGGATTTGGGGAAGGTGTATTTACAGGTATTGTGTGTCGCGTCGACTTTATCTTCGACATATTCTCGACTTTTTTTGTAGGGCTTCAAAAATCAAGTGTTTGCCACCGGCCAGGTATAGTCCTTATATGCTGTTAGACCTACGTACTCGATTTGCTGAAACACGCTATTGTTCGGATTCGCAGAAGTGCCAAATGGATTACAAGGGTACTGCTTTGGTCATGGAAGTTATGAGCCTGGAAGTAATGGAGTTTGGAGCATCTGGTGGTCCAACAGGTACCAGCCAAAAAAGGAGGATGCTTCTTCTCGATTCAAGTTTACTCACTCGCATTTTACAGGCTCCTCTAAAGCAGCTCAAATGGGTGTTCTATTCGATCAAACACAAATCACGTTTTCCAAATCAGCAGATTCTTCAATCAAATTGAAGGGCAGCGGTCGTAGGTCAGAACATTTTGCACGCTTGTCTCAGGATACTCGAGTCGTTAGTAACCTTGTTTTTTTTTTTTGGTTGTAGTGCTGCAAACGCTATAGTCCAACCCAACTTCAAATTCGAAGATATGGGAATTGGTGGTTTGGACAAGGAGTTCAGTGGTATCTTCCGAAGAGCATTTGCATCACGTATCTTTCCACCATCATTAGTAGAAAGGCTGGGGATTCAGCACGTCAAAGGTATATGGGAGTAGAATGTGCATCTGTTGTCATTGTGAGTCTCTGTTGACTCCTTTTTTTGCATAGGTATACTATTGTTTGGACCACCAGGCACAGGCAAAACACTCATGGCTCGTCAAATCGGAAAAATGCTGAATGCTCGAGAACCCATCATTGTCAATGGTCCTGAAATATTAAACAAATTTGTTGGACAATCTGAAGAGAATGTTCGAAAGCTGTTTGCAGCTGCTGAAGCTGAAGTAAGGTCACGTCATCTGTAAAGCATGGAGCTGTGCACTTTAATGCTTTTTTCCCCTATCATTAGTACAAGCAAAAAGGAGACGAGAGTTCTCTCCACATTATCATTTTCGATGAATTGGATGCCATTTGTAAACAGCGTGGTTCCAAGAATGATGGAACTGGTGTTGGTGATTCTGTAGTGAATCAACTCTTGTCGAAAATGGATGGTGTTGAACAACTCAACAACATTTTGATTATTGGAATGACGAATCGATTGGATATGATTGATGAGGCTTTGTTACGACCCGGTCAGGAATATGAAGAGATTAACGTGTTTTCTTTTGGCATTGAGCTCATCCTTGGTAACCCTTTAGGTCGTTTGGAGATTCATATGGAAATCAGTTTACCAGATGAGAATGGACGATTCCAGATCATAAATATTCATACTTCCAAAGTAACAGCCCTTGCGTGCATTGATTCTATATGAAATGTTTTTTATTCTCTTTTTTCGTAGATGAGAACAAATCACCTGTTGGAAGATGATGTTGATTTGCGAGAGTTAGCTGCAATGACCAAGAATTTCAGTGGTGCCGAGATTGCAGGTCATATTTCCTTTCATAAACGTGTCATGTTTTTGCTCGAGGCTGACTTTTCTTTTCCGCACCAGGTCTTATCAAGAGTGCAACATCTTTCTCATTCAATCGACACGTCAAGGTACCGTCTCAGTCCTTTTAATACCATGTGTAGAGAAAAGAGACTGACGGATATTTCCAACAGGTCGGAACTTTAGCAACAGTTTCAAATGATTACGAACACATGAAGATTAGTCGAGAAGACTTCATGAGTGCACTCGAAGAAGTGCATCCTGCATTTGGTGTTTCAGAGTCTGAATTGCAGACATGTGTCACAAATGGTATCATCAAGTTTAGGGTGGATATCGAGGTGAGCTGCTCTCCAATATTCTTTAAGAGAGAATATTTCATTGTGGTATCCTAACTGGTCTCTTTTTAGCGCATTCTCGGTGATGGAAAGTTGTTTGTCGAACAAGTTCGAAATAGTTCTCGTACTCCATTGGTGTCTGTTCTCATACATGGTAAACGTGGAATCAATTACATCTAGCTGCTGTTTTTTTTCCTTTGGATTCTTATTTTCAATATGTTTTTAGGACCATCTGGAGGTGGCAAGACGGCGCTGGCCGCAACGATTGCCTTGGCTTCTGAGTTCCCATTCATCAAACTCATATCGCCGGAAACTATGGTTGGATTTACGGAACAAGCAAAGATGTCTGCCATTCAAAAGGTATTGCTTGAAGTTCCACGCCGCTCTTTTTGCGCAAAGAAACATCTGATTGGGCTATCCCACTAGGTATTCAACGACTCGTATAAATCGCCGCTGAGTGTCATAGTAGTAGATTCCATCGAACGAATCTTGGACTGGGTTGCTATCGGTCCTCGATTCTCCAACAGTGTACTACAAACCCTACTAGTGTTACTGAAAAAGGCACCACCACCAGGCAAACGCCTCCTAATCATCGGCACAACAAATCAAAGAACAATCCTCGAACAAATGGAATTGATTGACGTCTTCAATTCCGAGATATACGTACCCACAGTCACAGATCTCAGGTCTCTAGACTACGTAGTGAATTCCATCCAGCTTTTCAAGACCGAATCTGATCGACAGCGAGCAATGAGTATGCTGAAACAGCAAGGGATGGATACTAAATTGTCTATTGGCATTAAGAAATTACTGATGGTTGCTGAAATGGCTCGACAGGATGTAGATTTGGTAGACAAGTTTGTGTATGCTATAACGGTAGAGAATGGTGGCATTGGTGGAACAAGGTAGCGGGGTGAATGTATGTCTGGTTTTCATTGAATATAGAGTATTTGGATGGGCATCTATGTATCGACGCATTTGGTTGGATGAACTTGATATGCCAAATCTAAAAAGACTGTTTACTTTAAGCAGGACCAAAGGTATATAAGTTGTCAGGTGCACCGAAGGCAAGAACTGAGCCGAAGAAACCTGATTTGTGGGTGTCTAGTATCTGTCTTTCTGGTGAAATGACTGGGAATTCGGGAATGGAGTCCGAAGATGAGCTTAGACATAGCTTTCACGATAGGGCTGGCGAGTCAGTCTCTGCTCCATATCGATCGCCCTCCCACACCTCTCCTTCGATGGAAGATTTGCCAAGGTCGCCACAAATATTGGGTATAGTCTTTCCATGGCGAGATGTTGGTAACATTGATGCAGCATGGCAAAGCGTCAAGTGGCAGTCAATACAAAAGCATGCCGCAAAGGTGAAGCAACTAAACCTGCTCCACGTATCGGAGGAAGCATCTATTGGTATCTCAAGACCGTTCAAACTTATACTATCGTTCTGTGGAAAGCTAAGTTCGGCTACGGTTGCATCAAGTCCGATAATCTGTACGGCACAATAGCCAATAAACCCATGCATGACATTTTAGATCTTTCGCCGCTTTGGCTTGCAGATTATCAAGCTGTCATGTCAATCCAATGGTTAAAAACTGCTTAATATAAACGCTCACCCAAAGATCAAGTTACTGTTTTGCAGCTAATACTCTGTTACGCATTTTTACACCACTAACTCCTAATCCAAGTTCTTTCATTACTAATAACAAGCAAAGGGGTAACAAATAAAAGCAACTGATTGACTATTCGACATTTCGAAACAATAGGAAGAGATGCTTGGTGTGGTCAATCAACTCTTCAAATCTCCAGCCAGAAACAGCATCCTCTCCATACAAATCATCCCAATCCAACATCAAGCTATTGGGTTCATAGTCTTCGTCCTCTTCCCAGGCCATTTCGAGTCTCATCTTGACATATTCTTGACCCCGACGTTTGATAGCAGATCGTACTTCATCTGCCGACATGTCGCCAGACCAAACGCTCAATTGCTGGATATTGAAAGTGTGATTTTGAGCTTGCAGACTGGGATCTTAACAACCAAGACGGAACGCATCACAACAATGGCTCACCTCAACAGATGGAGTCAAAGTAGCTATGACGTTGAACAAATCCAAGGGCTCAAATCCATTGTGACATAAGTAGAGTTGAGTGAGGTTGGAGCACTTTGAGAGAAGATTCAAGTCAAAGGTTGTTCCAGGCTAAAAATGATATAAAGGAGGATGTTGATTTGAGTGAATATTATGATTATTTTTTGTTTACGAGTCCTCGCAAGAAAACCCTCGATTCTGCTTTACCTCACAAGTGTGAATATCCAGACTGCGAAGTTGATGTCCATGTTCTGGTATCCAATCAGCCAAGCCACTAGTCGTAAGCGAGTCTGAAGTCATCACGATATGATGAAGAATTGGAAACGTGTCCTTGGTCAAAACGGGAGTATTGAATTTGACATGCTCAAGTTCAATCGTATGTAATGTTTCTCGAGAACGGGAGATGACTTCACCCCAATCCTTCGAAGCGACACCAGACACATGTTTGAGTAATATGGTATGAAGACGAGCTATTCCACAAATATTCAAAGTTAGCACTTTTTGCTGCATGATAGTGAGAGACACGCTCAAGAAACGTGCTTCTAGCTCACCACTAACGTATTGCAAATCCAATGGACCCAGAGTGCCCGATTGCAAGTGGAGTGATTTCAAGGCTGTGAACCTTGAAAGCCAGTCATTTCCTGATTTTGAGACGTCAAAGTCCCACAACCTCAGCTCTTCCAAAGTATCAGCTGATGAGTGAAGCAAGTTCTGAATGACGGTATCGACTGGATATTTTTCGTCATCGTTTGCATTCATAGTTGTATCCAAGGAGAAGCTCTTCAACTTCCAGACCCTCAAGACACTAAATAATTCTATCGGAGGCATCTGAGTGTAGCTAAAGTTCAATACTAGATTATCAATAAGAGGAGTCTTGTTTGCTAGCTTTCGCCACCTGCCAAGACCACGAGATAGTCGAGGTAGTTTGTGTATGTGTGGAGCCTGGTTTTCTGCTACATGGGATATGATTTTGAGGGTTTTTACAGTTTCCGGCAAGTCAAAGATGAGGTTTATATATATCGGTGATATCGAGAGCTCCACCAGGTTGATACACTGATTGAGGTGTTCGAAGTCGTGATCTAGCCGAAGAGTCTTTATGACAGGAAAGATGTCCTGGCGATACATTGGCTTCTTGCCCCTCCTTGGTTTGGTTGATATGGGGGCCATTTGTTGCAATGAAGCTTTTATCATAGCTCGTTTGTCCTCATCATGAGCAACAACGGGGCGAGGAGTATTGGTGTAGAGCTCACCAACAACCAGTTCGTTAAGCTTCTTGCTTGTTCGAGATAGGGAGAACAAGACAGGGAGCAAGCCTATCGACAAAGAAGAGAATGGCAATATTGTGAGAAAGTGAAGATGAATATAACGACGGTCCTCAATAGGGTGCAATCAAAAGCAAACGTGTCATGAAATGGCAAAGAGCACAAAAGGTGACCAGCAAACACATACAATGAGGGCATTGTAGGGAAGTGATTATAATCATCAATAGCTCGTCAGGTAATGACATTAAGCTTGTCATGGCTGCTATCTATATAGGAAAGGGAGAAGCTTGGTGATAAAGAATGGGAGTCATTCTGTGCTTAGAAAAGTAGCATCAAAGTCAACTGGGCTTACACTAATAGTATAATAGTAGGATTATAGCGAGTTGTCCGTAGAAAGATGCCTGGGTCTGTAGGTGGTATATGTTGTATGGCGCTTGAGATTGAATAGAACGATGTTGAGTTGTGCCTTGGAAGCTGACGAGAGGTGCTCCACCATGTGAAGCAGCAAGACTTGTTTCCCTGTATAATTGCGATACAAGAGCGAATCTACCGATTTAATATTGACATTCCAGCTGCTTGTGCTGGGAACTGACCGTTCTATTCATTTGATGCAATTTTAACGTGTTCGACGCGTTTTACCTCGGTGGAAATCTTAGAAATGTGCAATAAATATGGTAAAATCCCTTCTCTTCTCTGTTCCTCGTGTTGGAGACATAGTGTCGATCTTGTCCCTTTTGTTTGTATCAAAACCTTCAACTTGGAACGGTGTACTGGCACACGTCAAGTATGAATCCGGTAAGTGTCTTGAGGCTGAGTCATGCAAATATAAACCACCATCTGCTTGCCTCTCTTTGGTGTGTTTGGTATATCTTGTTCAATTTCTAACCGAAACACTGCATTTCAAAATCAGAACGATACTGCCCCTTCACCAGGCACAACAGGCCATCCTGTAATGTCATCTGCATCCTCCGATCATCCAAGGACACCTGCCTCAACTGCAACTCCACAAGGAACTCCCATTGCTGCCATCCCAACATCTCAATCCGTCACTGACTATAGTTCTAGTAATACAACCACTATGTCAGCAACATCATCAACAGCTGCCACTCCGCAAACAATGGCTCCAACTCCTACTCTCATCCCAATAATCACTCCCTCTACCGCAAATGCTCCTCCTGCTAGACCATATCAGCAGCCCATAGTGATAGCTCCTGCTCCCATAGCTGCTCCTATAGCTCAACCGCAACCACCGGCTCCCGCTCAGCAACCTACACAGCCTGCTCCTGGCGGTCCACCTCCACAACAACCAAATGGTCTTATGTGAGTGTTCACGCTGTATTGCCTGTGCTTGAACAAACATCGCTGACACAGTTTTTCGTTCAAGGGATGCATTGACTTATTTAGATATGGTCAAATTGAGATTCCAGGAGCATCCTAGTGTTTGTGAGTGCTCGTATTTAGAAAACTTGTCAATGGGTCGATGATTCTTCACGAACACACTCTTCGCTTCTACTAGACAACAGCTTCTTGGACATTATGAAGGACTTCAAGTCACACGTGTATGTCTTTCGTTCATGTTCACCATATTTAGCAGTATTTAATCCGAATTGACTCTCTAGGATTGACACTCCTGGTGTGATTGATCGAGTAGCTACTTTATTCAAAGGTCACCCAGAGTTGATTACTGGATTCAACACCTTCTTACCACAAGGATATCGTATAGAGAGTACAAATGATCCATGTAAACTCATGCACTGGCTCCGTCCCCCTCTTTTATGCTCACACATCTCGAATTTTTTAGTGAATCCAATTCTGGTATGGGCAAATGGAGATAGATATACACCATTAGAGTTGAGATACGCTCCACAACCGCAATTACCAGGTGCTGCCCCAGCTGGCAACAGACCTATAGCTCAACCACAACCAATGCCGTATTCATACGCTTCGCCAAACTATCCTCCACCACCACCACCTCAACAACAGCAACAACAACAGCAACAGCAGCAGGCGCAACAGCAACAAAGTACAAACAACTATGCACCTGGCGGCTATCATGGCCAACCCACTATGCCTCATGCTACGAGTGCTGCACCTCCGGCACGACAACCTGCTCATCGGCCAGCGCCCCCTGCTCCAGCTTCGAATCCTGTTCCTGCAGGGCCATTGTCGACTGGTGCTAATGGTCAAAGTCGTGGACCTGTAGAGTTTAATCATGCTATTAGCTATGTCAACAAGATCAAGGTAATGCTGTTAAGATCATTACCGTGCTTGAGCCCTCTTCTTCTAACACATTCTTTCGCTAATTCGGTAGACACGGTATGCTCATGATGCTGATACATACAAGCAGTTCTTGGAAGTACTGCAAACATACCAAAAGGAGCAGAAGCCAATTCAAGAGGTATCCCAGCCTTTCCGCCAAGTCTTTTTTGGGCTCGTATTGAATTTATCATTTTCAAATTTTCCAACAGGTTTATGCTCAAGTCAGAGTGCTATTTGGAGGTGCTCCAGACCTCTTGGACGAATTTAAGCAATTCTTGCCTGATCATAGTAGTCAACAGAATCAGGGGAATCGAGGCATGATGAATCTCAGTAATACAGCAACAGGATTAAGCGGTAGTCAGGCAGCCAGAAAATCGCAATTGGGATTATCTGGAACGACTGGTGCTAACTCAGCGTCTGCTTCTGCTGCTGCCGCTGCAGCTGCAGCAAAAAAGCAATCGTTGAAGCGGCCTGCTCCTCAAGCGCAACCCTCACCTTCGTACACACCGATGCCCATGACCAATGCACCATCTGTACCTCCCAAGAAGAAGTCGAAATTGGCTGGTACTCAACGCGAGAAGCCCAGTATGATGGAGGAGATGGAATTCTTTGACAAGGTATCTTTGGTTGTAGTCCAACCGTATTTTTGTTTTCATCCTCTTGACAGTCAGAGCACAAAAAATGCTACTAGAGGTCAAGGAGTCGAACATGACATCTGTGACTAACAAATATCCATTTCACAGGTCAAGAAGCATATTGGTAACAAGACCAACTATGCTGAATTCTTGAAGATTCTCAATCTATACAGTCAAGAGATTCTCGATGCTTCAACTCTTGTCGAAAAGATTAAGCCTTTCTTAGAAGGTCAATCAGACTTGATGGAATGGTTTAGACGCTTTGTTCGAATCGATGATGCGGAAGCTATTACTCATTGTAAGAGTTTGATTCCTCAAATCTGGTGATTTTTTCGCGACCTAATCATATATTTTCCTCTAGATACTTACGCCACTGAACGTCGCCATATTGAACTGAGAGATTTACCAAAGAGTGGTCATAGTTATCGCTTGCTTCCAGCAGACGTAAGACTTGTTCGTAATTGTGCATATGGCAAAAAAAGCCAAGAGATAACACATGCATTCCCATTCTAGTTCGAGAGACCAATTGCATCCAGCATTGACGACATTGGCAGAGAAGTCTTGAATGATCATCTGGTATCTGTACCTCAATATGACAGTGAACGAGGATTTACAGCACATCGCAAGAATATTTATGAGGAGGCCTTGTATCGAGTAGAGGAAGAACGATACGAATTTGATCTGAATATTGAAGCCAATCTTCATACGATTGCTCTACTTGAACCCATCAGTCGGAAGATTCAAGCCATGTCTGCTGAAGAACGTGGGAAATACCAGTTGCAACCTGGTCTCGGAGGTAACTCGCGGTTGATTTTTTTTGTTGTTCTGGTAGCGTGTGATTGACCGCTCCTACTATCGAATAGGTACATCTACTACTGTTTATCAAAGAATCATCAAAAAGATTTGGGATTCTGAACGTGGTAAAGAGATGATTGATGCTCTTCATCACAATCCTGCTGTTGCTGTTCCTGTCATTCTTAAACGTTTGAAGCAGAAAGATGAAGAATGGAGACGTGCTCAGGTATGTCGTTGTGGTGTTGAACGTCCTCTTTGAACTGCTTTACACTTGAGTTTTTTTTTACGGTTCCAGAAGTGACTTTAACTCCCTCTCCACAACCATTACTTTTTAGCGTGAATGGCAAAAGGTTTGGAGGGAATTGGACACTAAAAACTTTTATAAGTCCTTGGATCATCGTGGAATCACCTTCAAAACCTCCGATAAAAAATCCATGACTTCTCGCCAGTTCTTTAACGAGATCGAGAACGAGTACAAGAAAAGAACAGATGCTCGACCATTCCAATTCGAATACTACTTCCCTGATTCCGGAGTGCATCGAGACATAGTCCGCCTCATCGCTCGATTGATTACTCGTCAAGCAAAACTTTCATCATTAGCCGACGACGAAGTATTAAGCATGAGAACCTTTTATAAACATACCTTGGCTCAATTCTTTTTGATGGACGATTTGGATATTGAAGAAGAGTATGAGAATGATTCATCAGATAGTGATGATGATACTCATAGTAAACGACACTCTAACAACACTGGTGGTGGACCTGGTAGCAGCAATTCTGGTGCTAGAGATTCACCTGCACCACCAACTAGTTCCTCATTACGTAAAGCTGTATTGACTCGACGAGCACCTAAATCCAGGAAGGGTGGTGATGGAATGGACTTGGATTCCGACTCTGAAACCCAACGTGGTGGTAGTGCTCAAGGTGGTGCAACTGGTAGTGGTAATGATGAAATGATGGATGTCACAGTGCCTGATGTCTTGAATGGATCATCAACTAGCACATCACGAAGAAACAGAAAAGATGGTGGAATGATGAATGGATTTGATTCAAGTCATAAGAGAAGGACTTATCCGTTCTTTACGAATGAGCCTTTTTATTCGTTCTTCCGATTATATCAGCTCTTGTATTCGAGATTATTGAAGATGAAGGAGTTGTCTAGAGAGTTGGAAGCCCACCCGCCACGAAGTGAACAATTCAATATGGTTGCTGTTGAATTGGGGTTGCAGGCTCGTCCTCCAGGTATGATATTATTTAATGTCGCCGGTGACTTTTTTTGGTTGAGAGCACGGTCAGCTGAATCACGAGGAGCCAATGTCATTTACCATTGTTTTCATTCCTTTATGCAGAAGTGATTCCCGAGCACCGTGATCGGTTTGATGAGTTGATGAGGATGGTATTGAATATGCTGGCTGCTAAGATGGATGCATCAGATTATGAAGATAAAGTCCGTCACATGTATCAAACTTCAGCATATCCCATGTATACTATTGATAAGGTTTGCCTTGCCATGGCTAAGCAGGTACGTGTAGTTGGTTGAGGGAGGCCGCGATGAGGCCATATGCCTTTCTTCCAGTGTGATTACGCATTTTTTTTGCTGACAAAATTATTCAAATTCTCCTTTTTCTATTTAGATTCAACACATCACCAATGATTCAACGTGTATGGAGTTGATCAAACTGTATGAAAAGTATGCTCAAATGCCAACGCTGCCTTCTCGTCAAGAAATCATGTATCGGATATCCGCAGAGCAATTGTGTCAGGAAGAATTAAGCATGTTTAAATTCGAATACGTACGTGATATCTTTGGGTTTCTGCTAGTGGGCTGTATTCGCCGAAATGAGGGAAGGCCGAAAAGGCATGACTCCCATTACCACGCGTTATCGCAATCTTACACAACTCGTCCCTAGCATCCTACTGAAACTCGCCTCACCATTCAACTATTGGGCAAAGAAGACCTACTAGGAGATGACGCTGCCTCGCCGCATGAACGATGGAGCATATACGTCGACCGGTTTGCACAATTGCAAACAGGGGAGACTACTGGTGGTCGTCGAACAGAAGCCTTCTTACGTCGGAATCTACCAGAACTAGCCGATAATGTACAACTGTCACGTGAAGTAGATGCCCATGCAGGTCTTGAACTCAAGATTTGTGTGAATTCGTACCGTATACACTTTGTAGAGGGCACAGAAGATTACTTTAGAAGACGTAGACCTGCAGATCGTGTTGAACGAGATGCATTACGAGAACGAGAATCTGGAGTTGATGGGACTCGTACCAAGTTATTCAAGCGATGGTTGGAGAAACGACAACAGGATATACTGCATGCCCGACCTTTAGAAGGCCCCATGGGTGTTCCTACCGCAGGTAGTAATACCGCATTTGGCACCACAACCAACCTCAATGCCGCTATGGAAATGATCCGCGCCGCCCAGCAGTCTGCCAAACAGTCAGAAGATCAAGCTATGATGGAAGCAGATGACCTACAAGCCGAAAGTGCATCACAAATAGCACCACTACCAGCCCATCAACATATGCAACACCGTCACCAACCCAGTAATAATAGCAGTAGTAGCAATCTACAGCAGCAGCAACAGCAAGGATCGCAGGAAGGAGCATCACAGCACGAAGAAGACGATGATGATTCTGTTGTTGTAAGTGATGGCGAGGATGATAATGAGGACAATGAAGATGGTGGTGATGGTGGTGGTATGATGGAGATGACTGAGAATCGAGATGAAGAAGAAGAGGAGCAAGAGCAAGCGTACAATAATAGTAATAATAATATTGATGAAGAGGGAGATGTATATGAGTCTGATCAGGGAGGCGATGATCAGGATTTGGCACATGACGATGATATGGATGATATCGATGGTGACAACAGTCGGATGGCTGAGTAGAAAAACATAGAAATCGGGACGGTAGACTTGCGTGAAAACCATCACCGCTCTAGCTCTCATGTGCGTGCTTGTCGGTTTTGTAATATGAGGAAAAGATTGTGGATGCTTTGTTATCTTGTTTTCGCAGAATATATACATTGTGCTTTCGAATTAGTGTTTGTGTTCTTGAAGTTTCTCTTGGAGTTGTAAAGGTTCGCAGAGCTGCTCTTCCAGACCGAAAAAATGTTGCCATCGATACGGATCAATGTGAGTTGACGTCTTGCCAAAATCAAACACTGTATTTACATAACTGGCAACAGAAATTTCCTCGTCATTTACTTAGATACAAAACAGTCAACCTATCTCACAATCCAACCAAACTACATATCTAACAAAATGCCCCCTCAACACCAATTGCCCCATTATTGACTCTTCCAATCGAATTCAATTTGGAACCATATCCTGCCATTTGACAGGTTTCTGATATGCTATGTAGCGGTCCCAATCCTCCAGATTCAATTTAAATGACGAGATGGATAAGCTGGCGTTTCCTGGACCCGGTCTTCGTGGATTGTCTGATATTTGTGGGTATGGGAGTGATATTGTGTCTACTTCTAGATTTGCTGGGCGACTAGAAAGGTGGATAAAGCGATTAGAGGATGTCAGTTTCTATTATCATGATGTTTCGAGTAAGAGCAAGAAGGAAGTCCAATTATCCATGAGACAGGAGTGGCTCTGCCGTTTTTGTCTCCGTATTCTTTATGGCAAGAATTCAAAACTTTTAAACCTCACTTACACATTAAGATCCGGTTTCAAATCCAAAGATTCCAGCCACATCTTATTTATAGATCTTCGTGCTCTTGGTATAAGTTTGACACCATTAGGACCGTTAACATATGATTTGGAAGATGAGCCTCCCTGTTGTTGATGATGGTGGTTGTGTTGATGATGCGGTTGTTGGTGGTGATGAGGTGGTGGGCTTGTTGGTTCGTGTGTGTCTAGACCGTCTATTGCTCCTACCATACCACCGGCAGTGTGATGATGATCGGCAGGATGGAGCATCATGACGGGAGAAGATAGGGAGTTTAGGTTTTTGTATGTTGTTTTCTTTTGTGGGATGTTTAGTGCCTAATTGAGACATGAGTTAGTCAGGAATCCTCGTGGATCTCCATAGCATTTTTTTTGCGTCCTAAGGCGTTTGATTGCAAGCCAAACTAGTGCCATAGGAGCCAAACAAAAGGCATTCAAGAAACAGGAAATATGAGGCATACCTTGTTTGTTATGCGAGAATGCACCTTCTTGACAGCCTGCTTGTCCGATATCATCATGGCAGCTAGAGCAGCGACTGGATCAAACCGTGTACTGGATAACGAGTCTAACTGTTTGTCCAGAGCACGAGTCGAATGCGGTGTTGGTTTATCTAGCATGAGTACTGGCTGTGGTGGTGACGATATAGACGCAGACTGTATACTTGGATTACTATTCGTGCCATGACCTATACTAGTATGATAAACACTGACAGGAGCGACACCCGGTATTCTCATGTAGTGTGGATCGTATTCTGGCTGTATGGAGAGCAGGTTCCTCGTTCTTGGTTGTATTATGGGTACTTTTGATGATGGTTGTCTCCTCAGTTTGGCCGTTGGTTGCAGTGACGGTTTTTGGCTATTCCCGAGGTTGCTAGCGGCACTGTGACTGTTACTGCTATAATTGTGATTGTTATAGATTCCAGCACTGGAGCCACTACCAGTGTATGCCAAGGGGTGTGGTGTTGGGATTGGGACATTCCGTGATATTTCGGCAATTGTGATGCCCTCGTCGAGGTCCCATGGCTGTGACATGTCCCTTTCCTGGATAGTATCAATATATCTGTATGAAAACGAATTCACAAGTCAGCAAGGGAAGCAAGCAGTGGCGAATAAGACACGAAATTGTTTTTCTGTTTTGCCTCTACCAGATTGTCCAAAACAAAACAGACTCCTTTAATTGTACAAGGAGACTTATGAGAGATGCAATAGTTCCAATGGCTTGTGCACGTAATTCCGTCAGGTTTGTCCTCGTTCTGGTTGGTGATTGCTGCTTCTCATATACTCGAAGTATTTGTTTTGACTCGATGCGTCGGCAGTCGACAGCTTCGAGGTTAAAGAATAGAAGAACGCGTATATACGCGCAGATTAACGCTATTTAGACTCGGACAATTCCAATTGCCGCGAACATCTCCGTGAATTCCGGTGTTGCCGAAAACCTCATAAAATCCAGATCAAACCAATAAGGCACCTAAGATGGTCTTAGTAGCCGGCATAGACGCATCGACACAGCAGCTCAAGTTTATTGCTATTGATGACAGGCTTAATGTGGTTAAGGAAGTGTCGGTAAACTTTGACAAGGAGCTGCCTCATTTCAAGTACGTATCTTCCCATGCTCCATTGCCATTCAAGCACTACATTAACACCGAGCTTCTAATTTGAATATTATACGTTGGCATTGTAGTACTGTCGGTGGTGTTATGGCTAATGGTTTGGTTGTGACTGCTCCAACATTACTCTGGGTTGAAGCTCTGGACAGCTTGTTGAGCAAATTACAGGCTGAAGGGTTTCCCTTTGATCAAGTCATGGCTATATCTGGATCAGGACAAGTAAGCTCATCCAATTTTGCTCTTTGTTGCTATATGTGTGCTGAAGCCAACTGTAGCAACATGGTTCCGTCTACTGGAAGATCCGCGCACATCAGACTCTCAAGAATCTGGATTCATCGAAAACACTTCATGAGCAGCTTCTGGATTCGTTTGCAGTGTCCCAGTCTCCAATATGGCAGGACGCAAGGTATGAACTTCGACAAGCACGTAGACTTGTCACCATGGACATGAATCTGACACGTTTGATATCTCTCTTTGGCCAGCACTGGCAAAGAATGCAAAATGCTAGAAGATGCTATGGGTGGTCCACAAGCTCTAGCCGATCTAACAGGGTCGCGGGCATATGAGCGATTCACTGGCTCTCAGATTGCCAAAATCGCTCATACACAGCCCGACGCCTATCAAAACACCGAGCGGACATCGCTTGTGAGCTCATTTATGTGCTCATTATTATGTGGCAAGTACGCCCCGATAGATACATCAGACGCAAGTGGCATGAATCTGATGAATATCACAACTAAGACATGGTGTGATGAGCTGCTGAAAGTATGTGGAGATGCACTGAAAGAAAAGTTGGGATTATTAGCGGAAGGCGATGCAAGTCTTGGGTCGATATCGTCGTATTACGTAAACCGATATGGATTCCCGTCAACATGTATAGTAACGCCCTTCACGGGCGATAATCCAGCTTCTCTATCGTCGTTCCCTTCTAAAGCTGGAGATGTAATAATATCTTTAGGAACTAGCGATACCCTCTTCTTGACCCTCAACGATCCGAAACCAGCATTGGATGGTCACATACTGGCGCACCCGACAGAAAAGGACTGTTACATGGGTATGCTTGTGTATAAAAATGGATCTCTAGCCCGAGAACGAGTACGAGATTCCGTTGGAACTAGGACGTGGGAAGAATTCGACAATCTGGTGAAATCGCTTCCGCCAGGATGCAATGGACGAACTGGATTCTATTACTATATGGCCGAAATCACTCCTCGAGCCATGGGAGTGTTCAAGTATGAAAATGAAAGTCAAGTGGACGAGTTCTCAGAAATCGAATGGAATGCTCGCGCAATACTAGAATCACAAGCATTGTCTATGGCCTCACATGCGCAAGCTCTGAATCTGAAACCAGAAAGGATTATAGCAACAGGAGGTGGCTCGCAGAATAATGTGTTCTTGGGTATATTAGCTGATGTGTTTGGGTGTGAGGTGTATAAAGCAGATGCAGATGCCAATTCAGCTAGTCTCGGGGCTTGTTATCGAGCTCTTCGTGTATTGAAAGGAGGAGATATGGTTGTAAATACGAAGCTTGTGCTGTCGGCAACGCCTGATCCCGTCAGGGTTGACTTGTATAAAGAAATGTTGGGCAAATGGAGGATATTAGAGGAGCAAGTCATTCGTGACGGTGCATTCTGATAGTTTTGGCAGGCTGCATGTACAAAAATAATTTTAATCTGAATCTACAGTATAAAATAGTAGTAGCTGCTACCGCGTAGATGGGGAGAATTGCCTTAAGCCATTTTTGAATACTAATCACGTCCCTTTTTCTTTTCAACAGCGAGAATGTTCATAACAAACACGTCGGATTTGCGTACAGAATTATATACCTTCTTTATTGGCTGTCCGGTGCTCTTTGCCTGCCAATCTTCAAAACATTGATCGTTTCTTGCAGCCCACGTTCTGATAGTTGTAGAGAAACTTACGATAGATCAATGATGCCTATGGTGTCGGGCGATGCTCCCATGTCTCCTGGCCGGCTCTCGCCAACGAAAACCTCCTTCTTTACTCCATTGCCAATAATTGGACAACAGAAAGCAACCAACAGAGCATCCAGACAGAAACTTTTAGGAGTCGACTGTGTTGATGCTGTAATGTTTGATCAATGGTAACTGTGCAATTCATTTTTACCGGGTATTGGGATATCAAATTCTTGTGAACGTGTTGTTTGACAGTTTGCATCAATGTTCTGTAGGCAGCCTGGAAAGGACTATGTCAAGACTCTGGTGGTGAAGAATGTTGGAATGGGTGCATTGAAGCTTTCATATTCACAGCCAAAGGCACGCTTTGACGCTCTGTACTTTCCCTTGAAGTTAAACGTTGACGATCTATCGAATGTAGGGTACTGCTTTCACAGTGGATTTCTCTAAAATGACAACGTTAAGCACTGGTACTACATGGAGCATTCCTGTAACCTTCAGTCCGTTGAAACACGTATGTACGCAAACAAGCACGTTTTCCGTGGTCAAACAATTCACATCGTTTAATCAACAGGAACGTCACCACGACACTCTCGAGTTTTCGACTCCATATGGACCGTTTACCGTAGATCTAGCTGGGAACTTGCCACAACACAAGCTGGTTTTCACAGAAAAGCTGGATTTCGGATACTCGCCAGTTCGCGCGACGAGCATGAAATCAATCCAATTATCAAATCTTGGACCACTACCATCATATTTCGTATGGAATGAAGGTGTCAATTCGCCGTTTACAGTGCTGTCGCCAAAGAATGGAACTCTTGCGCCAGGAGAAAGTGTTAATGTAGTCGTTCAATTTTGTCCACAGGTCAGTATTTGTGTTCAGTTTTAATCCAGATCAAACCCTCTTTTAAATATCATTGAATCATTTAGGATGCGTCTGTCTGTGAATCGAATCTAGTCTGTTGCTTCGGTGATCGTGACAGATGGGACGAAGAAAGAGTGACGCGACAACTCAGAGCTACGGGAGTTGGCAAGTACTCGTATGTACGCTTCCGGCATAATGTCAAGAAGGTGGAATTTGGTGATGCGTTGGTTGGGAGTGTGGCAGAGAAGACTGCTACATTAGAGAATTTGTCCACGGCAAGTACTGGTGCTCAGTGTTTGATTTTTTTACCATCACTGATTCTGTGACATTAGGTTCCAGCATCGTTTACGGTGACGCCTAAGGAAATTGGATCCTCGCCATCTGCATTTTCAGTATACCCATCGCAAGGCGTTATTGGTCCTCGCAGTTCTGCCAAACTGAAGGTGTGCAAATGCTTCTAGGGCTCGTTTCTTTGCTTGTCGAGGATATTATCTAATTACCCTCTCATAGCTCATATTTGCTCCAAACATTGTCTTTCCAATCTCTGCAGAGTCTTTCAACATCGATATTCCCTCTGGTACCAGTCTTCAGTTAACATGCACTGGAGAAGCAGTTGGTATGATCCATCTTACGTCAAACACTGCGCTGGCCTTTTTCTCTCTTATTTTTTCTATTTTAGCATCCAAAGTGGCTCTAAGTACAACGGCCCTGAGTTTTGGTGAAGTGCCATCCGCATACACAGTATCCAAATCTGTCATGCTGAAGAACTTGTCTTCTGAACGTGTGGCATATCAGGTGCATTTCTAAATCGCGACAGAAAAAGTTCAAACCTAACTCCATTTTGTTAGTTCACGCTGGACGGAACTGGCGTATTCAAAGCAGACAAGACGTTGGGCACTTTGGAGCCTCGTCGATCTGCAACAATCACATTCACATTTTCAGCCAACGAGCCGTTCAATTACTATCGCAGAATCTATTGTCTGTTAGAGCATCATGATGCTTTGGTACTTTGCTATTGTCCGTGTTTTGCATTGAAATGCAAATCTAAACAAAATCATCTTATAGACTCTGGATTTGTTAGCTACATGCTTCACAGACCAAGTCAAGCCAATCTGCATAACAGCACAGCATTTAGATGCCTTCCATAGGCGAATATCGAATGGGCTTTGGATGTATCATCCTGATGAGCTACAAGAGGTATCGTTTCTGAATTCATTTAACCGAGAGGTATTCACTGTAGTTTACCTTGAGCTTTTTTGCCCCTCAGATGTTACAACTAGAGGTCATCCAATTCACAAGAAATCATTTGTCGTATGTCGTGATTCCTCGAGACTTGGACTTTGGTAACAAATTCAGCATCAGCAAAAAACAACCGACAGTTGACTCACACCTATATGGATAGGAATACATTCAGATGCGCCCTGTGAAGGATCTGAGATGCTGAGTGAATTTTATAACGAGACATTACTGGGAGCTCGTCTAGCTGGAGTCTCAGAGTCATCAGTCAATTTTGGGTCATCGTTTGCAAAAGGATTTGTGACGCAGAAGACTATTCGTGTGTCAAACAACACCAAAGGACAAGTGGCGGGACTGTGGTCGGTTCCTTCTAGGTAGCCAAAAACGTAATGCTTGATGAAAAATGTGTTTTGGTTTTTAACGCTTTCCACTAGTGGATTTACTATTGAGCCCAAAACGTTTGACTTGAAAGCACAAGATATTGCTGATTTCAAAGTCTTCTTTGATCCTGGACAAAGTCGAAATGAACTCTTTACAGGAGAGCTGGAAGCGTTTATGACTTTTGCAGGTGCTAAAACTGTAGATGAACGGACACTCACACCGTCTTGGTGTTTGAAAGTTGCCGTCACTGGGTAATGCATGCTCAGATTGCAATCTTTTGAAAAGCTTTTTTTGTGCTGTCTCTTACTCGCCGAACCTATTAGAAACTCATTGACTACTGATGCGCCTCCTGGAGCAATCGACGTTTCTCAACCCACGCTACAATTCCCAGGCAGTCACGTCGAACGGTCCTTGTATTCGACCATCAAAGTGTTTAATCCTTCAGCACAGCCAGTCAAGTTTGCAGTTGAAGATATTGGCAGTGCAGCTGTTACATCATCATTGGGATCTGTCTTGTCAGTGAGGCCAAGGCATTGTACTTTGAATAGTCTTGAGCATCGCTTGATTGTTGCTCGGTTTGTGCCAGCTGATCCACTGCCATACTCGCATCAGCTACAGTGTCTGGTTAATGATAAGCCGGTGGAGAATCAAGTCAGTTGAAAAAAATAAAAGCAGAAACCACTGAATTTTTTTTGAAACACCATCGCTTTCATAGGTCTTGCAACTTGGCGGAACTGGTCATTTCGCAAAGGTTTCTTTGAGCACAGGAACTAGTCTTAGCTTTAGACCAACATTGTTGGGTACTACTGCTGTTCAACAAATCACGATACAGAATTTGTCACAGATATCTGTTGATTTCAAGGTGGGAATCTACACCTTCTCAATGCATGAAAAGAATGCGCCTGACTCTTTTTTGTTTGCAGTGGTTACAACCAACGGATGTGTGCACATTTTTCTCTGTCGAACCAGCATTTGGACTATTAGTGCCGAATGGGTCCCAAGTCCTCAAATGCACGTTCAACCCAACAGCTGTTCGCGGCTATAATGTAACTCTGGCATGCCAATTTGGTCATCATCTCTCAGGTTAGCAACAACAAAAACACCTTCCCTCAGACGTGTATTGCTTTAAATTTAACAATGTTCTCCAGAACAACCACCATGGCCCGATCATCCTCAAAACTTTGTAAACACTTTGACTCTGGATGTCAAGGGCCAAGGATCTATTGGCAAAGTGGTTGCTGAACCTAAATTGATTGATTTTGGGCCTGTGCTTCTTGGACAAGCTGCAGAGCGAGAAGTCCGAATCTTTAATCCTACCGAATGTGACATTTTGTTTGATTTGAATGTTGTTCGTGTTGGAGGTGGTAGTGATGGTGAGTTCATATCTGAAGTAGGAGACAATATGACTTTTGACCCATTGGTTTCTTCTACTCCTCACAGACGCCAAATTTGATGTGACTACCTCATCAGATATGTTGTATGCTCGGGCTTATAGCACTATCCGGATTCGAGTGGAGCCAAGCAAGTGTGTCGAGTCCAAGTTCCGTGTGCTGTATCAAGTCAGAGGTATGCTCGGACAGCTTTAAATGTTGAATTCAGGGAGGGACTTAAGCTTTGTTTCCGCGCAACTTGCCGTTAATAGGATTTAGCAAGAAAAACAAGCCTGAAGCTGCAAAGGTATGATTCGAAGTTGTTTTCCAGATATGGCATCCACTTATGGTAGCGTTTCTTTAGCTCTTAAAATTGTTTGATGTAAACGTTCAAGGAGTTCGACCTGTAACTCAAGTAATGGATGTTCGCAGCTCTGGTGTGTAATGTATAGAGTGCGGATGTTGGTTTTTCTGTGGCTCAAACTACTGTTCTAGATATGAGCAAGAGTGCTCTGTGGAGGATGTTTAGTATTGAACAGTTCAATACTGGCGTTGAAACTGTGAGTATTCGATGCACCATGAACTATGTATAAGTTTAGTATGCTTAGGAGCATATTTTGCATAGGGGCTTTCGGATTCACAGGAAGAAGAATCCGATGATTCTCAAGTCGTTTTCGATTTTGGAGCTGCATCGTTTGAGTACGTCTGTCCTTATCATTCGAAATGGCCTTTGGAACAGTATTTGAAACAGAATTTTTTTATATAGGTCGGTGCCAACTGTTGTATCTATGAGGATGGTCAACCCAGGTGTCGTGCCAGTACACTGGGCGTTCGACCTGCCGAATCACATGGATGTAGGTTCTGATCCCTTCTACTGCGTGTGCAATATTTGCATTACCTCTTCTTTTTTCGCATCTAATAGGTTCAACCAGAGACATGGATTGAGGTTGCAGATCAGACCGAAGAGGAAGCACAACAGACTTTTGTTGTTGACCATGAGTTATTTGAAATCTCTCCAAGGGTAGGTGCTTTTGTTTTCCTGTTTCACTCTAGGAAAAAAAGTAACGCAGTACCATGGCATAGAATGGAACACTAGCTCCTAATGAGGAGATCATTGTCCACTTTGCCTATTACCATCGTGAGCGAGGGTCGCATCACTTACCGTGTATCTTCCGTCTTTCGAGTAATGGCAACACAAGCGGTAAACAAACCGAGCTTCACACGACTCATTTGGTGATGTCAAGTTTCTCACTTTACCAATTAGGTCAAACTCTCATCGTCACTGTGACGGGCAACACTGTTGATCCAGTTCAAAAATACGCACACCTCACATCATCAACATTCCATCTTCGATCTGTTGCTGTGAATTCTATGAGACCTCCAGTACAGATTTTTGAAATACCTAACTTTGGTCTTGTATCATGGCAGTATGAGATTAGTGAGGCAGTGTTTAAACAGGTTCGTCATTAGAAGTAGCACTTTAAACGTTGTTTTTGGGCAGCTAACGAATAGTTCTTCTCTCTTTTAGATACGTGAGCAAAACCATGGATTTGAAGTGCTCTCGTGCTTGCAACCTAAAGGTTGTGTCAATCCTGGAGATTCTGCGTGGATACCGTTTATATTCCGTCCTGCTGAAACTAAGACTTATTTGGTATTACAACCCTCTTAGTGGCGATTTTTTTTTCGTGCTCACATTTGCTTTTGCTAGATTGAGATACCAATCAAGATTGATGATGGCGCCACTAGAATGGTTACATTTCAAGGTCGTGGCATTGCTCAAGTATGTTTGTATTCTCTTGCAAGACCAAAAAAATTATGCCCTCACATAATATCGAATCAGTATACGCAATCTGAGGACTTCAAACGTGTGAGTCGGACTGAACATGGAGACAAAATACCGACTACACGATCCATTGAGTTCGAAAATCAATTGGCTGTATTGTCTGTTGTAAGTCCAGATTTTGTCGTTGTGATATTAACAGACTAACGTGAGCGCTTTTTTTCTTCCAAATAGGACCGAGTCAACTTCGGACATGCACCGCTTGGAGCACTGCTAAGACAAGTGGCTGTCATTCAGAGTCAGCCTGGTCAAAGATTGCCGCTTCGATTCCTTTGGCAGATTCCACCGATGAGTGGTCTTGAATGTGAGAGAGAGTGCCTTGTTTGCAACACTACGTCTTGTTACGCTGACCGCATTTTTGCAGCTTTGGCCGTGACGCCCATGACGGGAATACTAGAACCAGGACAAAGTGTTGTTTGCAAGATGGTTATGACTTTGGATCAGCAGCCAAGAATCTTGGATATTGATTTGGTTTGCCTTCTCTTCCATGATCAAGACAGGGTGAGACTTCGTAGTGTTCTGGACTTCCTCGCCACATATTCACACTGATTTTTTTGTTGATCTAGATGTCTGCTGAAGCTATATCACAAACGTCAATTGACCGAACATCTTTCATCGGCAATCGAGAATTCGCTATGAAAGGGTCTCGTGTGGATTTGAGGACCATCAAGTATCGTCCACTGCCTCCTATAAACAGTAGCAATGTGGACCCAGACTCGTATGATGAGCCGCTTAGCGATGAAAGGAATCGTGGATTGATATCAACGCCTGTCTGTAAGATGTATCTGGGACTGGCGGTGCATTCTCACTGTGCAGAGGAATTCAAGAGTCTGTATACTGGATTTGAGGAGTGCTTCTTTGAGCCGATACAAGCTCGGCCTGTAAGACATTCACGATAGGTGTTTTTTTGGGTCTGGACTTCTAACAATTTGAATCTCATTAGACCAACCTGACCAAAGCACCATCTTCATCGACCAAGACTGTCTTTACATCCATGGTTGATCAGATGATGGATGATATTATGCAAGAACTTGATAGTGAAGGCCTTGCAGAGTCTTTGGTGCATGAACCAGATCCACCATACTTTGCCCAGTTGACTTCAGTTCCTTCAAATGGTGTCTATTCTGGAGATTCAAAGGAACTGTCTGAAGAAGAACGTGAAGGTGTTGAGAAAGTTCTCAGGTATGAGAAGAAAATCGACTACATAAGAAGGTATAGCTCATTAAAGAACTCTCGTACCTTACTTAGATCAACAAAGTTCCAGACTATGGCAGAGAAGGTGTTTGAAAACACGATTTTCAACCTCTTGCTTGAGGCGGATGCTGGAGAGTTTGACGTGACAGTTTGTAGATAAATTCACGACATGTAGATAGACGGTGGTCTCGTATTCGAATGCAAAATATATTTGTTGAATTATTTACAATTCAGTTCCATTTATTAAATGAGGATTTCACATGAATCTCGTAGCGAGACGACGTTCCCACTCGACACGATGCATTTGATACAAGAGCATGGCCACTCGTGCATCTTCTACTGATGAATGAGAGCCTTCCTGAATGCTAATATTCAATATCTGAGCTGCTAGTCTTTTCAGAGCAGGTTTCTTGCTATCCACTGCTCGTTGGAATGGTTTGTATAGCTGAGTATCCCGAATGAGTTTCCGGGGGTGGTCTAGTAATAATGCCTATTTTGGGAATCGTAGGTCTCAATAGATGCTCTTTTTGCCAGCCCCAAATTCTGTAGCCACATACCTGGAAATCGTTCTTGATTGCGTGCCCTACTACAGTTCGATCTTTCAGAATGGAAGCCACTAAGTCTTGAGCTTCCTTGAACGTTATGCCTAGTATTTACAGATAAATTGGGGTCAGCATTCGGAGGGACGAAAAATTGCAAATCTATCACAATACCTTGATGCAAGAGAGCAGGTGTAACACCACTAACATGAGTTCGAAAATCCGTAACTTGCTCAATAGGTTTGACAAAAGTATCCAAAACAACATGACCATGGAAATTGATTATGCTGACACGAGCCAAGGCTGATACGAGACCAGCTGGTCCAATTCCAACCATTTCACAATCCATTGCTATGTATTTTCCAACTCTAAATAGAAATAACTGTTGGTGCTGACATCTCGAATGGTGCAACGGAATCCAAAAACCGTACTTTTGACGCGACGCTGGGACTGGAGCAACCTCCTTTTGCAACACGAGATCTTTTGATATATACACTATAGGAGGTGGTAGCTCCTTTTTAGGCTTCTTTTTGGATTTGAGTCCCGTGGCATCTGCATCCTCATCAACGTTTTGACTCTTTACGTCCTTGGTATCGTCATCAGCCTGTTTAGATCCATTCATTTTGACAATGACTTGAGAGCCTGATTTGACGAGCTCGAGGGATACGCTACTCCCATACGCTAGCTTCAAGTCTTCTTCTGGTATATCGTCAAACCAGAAATCGACGACTTTGACGGTTTGTGGTGGAGTTGGTAGGGTGACGGTGGATGCGACAGATGCGGCTGATGATTTCGATGCGGTGCCGCTCTTCTTTTCTAACTTTTGATGACTATAAGAACGTTTTGATGAGCGCACAAAACCAGGTGTAGTTTGATGTTGATCTTGGTTGACAATGTGTCGTTCCAGCAAAACGTACTTGGCAGAATCGATTCTTGGAGCTTTGGCAGGCTTGAATTCAGTATGAAGCTCCTTGTCTTGTTCTTTAGGAGCTCGTTTTCGTTTGCTCCCAGTTTTTTGCAACTCCTGTCAAGGGACAGAGTCAACAATGAAGCCAATGCCTAAACGGCCCAATTGAAATTTCACTTGCCTGCGATAACGTCTTCCAATTTGAAGACACTTTCCTCGTTGGAATGCTCATCCTCCGTCCACGAACTGACAGTTTCTTGTGTTTGGAGCAAACTTGGAAAAAAAAGTTACGATGCAGGCATCAGAAAGACTTTGAGGAGGAATGGGCCAGGTTTCCCGTATTTATTACGTGTTAATTGAAGATGCAATTGCTACGAGAGACCGACCGTCGGTAAATTCAGCACCAACAGGATTTCTTCAACCGTTCAACGGTTACTGTTGGAGGCAGTGTAGACATCTTGGAGGCATTTCACGTGCTCTACCGTAAATTGTCTACCTAACGGAATGAATTGGTGAATTTCGCCGGTATTCGGTATAGCGTTGGCTTCATAGCCGTTTCTCGCGGCTGCCTCTTCTGTTTTTCATTGCTTGCTATTGAGCTTGATTCTCAAAACATCAGCTTTCTGACCCCGGCGAGTCTAGTAGAGATAGAGTAGAAGTCTCTCTTTGGTGAGTCTCCAAGCAATTTCCAAGATTCACTAGTTGCATCTGGACCCGAATGTCTGAGCTTACGAAAAAATCCAAACATCGTCCCTGTCACTTTCTGACCAGCCGACTATTAGACTTTGCTCCACCGCATTAAAGCTCAAATCAGTCCAAGCTCAAGATCTGCTGACGGCCTTCACCATTCCGTTGATAATTGTGCGTGAAGATGGCCGACATTCAAGACGACGTTTCTGTCTTGTCACAAAGTTTGACTCTTCCATGTGGAATCACCATCAAGAACCGCATCGCGAAGGCTCCTTTGACTGATTTCATTGCTGATGCACGCGACAATCTGCCAAATGAGCGAGTCTTTACAGTTTATTCACGATGGGCTCGTTCTGGGTGTGGACTGATTGTTACCGGAAACGTCATGGTAGACAAGGCTCATCTAGGTATGTATACGCTTACAACTAGTTCAGCTTGAGAGTTCTCGTTGATCTCGATTTCCTTTTGCAGAGGCACGCAGGAATGTGTCTTTGGTTGCTGGTCAAGAGAGTCGCTTGGACTTGTACATTCGTTTTGCAAAAGCTTGCAAGGAAAGCGGATGTACAGCTATCATGCAGCTAAATCACGGAGGCCTGGAGGTACTCTATGTTTATTTGCTTTGTTTTCATAGCATTTAAAGCTTACCCCTGACAACTAGACTCCGTATGCTGTGAATAAGACACCCAAAGTGGCAGTCAGTGTGTCTTCCATTTCCAAACACATGTTTGGTACTCATCCGGTGGCAATGAGTCTAGCAGAAGTACATCAAGTATGTTTTTAGATTTCGCTGGTTTTATCCACGTCCGCTAATCAACCCAAAAATAGGTTCGTCATGCATTTCTTTTTGCTTCCAAAGTCGCTGAAAAGTCTGGATTCGACGGAGTACAAATTCACTCCGCAGATCTTTTCCTGTTGGGCGAGTTCTTAAATCCACCAAATGCCCGTCACGATGAATATGGAGGAGCATTGGATAATCGAATGAGGCTGCTGCGAGAAATTCTTCATGGTATACGATTGAACTGTCCGAAACTTGCCATTAGCGTCAAGGTAAGAATTGCTTGATGTGCCTGCATTTGACTTGGTCTGTTACAGATTTTATTGCATTCTCAATAGATCAACTCGACAGACTATCAGCGTATCAATGCACCTGACGAGGACATCCTTTCCATTTTGAAGATGTTGGAGTCACGGATTGACTTGCTCGAGGTTTCTGGTGGATCGTATGAATCTGAGGCTTCTGTTGAAAAGGGACATCGAGAATCTACTGTGAAACGAGAACGATACTTTTTGGACTTTATCAAGCTGGTGCGCCAACATGTCAAGATCCCTCTTATGGTCACTGGTGGGTTTCGTACTAGGAGTGTTATGGCGTCAGGTATGTATGCGTTGTATAACCTTTGTGGATGACATCAATGCAACTCCAATCTTTTGATCTCTTGCAGTTGTACGTTCCGGCCTAACAGACCTTGTTGGCATTGGAAGGCCCTTCTGTCTATATCCGGAGCTGCCACAAATACTGCTAGCACGAAACGCGATTTGTGATTATACTGTGCCTGATTCCAAACACGATTGGAATAAGATGCCATCTATAGAAAGCTTTTGGTACTCTGGCCAGATACAGAGAATGGCTGATGGACTTAATCCTGACGAAGACTTGAGCACCAGCTTTTATGCATTGGTGTGGACGCCACTTCATTATATCTGTGAGCCGTCAACCACGTTTCCTACTAGCGTGATATGGTGGGTTGGTGGAGAGTGTCTTCCCATGATACAGCAGTCTTATTGACTTTTACTTTCAAAGGAATGTGGTATGGCCAATAACTCCAGAAGATACCTGGTTGCACAACCAGCTATATCTGGGACTCGGTGCTGTGGTCTTGTATGTAACATATAGACATCTGAGTCGACCATGATTCCATAATAGTATGGGATTCCTCATAATACATGTACTTTAACTTTGATTTTCTTTGCTGTCGGATTTCACGTTATTCAGTCTCAAATCGCACAAAACCGGAAAAGGTATTTAAAATGCTTAGGCCTTGTCTATTTAAACATGCAAATTATCCTTGAAACAAATACCAGTGAGTCATATAAATCCCAAAGCGCCAGAAAATGTGGTCTCATGGTCGTGGCCTAATTTGAAAATGCAGTATGTTAACAGCCGCGAAATACAAAAAAACCAGTCAAAGCGTTCAGCAATGTTGTTTCAAACAACTGTCCCAGGCGTACCCAATCATCTTTTCCGGTCTAACATACTGATCAAATTGTTCTTCCGATAACAATCCTAGACCAACAGTAGCCTCCTTCAACGATGTGCCATCCATGTGTGCCTTCTTAGCAGCTTTAGCAGCATTATCATATCCAATATATGGGTTTAGAGCTGTAACCAGCATCAGGGATTCTCTCATTAAAGCATCAATTCGTCTAGTATTAGCTTCAATTCCATCTACGCAATGATCTACGAACGAGACACAGGCATCAGCCAGGATGCGGGTAGAGTGTAGCATGTTTCTGATTATCATTGGCCTGAATACGTTCAACTGTCATGATATGTATGGAAAGAGTTAGCATATGCTTTTTAATCCAAATATCAAATCAAAGACGTTCAACGAAAAAAAGACTCGACGAAAGTGTATGACGAACCTCAAAGTGTCCTTGCATACCACCAACAGTGATGGCTACATTGTTACCCATGACTTGAGCACACACCATGGTCATGGCTTCACATTGTGTAGGGTTGACTTTACCAGGCATGATGGATGAACCAGGTTCATTGGCTGGTAGTACCAATTCACCAAGACCACACCGTGGTCCTGACCCAAGTAATCGAATATCGTTTGCGATTTTAGTCAATGAGGCAGCAACAACGTTCAATGCACCAGAAGCTTCAATTATAGCATCGTTTGTAGCCAATGCTTCGAACTAGAAGGAGAGGGACAAGATTCGGAAAATAAGCAAGTCCAACTCGTGGAATCTCCATCTGCCTGATGTTAAATTATACGATGATTACCTTGTTCGGAGCAGTAACGAATGGTAGACCAGTTAGTTTTGCTATCTCACTTGCAACCTTCACATCAAAACCCTTCTTGGTATTTAAACCCTGAGATGAAGACAAATTGTCAACAGCAAATCCTACTTCATAGTCACCACGTTTTTGCTTTCAACGGAATACGTACTGTTCCAACAGCAGTTCCACCTTGAGCCAACAAGTACAATCTAGGTAGAGCATTCTTGACTCTCTCAATTCCATACTGAATCTGTGTGGTATAACCCGAAAACTCCTGACCCAGAGTTAAAGGAGTAGCATCTTGTAAATGCGTTCGTCCAATTTTAATAATGTTTGCGAATTCATTAGACTTGTTTGACAGAGATTTTTCTAATTTTTCTAGAGCAGGCAGTAGACCATTTACAAGTTGAGTAGCAGCAGCCACATGCATGGCAGTAGGGAAGGTATCATTAGAGGATTGACCGTAATTGACGTGGTCGTTGGGGTGTACGGGTTTCTTACTACCAATTTTACCACCCAATATTTCAATAGCTCGATTGGCAATGACTTCGTTTACATTCATGTTTGTTTGGGTTCCTGAACCTGTTTGCCATACTACTAGTGGGAAATGGTCTGATAGTTTGCCAGCAATTACTTCGTCTGCGGCTTTCACGATAGCTTGACCAACTTTGGCATCCAAGTTGGATTGCATGTTGACTATTGCAGCAGCTTTTTTGATTGTGGCTATGGCGATGATGACGGGTTCTGGGATACGTTCCATTGGACCTCCAATCTTGAAGTTTTCAGTGGATCTATTGGAGTGTTTAAAAAGTTGGCGTGAGTCATCACGGTGACTTTTGCGAGTAGCATTCTCGTTCAAAGCACAACAGATGCATCTTGATGACGCGTCAGGGGCTTGTTGGGTAGTAGCATCGACGATTGAAACATGGCGTCGAAGTGCGTTGTTTCTCTCGTCCATCGCCCGAGTTGCTCCGACAGTTTGAAACTTACCTCTGAGTTTGAGCACCCCAATACTTGTCAGCAGGGACCTCCAATTCTCCAAAACTGTCTGTTTCGATACGAAACTAGGTGAAAAAGGTATATGAGCTTGACCGTGCTGGTAGCCAAAAGTCAATGCCGTTTTAGCCATTCAAATATTTTCACTGGGCTCCAGCACATACCCTTCCAGCTGGTTTGAGCTCATCATGTGCGATGGATGATAAATGAAAAGGTCTCTGTGGTATCAGCTATTTTAAAAATGTTAGCTTTTTCATGCGAAAAATGTTTGTGTGCTGTGTGTGTCAAACACATTAAAACTCACGGCAATGAATGGTAGTCTCTTGGCTAGCAAGAGCCTAGCTGGAAACGACACCCTAGATAGCATTCCAATCGCCTCTCTTTTTCCTCGCTACGTCTTGTGATGCACTTGGGCTCTCAACGTTGAGGAGTGAGAAGACGGACTTCGAAAATTTGCGATTTCTTGACGCCAACATCTCGAACCGCACATTCAAGCAAGACAACAACCAAACAAGAGATTGTTTCGATTTTAACGCGTATAAGAGCGTGTGGAAGTTATATTTGCTGTCCAAAAATGCCAAAAATACTATCACAGCAGGGCAAACATAAGCCTGTTTTTAAAGCTTTGAGTCTTTCGCGATAGAATTGTGAATTTCGTCATTCAACACTCGATCAAACAATTCCGATCGTGCAGATGCGACCACAATTGGATCTTGATCTTCAGCAATCTTGGCCAATTCCTTTAGTGACGAACTGCCAGCTTCAATATGTCTTCCTGTAGAAGAGTCCCATGTCGAGTAACGTTGGGAGACCATGTTTGGAATGATACCGGTTTCGAGGATCTTGGCAGCATTGCGAAGGCCACGAGCAAAGACATCCATGGCACCAATGTGGGAAATGAACAAGTCCTACCAATAGGCGTGTAAGATCAGTTTCAAGAGTTAATCAAAGCGACAAAATATACATTTTCGCAAAGGATTGGGTCGTACCTCCAAATCGGTGCTTTCTCGACGAGGTTTGCAATCAAAGTTGAAGCCACCTCGTAATCCACCCATTTCAAGTACAGCCTAGAGAATGGCAATGCGAATCAGTGGCGTCACGAGTATATAACTCGAATGAATATGTCGTCAGTTTACTTTCACGACCAAAGTAGCTTCTTTTTCATTGCACAGAAACTGATCCGTATCCCAACCCAGCAATGGATCACCAGAGTTGCTATTAAAGAAAATCAAGTGTTGAGGCCTCTTCAAGAAACACTCAATGCAGCAACTTGAGTTTACCAGTCAATCGATCCCAGCTTTCCCAAGGCAGCTGCAACAACGACGTCGTGCTCGTAACTATGACCTGCAAGAGTAGTGTGGTTTGGCTCGATATTCAATGTGAAGTCATCTTGGAGGTTGTGAAGATGCAAGAAGTGGAGCACCGTTTGAGCTGTGGCAAAAAAAGGAGAACATGAGTGTTGAAGAACAGATATAACTGATGCCAAGTTACCATCATAGTCGTATTGATGCTTGGTAGGCTAACAAACCGCCAAACCGGTTAGTTGAATGTGTCTTGAATCACGCCATGACATACAAGTTCCAACCTCTCGTGGTTTTGGTTCAATAAACATGTGGAATGTGGCCCCAATGTCCTTTTTGTGTTGAACAACCATACGCAAGAATGTCGCCTAAATATTTAAGGTATTTGAATACATCCTGTCGCTCAATCGTTCGCGGGCAATCGAGTACGATTTTACCATATGGTCCATTTCTCGTTTGATGTTGGTGTTCAAGATGGTTTGGTAGCCTTCACGACCACCCCAGAATACGTATCCAGTTCCGCCGAGTTTGTTAGTGACTTCCATAGCTGCAACCAAATTGACATGTTTACCACTTGACCCAACTGCATTTTGTGCTCACGGACAGCATACCTTTCTTTACTTGAGCAGCTGCATGAGCAAACACCTTCAAATCAGGAGATGTCATGGCTCCATCCTTGTACCTTTACAAAAACAATGTGCGAAAGTGTCAAGGATGTCAAGAGGTAAATCCTCAAGACATATCTTTTTGCATACCTTGGATGAGAAAACAAGTTTGCTGTACCCCATAACAGCTTGATTCCAGTCTGTTGTTGCTTGATCAGCATGTAATCGGTGACAGCGTCAAGAATGGCATTCGTCTCTTGAATCGTCCTTCCTTCGGGAGCAACGTCACGGTCATGAAAGGTGTAGTAGTCGACACCGAGCTTTGACAGAAACTCGAAAGCAGCATCAACGCGATGGTTGGAGACAGAGATTGCTTGTTCTATGGAGGCATCAGCTGCATCAATAGTGCTCCAAGGGCGAGCAAATGTTGCAACACCAAATGGATCTGTGCCAGGCCAGCGAAATGTATGCCAAAAGCAGACCTGGGAGATTGAAGCATTCAATGAGCATATGAATTTCGTATACAGATCAAAGTGAAATGCCTCTGTCATAGTGATTGCGTCCGAATTCAAATAACGTGACATTCTTGATGTGCGTCTTACAGCAAATTTCAGATGGTCGCGCATCCTCTTGCCATATATAACTTCATCCTAATTATCATACAAAAGTGTGAGTACCTTGAGTACCTTGACAAGACAAGGAGACGTTCAAATTTCAAATGTTTGTCAACTTACTGCATTATACCATCTGAACTTCAATGGGTCAGTGCATTCGGGACCTCCATAGGTAATTCCAGATACCATAGGAAAGAATTCTTTTGCCATCTTTGTTCTCGTTTAACCCTTGTTGTGCGTTGTCAAAGCATGAGCAAATTCGATCCCGACTTCAAGACGAACCCCGGACACACTCTGAGATTCGTGGATCAACTTGGTTCATTCGGAACGTCTATCGTTTAGAATGACGGCACGATTTCTACAATTTTTGACGCGTTGATCGCATGAAACAAGAAAAATGATCTGACACTCGATTTGAAAGCACGACGTCAGTTCCTGTGTATTAAGATGCCAGACAATTCTGTAGCTTCCTCGATACATCCGCAGTGGACTGATCACCACGTTGGAGGGTTTTGCCACGTCAAGAGAAGGGGCAAACTCCATTCCCCCACAATCACACTTCCACTTTGCTTTACGCAAAGCTTCAATCTTTCACGACAAACCGACTATGACGACCAACAAGAGCAAGTCCGTACTTCCAGTCGTTGCTGCTGTCAGCACAGGACTCACAGTCAGTGCCTTGCTGGGCTTGTATTTGAGATACAGAAAACGGGCCATACTTACTCGCGATCCTGCCGTCTATGGAGGTAATCTTGCAGCACTTTGACGTTTATCGCATTGAGAATACGTACTCTATTCGCTCTATCTTTGGTTTCTTTGATCTCCTGCTCCGTTTGCGCAACACGTCGCATCGATCCCCAAGTGGTGGCATTCACTGACAATCCCTTCTATTTCACACCTGTGTAAACTAGTTCCTGTCCTCGCTGGTGCGGCACCACTGGTTGGAAATATCCCTGAAATGGTTTCAGTCTCAGAATATCAAGCAGACTGGCTCGTCGAAAAATCAAAGGAATTTGGTGACATTTTCGCAATGACGGTCCCACTTCAAAATTTGCTATGTACATTCAACGTCGCAGACCTCGAAGCCATGCTCAAAGGTGAGCTTGAAACACTTACAATATGCATACAACTGTTTTGACTCTCACCCCTTGGTTTGTTGGTTTGGCTTAGATCCATATCTCTGGCAAAAAGGTCCCTTCTTCAGAGACAACTTACAACAGTTCCTTGGTCATGGGATTTTTAATAGCGACGGAGATGCTTGGAAGAATCAAAGGAAGGTCGCATCAAACATATTCAAGTAAGTTCTGTGCACTTTCACTGTTTCTATCTGAATGCTCTGTTGACTGAACGTCATTTAGTGTCAAGAACTTTCGAGACTTGTTCTCCCAAGTCTTTGTCGACGAGAGCAAGAAATTGGCCTCCCAAATTGCTACTGCTCATTCAATGGGTGGAATTGTAGAGCTGCAAGATCTGTTACTGCGTGCGACGATGGACAGCTTTACCCTCATTGCTCTAGGCAAATCTAGTAAGCTCATCAGTTGGCGAATCTATGCACAATGTTCGCAACTAAAGAACTCAATCTTTCCGTTTTAGCTGATGCAATCGATGGAAAGGGCAAGCTCGACAATGACGGTGTTTACGTCTTACCCCGAGAACGCTTCATGGACGCATTTGATGGAGCGAATACAATTTCGGCAGACCGTTTCAATATGCCATTCTGGGAGATTTGGGAGTATTGGGATGGAACTTCTGCCAAAATGAATCAACATCTCGCTCTTATTGAAGATTTTGCCAAGAATGTAATCAATTCCAAACGTGCCAAGGTAAAGATGAGGTTAATGTTTGAATGAGAGCAATCTTGTTTGTGATATATCGATCTCACATATTCAACACCTACGATGTTTTCTAGATGGCTGAAGGGCAGAAAGGCTCAGACCTTCTTGACCTATTCATGGCTCAAGGTGATCCAGAAACCGGAGCTCCTTTGACAGACCAGCAATTACGTGACATTACTCTCAAGTAACGCGCAAGTTCTCCGTTATCAAAGCAAGCGTGAGGGTACTAAACTGCCTCTTATAGCTTTATTATCGCAGGGCGCGATACAACGGCCCAAACATTATCTTGGACATTTTGGCGTCTCGCTCAAAACCCAAGAGTTGAGAAAAAGTGCCGTGAAGAGATTCTGTTGGTCTTGGGTAAAGATGGGGAATACACGTATGAAACTTTCAAGGATTTGAAGTATACGAATGCTACGTTTATGGAAGCTTTGGTATGTGTACGTTTGAAAGAAACCAACTTGTACACTGTTTTGGCTTACATTTGTCTCGTTTTGAATGATTCTAGCGTCTCCATGCCAACGTACACGTCAACTCAAAGACTGCATCAAAAGACACAGTCCTACCTGGTACCAACACACCCATTAAAGCTGGAGACACGGTGTTGTTCAGTCCATATGTTATGGGTCGAGATGAGAAGATCTGGGGTGCTGACGCTCTTGAGTTTGTACCTGAAGTACGTTTGCTGAGATATTTGCACTCAATGAAGATTTTCTAATGATCACGTCGAATAGAGGTGGATTGATAAGAATGGAAGTTTGATCAAGCCAAATCAATTTGAATTTCCTCATTTCAATGCCGGGTAAGAAGCAACTATTGGACCACGACCAAACCAAGATACTCACCATCAAGATCTTGTTTAGGCCTCGCTTGTGTCTCGGAATGAGCATGTAAGTTCGCTTACGTCCCGATCAACGGAGATTTCTACTCACTCCCCACTTGAATATAACAGGGCTCAACAAGAAGCAGTCGTCTTCATGTCTACCATCATACGAAAGTTCAGTCTTGAACTTGTTGGTGACGATTCTCCCAAGCACTGGGGAAGATGGGATCCTGATCCAGCCAAGAGAGCTGGACGAGAATCTATTGCTCTCACATTGAATGCTCGAAATGGCATTACGTTCAAAGTTCATCCTGTTTGATTGTCTGGTTGTCTGTTTGCGTCATTTCCCAAAATATATGTATACATTGCGTGATTCTTTTGTGAGTGTTTTGTTGATGTTTTGTGCATTGTGTCGCGTTTTCGACGCGCTTTAGAATGTACATGTATCGAATATCCGAATGTAGGTATTGAGATCAGATTCCCTTGCTTGGGTTCATGCTGGCCAGCATGCTGGAGGGTTTATCCTACAAAATACGTGAGCGGCATTTTACATCTTATCCGCATCGACTAGCGAGAGGTAAAGTACGGGAGCTCCATAGTCTGTTTTCTTGCAAGCACTTTATCGAATTACGGTCGCTTCCCTAGGAGTGATCGCTATTACTCCCTGTCGCTAAAAAGCTTGCTACTCAGTGCACACCAAAAACATGTCCCAAAAGAAACACAATTATGCGCTTCCGATCGCACTCGCTGCTGGAGCCACTGTAGTGGGGATCGCTGGAACTATCTACTATTACAAGGATCATGCCATTGGAACACGAAATCCAAAATCTATGGGACTTCCAGTGTTGAAGAATCCCACACCGTTAATTGGCAACACGCCAGAGATGATTGTCACGAATGACTATAGAACCGATTGGATTGCTGTAGGTTCATTTTTGCTGTATTTAGTGTCGGTTTATGTGGTAGCCAGTGGGGCGGTTGAATTGCAAGCAACCACGTGCTTATAGACTTGGGGTTCGAGATGTGTTTGGGATCGTATAGGCCACTGTCGACCGGTGTTTCCAACTATGTGGCTCACATTGTTTTATTTTGAAATCCAGCAAACGTGCAAAGAACTCGGAGAAGCATGGGCATTAACTTTACCGTTCCAGAATTGTATGCTAACTGTGAACGTTCAGGATGTAGAATTCATCCTCAAAGGTTTGTAAGAAAACACTACCGCTTTCTCTCGTCACCACTTAGCCTCCACCATAGTTTGATGTATGCGACTCAACTTCTGCTCGCTCATTTTTCGTTCCATCCTAGATCCATACTTGTTTGAAAAGGGGGAAAAGTTTCGTGCGAATGCTCAGGACATGTTGGGCCATGGAATTTTCAATTCCGATGGCCAAGATTGGCGTATAGCTCGTAAAGTCGGCGCAAATATCTTCAAGTAAGTCGTTTTGCTCGAGATATATTGTGTGCTTGTATGTGCTGACATCCTCTTTTTACAGCGTCAAGAACTTCAGGGATTTATTCAGCAATGTGTTTGTTGAGGAATCCCAGAAGCTTGTAGCCCAAATTCGAACGGCAGCATCGATGGGTGGTATAATCGAGTTGCAAGATTTGTTGTTAAGGGCTACTCTTGATAGGTAACGCGCAAGCCAGATGCAGTAGATTACAGTTGGTCGAAAAGCACGTCCTGACCATTCACTTGCTAGCTTCACTTTGATTGCAATGGGTCGTAAAACAAACGCCATCGAAGGCAACGGTAAAATCAACGCCGATGGAATTTATACCCTTCCTGTTGAGCCTTTTATGCAGGCATTCGATGGAGCCAACCAAATCACGTCGACACGTTTCTCTACACCCTTTTGGTCCATCTTGGAGTATTTCAATGGTGATCATGCTAAAATGCATGGATATTTGAAGGTTATGAATGATTTTGCAAAGGATGTTGTTGATGAGAAGCGTGCCAAAGTAAGCTGAATCTTTCACAGTATCCTGAAAAGTTAGGCTATGGCTTACTTGTTTCTGCTTTAAAAGATTGCTGCTGGTCATAAAGGTTCAGACCTATTGGATCTATTCATGAGCAATGGCAATGATGATGGGACGCCATTAACTGACACTCAATTACGTGATATCACCCTCAAGTAAGACGTAGCTTTCTTGGAGAAACAAGAAGAGACCATCCTGACATGATTTTCCTGATAGTTTCATTATCGCAGGCCGAGATACTACGGCCCAAACATTGGGTGTAAGTACATCAAGTAAATTTGAAGCCATTAAAATCAAATTTGGACCCATTTGACACTGTCTTTCATAGTGGACCTTCATGAGATTATCTCAAAACCCCGAAGTCGAAAAGAAGTGCCGAGCCGAGTTACTTGCTGTTTTGGGTAAAGACGGCCAATACACTTTTGAATCACTCAAGCAGCTCAAGTATACGAATGCCACATTCTTGGAAGCTTTGGTAAGCGTGCCCATGCTTGTTCCTTGTTTTTGCACATAGGATCGATTGTCGAGATCGTTCTCTTTCAAGCACTAACTGAAATTTCAACAAAAACAGCGCATGCACGCGAATGTTCCTGGCAATCAGAAAACAGCCTCTGCCGATTGTGTCCTTCCTGGAACTGGAACTCCAGTCAAAAAGGGGGATGCCATCTTCATATCACCATATGTTATGGGTTACTCTACCGATATCTGGGGCCCTGACGCTGGTACTTTCCGACCTGAACGGTATGTTGCGTGCTGCCCTTCACCTGAATCATGTAACGATACTGACTCTTTTGTGTTGTTTAGATGGATTGATCAGGATGGTCTTCTCATCAAACCAAATCAATTCGCGTTTCCACATTTCAATGCCGGGTAAAGAGCCTTGGTTTTTGGATTCTTGTACAAGTAAGGTACTTATGCGCAAATGTCTCGCTTTAGGCCTCGTATATGCCTAGGCATGAACATGTAAGTTAGGAAACCGTTTGTTTGGTGTGAGGAGAAGACGCGATTGCTAAATCAATGTTTGATGTTTCTTAGGGCTCAACAAGAAGGTTGGTCTGCTGTCCGATTTGGAGTCTCTTCGACAATTGACTGTATTATTTTGCTCCACGAAGTTCAATTTCTAATGGTTTGAAAGCGTTTTCTAACGTGATTCCGTACCTTTGATGTCTAGCTGTCGTATTCATGTCAAACATTATTCGTAACTTTTCTCTCGAACTCGTTCGTGAGGATTCCCCAGAACACTGGGGCGTATTCTCGGAGGATCCTTCTAAGCGCCTCGGTCGTTCCTCACCGGCATTGACACTGAATGCTCGATGTGGCATACATTTCAAACCCATCCCGCTATGAGGCAGTCAGGTTGAAGAAACCAAAAAAGAAAACGATCTTATGGAGCTCGTATTGGAGTAAAGACGAGGGGCATCATCATGATTGTAAACAAATAATTGAGAAAGGGTGCAATATCATTCTAGTTCACGGTCAATCTCTTGTTTCCTTGCATCATCACGTTGTTTGTTGGACGGGCGGAAATCAGCTCTCATTGTTTCAATATTATTGGTTCTAGGATCATATTGCAAAGAAGATTTTTCTTTTTCCTTTAACGGTTTGGGACTATGTGCATCGCCTGAAACGATCAGGGGCCGAAACACCGGATACCTACTTTCTAACTTCTCATACTCCCTCTGAAGAGACGTTATTGAAACCAGCATCAGGTCAATGCTCCTCTGTGTGGCGGCACTGCTCGCCGTGGCGTTCGGGGTGAGTGGTAAGTCGACAACATGTATTGTGCTATAACTTTGCACACATACTAACGGTATGTGAACGACATACAACAACTAGCTCTTGTAACAGGAACGGAAGATAATGCTTTTGCTGTAGTATCTCTTGACAAGCGCGCCGGGCCCGTTGAACCTGCTGGCCATCTCAATGGTACAATGGTACTGAACTTGGTCGCAACCTGACTCACTACAAGCGGTTTGAATCTTACTGACACCTGATTCCATCACAGGATATTACAAATCCATTTGCCAACGTTCTGGTGTATGTGGTTGCGCTAATGGTTACGATTGCCACGGGGGTGTACTTGCTTGGAGTAGCATCTGTGGGCTTGATGGCTGCGTTTCCACCCACCATTATTGCAATGGGAGCCGTGTTCACACTTGCAGATGGTCAAAATATTTCTGAACTGGAGGTAGTTGCTTGACGTTATTCACTATGAATTTTCTCTCCTATACTTAATGGCTGGACTGCAACCCGTTAGAGTCACGAATGCTGTTGGTCCTCAAGCAGAATCCGATACACCGGAAGTGGCATCCGGGACTTCAGGTGGTGCTTCTCCTATGATGGAAGGAGATCCACATCATATCAAAGCCAAACTCCAAGCAACCTCTAAACATTCAAACATTCGTTTCAATGCTTGTGCTTTTCGATCTGATCTATTATCTGGAAGCAGGCTGTTGTTCAACCAAAAACTAGGCCAAAGATACGAGGCAGCACTCTTGAGGTACCCAAGCAATGAGACAGTTTGAAACTGTGTGGTTACTTGTTTCTAACTCAATGAGAGAGGTCGGACCTACATTTCCAAGAATATATCAAAACGGTTTATAAGATAGTATTGCTTTCCCATATGCCAAAGCTGATCGTACCAAGGTTTGTGTCCAAGTTGATGAAGTTTCCGTGACGTGGGTGAGAAGAGCATCTACACATGGATTAACGCGTCATTTGATAACATTTGATAATGGAATGATCAGATCTTTTCTGTGGTCCCTGGTCCCCGATTTTTGTGTTTCTGTCTGTTTCACATGTCAAGCTTCAGTCAGTCGTTTAAAAACTGGTTGGAAAAGGCTTCCAATTTTCCAAACACCAACTTTCTATCATAGTAACAATCAATATCAACAACAATCGGAAGAGATGGATAAGGACAACAATGATTCATCAACATCAAATTCATGGGACGCCATGACAGCCAACTTTCTCAATCCATCAAAATCATCAAACAGCACACCCATCCCATTAAACATTTTCAAGAAAAAGAATACGCCTAGTAATGCATCATCAAAGTCAGTTTCAATATCTTCTAATGATTCAAATAACAATAGTACTGGTGGTGGTGGCATGGGATCATGCAATTCCATGATGATGAGCCAAACATCATCATCACCAACACTAGCAAAGGAGCCGCCCAATACCAATGCTCCTAGTAAATCACCATTCAGATTCATTATGTCACGTAGCACTGCTACCACTACAGATGATCTGTCATCAAACAAGAAGGCGCAGCAAGATGCCGCATCACCAAATGCCATATCATCAACACCACTTCCAAGTGATACACCAGCACACCATACACCCGTCTTCAATGTTGATAGTGATGGTGGTGGTGTAGATGAAGGGAATACGATCAAGATGAATAGTCTTAGCATGGAGCAGCAGCAAAGTGGTAGTGCTCAAACATCTTTGTTTGGTGCACCACCTGCTGCTTTGTCAAAAGGTATTGGAAAACCCCAACAACGAGGAGGACAGAACTTTATTCCGATGGTTGTGGCTCCTAAACCGAAATTGTTGAGTGCAGGTATATTCAATACGTGTCGTCATGATGGTGGGAGTAGAGGTGACGGTGGACAGCAGCAAGGGCAAGCAAAAGTAATTGAACAAGGTATGAACGCACCGAGCAAAAAAATGACTCCATGAAAATATACTATTCTCATCAAGGAATCACGACCTCTTTTTACCCGCATCCCGTAGCTCCAAACATCGTACAGCCTACACTTGAACCACCACCACCACCAACTCTACCACCACAAGCACCTCAATCTACGAAACCCAACACACTCCAAAACCTAAACATCTCAACTGTATCGTTTAAGCCTTATCATCAAACACAACCATTGATTCAACAACAACATATACAACATCCAAAACAATCTAGTATACAAAAACCACAGATTGAATCATCACGAACTCAACCAAAACCTAAAGTACAAAATGTTGCAATAGAGCAACAGCCCGTAGTAATAGAACAACAGCAAAAACAGAGTGCAGTTACTGGTACTGGAAAAAATGAAGATGTAGAAAAATGGAATAAGAAAGAGCTACAAGAGTTGTCTCGTCGTGAGCGTGCTTGGCAGGAACAAGGACGTCAGCAACAGCAGTATATTGCTCATGGTGATGTAGATGATATGTGTGTTTTTTGCTCTGAGTCGCCTTGATTCTTACTGTATTTTACTTGCATAGTTACTCAGACGGATGTAGACGCTGAAACAAGAATGACTTCTGAAATGGACAAGTTGGATCATCTCATTCGGAAAATACGGTATGAGGGATTCCAGTGGTGAATGTTTTAAAGCAAGCATCCAATTAGATACTGAATTGCAACGTTTTTTCATCTCTAGACAAGAAACAGCCAAATTCACTGGTAAAAACAGCATCTTGATGTTGATCATGATAGTCCTCATTTCCAAGGGACTTTTGCTGACATCATTTTGCACTTCCACCGACTTACCAAACCACCAAACCGACAAACCCTCTCACAACAACAAACAGCAAAATCACTCGCATCAAACCAAACACTCTTACTAAACCTAAACTCTAAAATCCCACGACGAATCAAACCTCCAACACTCACTACACGATCTTCGTTAATACGTGATGAACAACAACGTATAAGTGATGACATTGTACTTCCCACCACTCTTACACCTAGACGTAGCTTATCACCCGCATCGACAAAATCATCATCACCTCCTCAACCAGGCCAATCTCGTTACATCGAAACATCACCAAAGACTACTGACGATGATGACGATGATTCACACCACCAACAACAACAATCAACTGATATGCTAGCTTTTGAATCATATCAACCTGTACGCAAGTCATCATTGTCTCGAGAAGTAGAGCTTGAAGAAGTAGAAGGAGAAGAACGTGGGTTTGAAGGTGATGGTCCAGGAGGTGATGATCAGGACATGGCGTCACCTCCAACAATGTCTTCGAGTATCAGAGTCGGAACTCGAGATGAAAGCGACATGGATTGCCGTGAGCAGGAATGGTGATTAGAAAGATATTCCTCTCTCTTGGTCGAATGCCGTACAGGTTTTTTCGTTGTAATTTCTATATTGGTGTTCTTTAAAGTTGTAACCTAAAACAAAAACTATATCTCTCTTTATCACACAAATGTCTCCAAAGTTACCCCCTTCCTTCGATCTCTCTCTCTCTCTCTCTCCTTGTGATCCTCTCCTCAGCTCTAGCTAATATCTTTTATGGTGTTTTAAACTTATGTGTTCGGATGTGTGCATTTTTTCTTAATAACTTGCGGGCAAATAATGGTAAAAAGTGTAGTTTAAATGTGCGATACAAGAGCTCCAGTCTATACAGGTCTAGGATACGCAAAGTTAACGATTCGCAATCTTGAACATGAGTGGCATACAGCTCACGACCAAACTATTCACATACCCGCAACATTAAAAATAACAAACTGCTTCGTTGTTTATAGGAAATAGTCAGGTGTCCGGCGAGTAACATGAGGTTCTCCGCGACGTGGTGCAGGGTCGAATTGTAAGCTAGTTGTTGACAAAAAGAGAATATGAGACGTCGGAGCAAAAATAATCAAGCTGTAAAATGAGTGAATTGCTGAGATCTCGCTGTACTACTATGCCACTTACAACGTGTATTTCAAATGCTCATCAATCTCCATAATAGCGGCTTGATTGCCACAACGATAACAATAGTTGGGAGCACTGAAGATGGTCACGACATTTCGATCTTGACTCCAGTTGTATCCCTGCAAAACAAATTGTCAATTGCGGACGATGTCTAGGTCAACGAAACATATTCGAAAGCAGACAACCACAGTTTCCTTTTCATTCCCTCCATTGAAAGGAATTAAAAATTGCAAGAGCAAAGGTATCCAACATTGTTACTCACTTCCATGACCAATTGATGTGCACGAGCAATCAAGGTCAGACCATTGTTATGGTTGAATGCTTCTGAAATATCTTGACCAAAAGTATAACCAGCACCACGAGGCGAGATTCCCCAACCACATCGATCATCCGGATCAGACCATAACAAATCTAGAACAGAAATGTTTTTGAGTTGGTGTCGAGCAACAACGAAGCTGCCTAATGGACAATATGCGTCTTTGCGTACCACACATAGGACCTTCATGTGGTACTTCCTGAATACGGTCAAGAGATCGAATATGGTCAAGGGTATCGATAGAGGGAGACAGGCCACCATGTAGACAGAAGATCTGTTCATATAACATAGGTGAGTTTCAACGAAGCTTGCAAATGAATATGTTGAGATGTCGTTGCTCTTGACGAATGAGGATGCAAATTATATCGCACATCACAATTTCTCTTGTCTCCTGGCTATGTGCTTACTTGGTCTTCAATCAGAGCCGTCAATGGCAAATAATCAAAGAGATCGGTAAAGTACTTCCAAACATTAGCATTTCCATATTTACGCAAGCATTCATCATAAAACCCATAGACCTGAGTGATTTGACGAGATTCGTGGTTTCCTCTCAATATAGTGACTCTGTCCTTGTACCGGACTTTGAGGGCGACAAGGAGTGTGACTGTTTCTACGGAATAGTAACCTCGATCCACGTAATCACCCATAAAGAGGTAGTTTGTGTCGGGCGAGTTACCTCCGATACGAAACAATTCCATGAGGTCGTGAAACTGGCCATGAATATCGCCACAAACTGTTACAGGACATCTGACGGGCTGGACGTTTGATTCCTCCATTAGGATTTCTCGGGCCTGAGGATGTGGAGTAAGAGTGAGCAGCGTGGATGTGAAGGACAAGCACAGGGGTGCACTTCCGACCAAGTTCAATCAGAGACGAGTAACTGTCTTGCCCGTAATGACCACTCAATCAACAAAGCCCCACAAATCACCATGTACTAGTTCAATTTACCTTTTCACACAACTTTTTCACATCCATTTCAGGTAGTTGTTTGCAATTCATGAGTATCGACACCCAGCCATCCACATCAGAGACGTCCGTTAAAGCCATCGTATAAAGATAATTATAAAATAGACAAAATTTGAGTTATAATCGGCTCAAGTTTGAGTCTTCCTTCTGTTTTGAATGCCTGAAATCAAAGAGGTGTTAATGGGCGGTTGATGAATGATTTATGAGTGATTATGCAAGGAGGTTGGTTGGGGGAACAATAGTGGATCAATTGGCCAGTATAAATGGACTTTAGACATTGCTTTTCTTTGCATGCTTTCCCTTATTCAATTAACGTTCCCCAACCTTCGCCCAACCTTGCTGTTTTGAAGCATTGTACGGACGAGAAAGAAAGCATGTGATAGAGAGAGACTTGCCTTGATTAATGAATCAATAGATCACAGATCTTGACCTGGATGTAATTAATAGATTGCAGAAGAGTATAGTTGGGTTTAACTGTTTGATTGCTGGTTTTGTTTGAAGAATTTGCGATATATATGCTTGAACGTCAAACAGACAGCAGAAAGTAAAATCAACGTGCTAATAAAGTGCGTAGTAGTTCATATCTCGCATTTCTCGTATCTTCCTTGTTCACAAAACGCGTTTCTGTTGAATTGTTCAAACCACCCTAAAACACACGGTATAGTATACTGACTGACATCTATATTACTTGCATATCAATTTCAAGATTCCAGATTACGTTCAATATATCTCAAGTGTTCAGCCCAAATAGATCGCATTCATATCCGTTCTGACATACTAGCTGTCTTCCTCAGCAGATCGTGCAAACGTAGGAGTCGAGTTTTGAGGATACAGAGGTGGAAGAGTAGGTGGCCGAACAGTACTCCTCCAGGGATACTTTATCTTGCCGTTTGAAAGGAAGAGATGGGGTGCACTTGGCTGTCGTGCATCCATCATCCATTTCTGGGATCGATTGGTACTGCTGCGTCGGACGGTGCTCCTTCCAGCAGATTGGAGGATGAGGCACTCGATGACGATGCCGTGTTGTCTTCATACACGGTTGACAGTGCTGGTGAAGGACGAGATATCCTCCTTATTCGTGAGAGTGATGGTGACGGGGGAGCTGATGCGGGAGGAGAGGGAATGGGAGTGGCAGGACGTGTCCATGGTAATTGTTTCGATGTAGGAGTCTCGTTTGGCTCATTGTCTAATTGGGTTTGTGGTCAGTTAGAAGATTCCAACATTCATGTGCAGCTGACTATGACTTGCTTGAGAGAATCAGTTTGGTGGTGAGGTCTAGGAGAATGTGACGCGTTAGAAAACATAAAATGGACCTCGAAAGTCCGACACAATTAGTCATAGGCACATACCCGAGTTGACTTGTTGAAGATGGGCAACTTCTCCATGCAAACTTTCCAACATTGCCTTATGGCTAACCTTGAGGAAGGACACGAGATTCTCTAATTGAAATATTTTCCGTAATAATAAGTCATCGTTATCCATCTTGATGCCTCTATTATCTGCCTCTATTATCTGTTTAGCAGGTTTGCGTACGTGATTGACTCGGAAATTGGACAGTTCGTTTCAAGGACAAGCACAAGCATATGGAATAAGCTTACAACATACAGGTGCATAACCATTGATATATTGATTCCAAAAAATGACTTATTTTTCAGATGATGCTTACCTTCACCCATTCCTGCTGAGCTAGATGCTTGGCTTCTTGGTTTCTGGTTCTAACACAACACAAATATGGGTGGGATCAGCCATTGAGAGATAGTCAATTTATAGCTTTAACATACGAAAATGAAGATTACTGACCTCCTCTATAGTAAGTGGAGGCCAAGGGGATGATTTTTATACTTCACTTAAAGTTTAGCAAGCACATTTGACAGAAAACGGAGCGAGTACGATTATCTAACATATCGACCGACTAAATGCATTTAGACCAAGACGATACAGCGTATGGATATGCTCAACACCTGACAGTAGAACAAATTCTGCGGGAACAATCAAACACGACAATCCCAACCACTAGCAGTACACAATCAAAACAACCCAACGGTACAAGACTATATTTGGTTCTTGTTTTCCCGACTTGAAATGTCCTTCACAATTTGAACTTCGGACGACAAATGGTGCTAACCTTCACCATCATCTAAGCTTCACTATCTTCCGTAGATCGAATCAACAACTATTACAAAGAACTGCTGGATCACTTCGCTCCAATACCTATACATCACCTAATGATCACATGGACGCTTCCAATTCCAGAATCGCCTCTCTTATACCTCCGTCACATAGCCAACATCACATTCGAGATTCAACACATATAGAACGCACTCATACACCACATCCGTGCTTCTATAATCCCAAACTTTGATACACTGTCACCATACCAATAAATACTAGTCGTTTTACAGATAATCGGTGACTTGAACTTTACATCACAGTACACGTCGCTGCATAGCCTGTTATGGAATGAGACTCGGAAGAGTGTACAGTCATTGTATGATAAAGGACGGAAGTCGAGACGAGGGATTGAGAAACATGAAGGGTGGAGCGAATTGGAAGTATACGTATGGAGAGAGGGACAAGATTGTGCGGATTGTGGAACTCTTGTTTGTGCCTGTTGTCAATGATTATGTGCAAGCTTGCAGCGTGAGTGTTTGTGTTGAGCTTGAGTTGGGCCTCTTTCTGTGTGGTCAATGTACTCTAAAAGTGTCTTCCATCGTTTCCCTCATTTCTCTGTTGTGTATTTACTAACCACCATCACCCCGCAACCTATGTCAGCACGCATGTGAATACTTGAGAGCTCACATACTCAACAATACGGCCGATATGAAGATTTATGGTGACCTGGGCTAAGTATAGTCAGAAGCGCCCGTATCGAGGAGATCGGAACAGAGAATTTGCAGAATTATCTCAAGATGAACTACACAATCGTAAAACGAGTATGTATCGAGATGTAGCTCAAGCCAACTTGGATGTTCATACATGGTGGTTTGTACTCTTTGAAGAGATTATAAAAACCGGCTGCACTGATTGGAGGAGAGTGAGATCGGTACGTTTGTAGCGAAATGGTTCTCATCCCCACCAAAAAGTGCGGTAGCATTACCGGTCCATATATTATGTACTCACACACTTATTTCCTGCTTCCTTTACACATTTACAGATGTATTTTCTTTACCGAAGGTCAGAACTTGCCATGGACGTGTGTTGGTTTACACATATAGATCTCAAAGTCACAAGGACTATTAAAGACTTTGAATATTGTTATATTGGCCTTCGTAATAGTATAGTGGGGCGATGCATCCAAAACCCAAAAAAACACGTAACGTGCATACGCCACATCGAGTGGGATAAAATAACGTGTATTCAAGCACACGAGACAGCCATGACATCTATCGAAGCTCTGCTTGGTCGAGTGGATATGACGCAGTAAGGCCATTCAGTTTGGTAGCACCTTCTGCGCATCTATTTCATTGACGGCAACATTTCATTAGGGCTCGCTTATTACTCGTACGAACTGATCTTGGAGATGTGATTTGCACCCTTACTCTTCTTGGATTCGCTCAGGCTGAAGGTCGTATTGTAGAAGTCGAAGACCCAACTCAAGATGGAGTGGTTTTCATTTGTTTTGATTTGATTTTGATCAATTTTTGAAACATCAGACAATTGAATGCTGAACAAATTCTATGCTCGATGTACTTTAGATAAAACTCAAGAGTATGCAAATATCGATAAAGTATTGACAACCATGCTGAATGGAGAATATCTACGTGTAGTCAATGAGTCAAACTGGTATGGGTTTTTGTGCTTACGACATTCGAAACATCGACCAATTTTTAGACAGTACTGTTACTTGTTAGGTCAGAAAAACGCTCTGCTCGTCATGTTGTAATCATTTTGCTCAAGCGTGATATGTGTGACTCATAAGTAGCATTCAGACCTCTCCTTCCCACCGACGCTGCTGCCAAGGCTGTTGGTGCTCTGAAGATGATGACAAGACAGAAACCAAAAGAACAATTATGAGAGGAGCACAAGCAACGTTCCCACCTTGGAGCACCCAGACCGTCATCAGAAGAGGCAAGAGTAAGTGCTCAGTGTTGTCGTTTTTTGCCGTTGTTTGTTAATCACTCTTTAACACCATTCTAAAACCAAAAAATAGAACACAGGAACAAGCCTTAATATCGCTTGAATACTTGAATGCTACATTCCTTATGAGACAAGGCTAGAAACGTGAAGGATTCTGTGAGTATTATCAACGAGGACAGGTGAGAATAGGATTCGAGGAGGGACAAGCAATACGGGTTTTGATGTTTTGTATAAAGAACCTGACTCTGTATATTCATTACACATGTTTGCTATCGGTAATCCCTTGAGTGTTTAAATGTGTGTCGCTTCTACAGGATAAGAGTCCAATGCAAATTCCGCATAGTTGTTTCTCAACGAGTCTGTTATGTAAACTTTGGGACTGACTCTCTAGTAACCATTTGACTGACCTTTGAACCTGCTACTAGCAGCTAACTACTAAAGAGAGAGCGAGTCGTCCACCCCCAAGACTCTGGAAGTGGGTTGACTGGTGCTTAAAGAACTCAAGCGTCTGTAGAGTCCCATGATACGCGTAAAACAAGTCCTAATACTCTAGGCTAACACTACGTGTTGGTGTATGTCGCAGTTGCCTACTATATGAAGTCCTCAAAAACTCACATCCTGAATTAGAGGAAGAAAGGCAATAGTAAAGGTCAATGTCGCTGAGCATACGGAGAGCTGAACCGGCTGACATACCGGCCATAACAGCTCTTATCAAGGAACAGCAACCAGACGCGAATTCGTCTACTTTCAGTCATTATTTTGGACGACCGAGTGTCGCTGATCTGATGCAAGTTACAGTAGATCCTATAGTGCATGCATTTACATTTACGCATTTTTATCGACTGACTAAATCCAATTCTTTGTACTGCTAGTGATGCATCTCCCTTCAGTGTGGTTGCCAGCATTAATGACAATAATGTTATTCTTGCATTTGCCGCTGCTGCCTGCAATCCACCGCATATACCTACTGATTCAGCTGCTGATCAGCCCGACCAGACTGCAGCGTGGGATGTCTGGCTTAAATCCAGATACGACAACTTACAGGACAACACCGTACGTTTGTAGCTGTGATACTTGCTGCTGATTTCACCAATTGTGGCCTTCTTCACATGTTGTCTCACACTGAAAAATTGTTTCTTTTGTGTTTTCCTAGATCGAAAATACAAAATTCATCTCGTACTTTGTCGCTACTTCAACTCATGCCCACCAATTCTTGCATCTCTTCACATCCGCTGCTTTCAAACACATCCCTGCACTGTCCTACTTGGCACTCATGGTTCCAGAGTCAATCACACTCTTTGCTCCCCTCTACTATCCTGTATACAAACCCGACAAACTCACTCAAAACATGGTGATTTGTGATCCAAGCATGCAAGGAGATCCAGATGACTCCCAGCACAACTACTTTGTAAAAATCACGAGCAAGCTCGCCAAGAATACCGGCTTGTACATGTGTACACGAGAAAACCTGCTACCGAAATTCGTGGTTAGGAAGGCATTACTTGAAGACTGGGATGATTTGCTCCCTATTCTCGTAAACCAGCATGTAAGACCCGTTGATTTCCATTATATCCTCTCAGATTCCTAACCTTCTGCGCCTTAGGTTATTCAATCAAAGGACGAACAATATACATTGTCTGATATACTGAATCCAAAGACTAACAGTGATGCCGCATTGGTCGCTGAGGTACTATACTCAGACATTACGAGTCGTGAAGTACCAGATTTTGGCAATTAACGTCGATCCACGAATAGGTGGCCGGAAAGTCTGTCGGGTTCATGAAGTGTAGTAGAGACGTAGACTCACAATTCCTGCTCAAAAACTTTGATTTGGAAGGGATGCTCAGAGAAAAATGTAAGCATTACGGAAAGCTATACATATGGAGATGATCATGCTGACAGGATTCCATTAGTATCGAATAAAAGCAAGATCTTCTGTATTTCCATATTCGCTCTATCGGATAACGCAGATCAATATAGTCTAGAGATACTGAAGGTACAAGGCCAGTTGCGCTTGGATCATTTCCGTCGTGGTCTTCTAACTCTCTGTATTGGTAGCATGCCTTCGTCACATACGCAGATTGTGAATATGCAGTAATACTAGTCCCACCAAAAGCAAACAGTTTCCAATTATTGAATTTCTTTGAAAGAATTCCCACCAAACCTCAAAGTGATGCAGAGTAAGTGGTAATAAATATCCCAAATCGCATTGACAACCCCGCGCTAACTGGTATGCAACCTAGTTATTGTCTCTTCGTGGCTAGCCGAATGGGAATCGTATCGAAAATCACCGTTCGGACTGCCAGTGGCGACGAAGATGTGACAATCGCCCGCAAATTCCTAACCAAAGCTTTCAAACCATCACTTGCACGAAACCCTTCCTCTCGATCCATTCTCGATGACACAACAGACAGCAGCCCCATCAACAATACAACAACCTGCATGATTGCTGAGCTGGATTCGACAATCATTGCCGTGGCCACGCTTGAATCGAGTAGTAATGCTAGGCCGATAGTGGACCAATTCCACCTGGATGCCTTTTGTGATGTCGCCATTCAGAAAACAATGCTAGAATCTAAACCTGTTGTTCTGAAAGAATTTATAGTTCAGGAAGGGTATAGGACTAGAGCTAGATGGATATTTGAGGTTGGTAATCCATGTCATGTCATGTCGAATCTCAAACCATGCATTTACAATGTGAACCATGTAGGAAGTCATGAGACTGAATGGCACTTCGGTCATTTTACACTTTCAGGATGTCGAGAATTTTGATGACTCTAAACGGATATTGAAGGAGGAGTTTGTACCCGTCCCTAGAAGGAGACAGTATGTTATACCTTTGGCACTCGGTTTCTCCCACACCTTTTCATGGTCAGTCTCAAACATGAATCTTTGGCTCAAAATAGGATCGTGTTTCCTCGGAATCTTCGTGACGGCAAGGCAGTCCCACCGCCGATCCGGGAGAATTTGCAAATTCTTACAATGCCACTGATTTATGAGCCACAGGTGTGCCTCGAATTTCATTACAATTATCGTTTTGTCAATACCGATCGTTTTTGCCAAACCAAACATAGGTGATGGTCAACCGTCGCATCGTCATCATGGGAAGTTCCGATATCTCGCTGGCCTTGATTGATAAATTGGTCTACGTAAGTCTTTCTCTACAAAGTCGAAATCTGAAGACGAAGATCTGAAACCGCAATTTGCTTTTCTCAGAATGGATACCTGACTTGTACGCAAGTATACTTAATATCACCTGACGGGATCAACATTAAGGGTCCTCAAGATGGCCTAGTTAGCCATAGATGTTATTCTCATCTCTGGTACGATTAGCGTATCGACATGGATTGGTGATGTTCAGGTCACTTCGATTGCTTACCTTTTTGGTCTCTTTTACAGGTTGGAAGAATCAGGTCTCTCGCAATATACAACGATAATCAAAGACCATGCTACATCCATTGATCGTGTGTCGAAGCGAGTCAACCTGAGTGGTGGCACGTCGGTTGGATATGATTATCTCGTCATTGCTCAGGACTCGCAGTTTACCCTGCCTGCGAAATTGTCATCCTCGAATGTATATACGATGAACCCTAGTCAGTTGGACGCAGCGTGGGAGGCTGTTGAGGACTTTAGGAAGAGAACTGCCACTGAAGGTGGAGACAACCAAAAAGTGTTTGTGTAAGTATGATACTATTTCTATGATCCTTTTTCGGCTCGTGTTTTGTGCTCTTTGCTTTAGGCTTTGAATCTAAAATCTTCAACGAATAGTTATGGACGTGATATACAAGCATTTGCCACTATAGAAGGCCTTTTAAGACGCGGCATTCAAGGAAAATCGATTGTGCTCGGTACCCCGACATCATCACTAAGTTGTTTCCCTGACAAGAGAGTTTTCGAAGTCGTATGTACTGGTTTGTCTGTTTGTTCGAACACTTCCTAGTTGCTCTGCCTGACATTAAGTTGTGTGTTTTCTTGTTGTTACTAGATTTTGGCGTCCTTACATGCTCAAGGTGTTGTTTATGTTGAAGATGCAACTTTTATGGAATTTGTCAAGGACTTCGTGACTTTGGTAGGCCATTTGCAACTTGTCATCCGTCTGAGTTTTATGCTAACTTGCACGCCTTAAGGATGTCAAAGGGTCTCCAAAGACCGTCGAAGGAGTATCTCTAGTCCTTGTAGCAGATACCAAAACACTCGATTCGGATACCTTTAAATGCTTACATTCGAGTAGTCTCGTGGTTGATGGCCTTTTGACCATCGATGAACATTTCAGAACAGACGATATATTCATGTGAGTGCGAGAGACTTTGACGCAGATTCTTTTACCGTAACGAGAATTTACCTATAGATTCTCTGCTGGAAACATTACTCGTCCTAAATCGAGTTATAAAACCCGATGGTCACACTCGCCGTTTGATTTACATGAAGTTGGGTCTCGATTGGGCGATTTACTACTTCATCTAGTGAACCCCCACTACTTCCATGACGTAACTCCGTCGACAAGGATGGAATTTAAAGATGCTAAACGGGTAGAGGCATATTTGCCTGGTGGGTTGCATTATCTGCATTTCGCTAAACCTGCTCTTGCTGGATCTGAACCGACACCTGTAAGCCACAACTATGAATTTAATGGCTTTTGTACGGCCACAGCACTTGACGCACTGGTTTTTGGTTCGAATAGGGCAGAGATTTGATTATTGATAAGCCAGAGCTGGGATTCTTCAAGATTCGAATAGATACTCAACATTTCATAGAGGCGGTCACTTATCTGGGTCATCGAGAGGTCCCTGTAGATAATTATTTGTGCTTGTATCAATTGGATGAAAAGTATTTGAACCACTTGGTGTCTAGATTTGATGAGGGAATCGTAGAGGACTTTGTTGGGTAAGCGTTTCACTTCTAAAACCGTTTCCTGGAACATGCTTTAATACCACAGGTATCCTAGTTTTTTGAGTCAAGCATGGGCTCTGCCTATATACCATGACAAGTTTGCTGACTACGTTGCCAAGACACGAGATTTGGTTGTTTCGTCCAATAATGATGCTTTTAAAGGAATTATGAGCAAGCTAGAGGCGTCTCTTCACTTGAAGGTATGTATTTTTCCAAGAAAACTTGATGCACGGAAGTCGCTTGAATCACTCTTTGTACTCATTCGTGTTTTCGCATTTAGTCGAGTCTCAATCAAAATGAATTATATGAATCGCTAGTCAAATCTGGTGGTGCCTCTGCATGGGACGAACGTATTTACGATTTCTTATTGTCGTGTGAAATATTCGAGTCTTTTCCATAAGATTTGTGAGATTATATTGAGAACGTATTTTTGTGTTTATACAGGAATGTACCTAGATGTTTTAAGTGACAGAAAGTTTGGTTTAATGAGATTCTATTGACTATGACTATATAAAAAATGTTGTTTTGTTCTAAAAGAGCCCAGCTAAATTGAAGAATTATTGAATGTCAGATCTCAGTCACACGAATTATCAAACATGGTTCAATCAACAGACATGAACAGCATACCCTTCTTTTTTAATTCAGTTCTCTTCCAGAGCGGTAGGGCAGAGAACTTGTCCTTATCCATCTTGAAAACCTTTTGTAGATCCTCTGGTGACATGAAATCTTCAATACGATTTGGATCTACACCAGGTGGCAATTCATCCTTCTTTTTGAGTAACTCGATGGGGTAGGTTGTGGTTCGCAGCTATTAGAGAGAGACGGAGGAATTTAGAAGGATGAAACAAACGAGTTCTAAACACAACAAACACAACAAAAGCAAGCTTTGACGAAGGTATCGTTGCTTACCTGAACCAATATCTCAGGTACGAGTTGCAAAGCACCCTTGTGAGCATCCCCCTTTGGGCGAGATAGGGTTCTTCTAAACTTTTTCAACTAGAAGGAACCGAGGCGTTGTATTGGAAAAAGTTGTGTCATTCACTTAAGACAACCAAACTTACGAATCCTTGAGACTCTGAGAAATCTTCTGCACCATCATCATAAGCAGTGAAACACGTTCTGAAATTTGCTGGTTCAGCACCAGATCTCACAAAGAGGCATTTTGTTCCATCGATTCGACGCTGTGGTTGTTTCTTGGCTACGTATGAGACATATTCCTAAATACGGAAAAGAATTAGTCGTCGCCAGTCGGGAAACCCCCGTTACAGCCCCAGATGACGAGACACACCATGCAAGTCTCCAATCCCAACTTGACATCCTTAAAGTTGGATTTGGCTTCTGATCCGACCCAGACAAACATTTCAAAGAATGCGTCCAGTATAAACACGGCGGATTCTTCCAGATCGTTTTGGGTATAATTTTCGACTTCTTCAGCAGTAGGGTTTCCATTCTTGAGACCAAACGATATTCTGAAGAGGCGTGTCTTATATGAGTCTGGGAATTTGGATTTCAGACTAAAATAATCGGCTGATGCGTATTCTGGAGTCTTTCTGGTCGAGTTGGGAGCTAGCTTCTCAAACCATATCTTGGGCTCATTTTGTTCTTGGATTTCTTGGATTGGTCGTACATCCTGAAACGAGATAGAGGAGATTTAGTTTAGAAAGCAGACAAAAAAAGACGAAACGATGTGGTTATGTGACGGATAACCCCGACTTCCACTCAGGTAGCTTACAGCAATACGTTTAGCAACCTCATTGGCTTTAGCCTGCTCATAATCAAACGATCCAACACCATGCCAGACTATCACTTGATTCTTCAGTGCAAGCACAAAGCAGTGTGCAGAGGAAAGTGAAGAAGCATTGAAGATGGTTTCTTCGCATCTGACCACGTCACGGCATACAGCTCGAATATGGTATAGGGCTTTGTCTTCATGAATAAAGGACTTGCGGAATCCTTTACGAACAATGACAAATCCTCCCAACATCTTTAAAAAGTGTGAGGGCTCTTGACCTTGTCTGACTCGTACTTGTCGAGCGCCTGCTTTCTTTGCTATGTCTGCAGCGGTGTAGGCAGCGTTTGCCATATCGCTCTGATGATTGTCAAGAAGAAAAATGTAAAAGAGTGTGCGTGAAAAACAACCGCGTCGGGCAGTTGAAACATGACTTACACTCTTGGTCTCAGATCCAATCCAGTAGTACATGACAGACACTTCCTTTGGACTTTCGGGACGTCCAGTCAAGTGTTTGTACATAAAGGTATACGATTCACCAGCATAGAGGATTTGAGCTTCAGTTGCATCAATGGATTTCGAGGTACCCTTTTCTTCAAGTACTAGGACTTCAAGGGATACGACTCCAAGGTCTTCTTCTGGTTTGGGGGGACCTCCTATATCCGGGTCTTCGACCACGTCCCATCTCGATGGAGGGCCTGGTGGATCATACATTGCTTCGACATTGACCTTGTCGATTTTCTTCACGTCCCCTGTGTAGAAACGAAAGAATATTGGCATGCAAAAAAGGTACTAAGCCGTGAAAACTTGTTGCGCTTACATCCGCCACGATCATATACATATCGACTCTTGTCCTTGGCTGCAATGTTTTTCTGTAGACTAACTTCGATTTTGAAGCCATCAGTCCAGTCCATGAATCGCTCCTTGAACAGTATACGTTCTGCAGGATCTCTTTCAATGTCTAGCACCACGTTTGCTGGACGTCCTTCAGCTTTAGATAGAGACTCAGCAAACGCAGTTGCGGCATTCCGTTCAGATTCTGGCGATTGGCGACCATGCCACACGAAAATTTCGTCATAGCAATCTACAATAAATGAACCACCACAGTGTACATTCTTGGTGGTGAGTGTTTTGCCATTGACTAGTACTTTGAATTGTGGGTTTGAGGGATCGGATTCTGGGTCAGCTCTAACAAGAACGAAAACATAAGAATTCAGACTGAGTTGCCCAAATACAAATTACACGGACGCATTCATGTCGTTAAAAGTACTTACCCATATAAGAAAGTCATGGATTCCATTTGCTTTTCGTACTCCATGTCGTCTCCACCTTCAACAGCAGTCTTCATGGTTGAAGGGGCCGAAGGAGATCCAGCGATAACACGCCAGAATTCAGCTGACGAAAAGTTCTCCACTCCTTGTTCTAAATCACAAAGGAAAGAAAATGTCAGTCGCACGAATAGTTGGGCCTGATTGAGATGGACATACCCAGTTCAGCAATAACACCCTTCTTGCCCCACTCTCGATCTTGAGTTCGATACACAACTTCTTTCCCCTTAGCCCGTTTCACTGGGCCAGCGTCTTTACCATACCACACAAACAGACTTGCATTGTTAGGGTCACCATTCATGGAAGGTGTGAAAACCATTCCTGAATCAGTTCTTGGTACTTCAAGAATGAAGACATCACCTTCATTCATAGACGCAGCGGAAATGGGTACTCGAACAGTGTACATTTTACGTTTACCCTTGACTTTGAGTAGGGATACCTCACGTCTTGCTACAGCTCGACCGTATTTTCCAACTGAGGGAGCAGCCAGTGACGATACCGGTCGTGTCGACAAGTTAGTTTTGCTGCCTGTGGGTGCGTCACCATCAAAAGCACGTGTGCGCTCAGCAATAGTAGATGAGACTGCTGCTGGACTCCAATTTGTACCAGTTGGTGAAGTTGCTTCCTTGTGGGCTTCTTGAGAGGAGCCATTGCCCATGATGGATAGGATAGAAGTCTCAAAGGATGTTGGTCTCTGTTTCAACTCTTCATCGTCACGAGTCATTGCTGACAGCAAGTTGTTTTCAAACAATGTAGCTGGCAAAGGTGGTTCGCTGCCATCTTGATTGAAATTATCAGTGCCCAATTCTTCAACGGATTTGATTCTTAGAGAGGTTCCTTTACTGATAGACGATGGTTTTGGAGTAGCACGTGAAGTAGCTGTAATAGTCTTGTTTCGATCTAATCGTGCACCGGCAGCTTTAGGTGCAATTGTTTCGGGCATCGGTGCAGGTTCTTCGGATGCACTAACACTTCTATCTTCTGATGATTCCTTGTAGATCGTTTTACGATCAGAAGCCACTTCACCGTTTTGATTTGAAGCGGTTGCGGAATCAGCACGAGCCTTCAAAAAGCTGGCAGATGGTGGGCGACGTTGTGGTCCAGTACGAGGTGATGCGCTGCCCTGTTTTCGTTTGGAACGAAACGTTTGAGGTTGACTTTCCACTGGATGATTTAAACATCATAAACTTACAGTTCGAGACGCTCCTTCGGCAGTAGCTGATTGAGGAGACAAGGGAATCGCTTCACCTTCTTCGACAGAAGACTCGACTTGAGCAACCGCAGCATCTGGTATAACTAAAGGTTCGACGGCCTGGGTATCTTCTGTCTTACTGGCAATAGGTAATGTGAATGATTCATTTGTCAAAGGACTAGATGGTGCCGATGACGAATCAATAACCGCCTTCATGAGGTCTTCCAAAGTGTTTACAGATTCTGGCTCTTTGGCTTCAGCAATTTGAGTTGGTTCAGCGGTTTCGATTTCAGGAGTCTCAGCCTGTCGAACATCCGTGACTGAACCTAGAGTCTCCATAGATTGCTGAATTTCAGGTGTTGGTTTGTTCGATTGTTCGATTTCGTCCAATGTAATGGGTTGGGTATATGCACTGATCACGCAAAGCAAAAAAAAGCTCAGTTAAACCTCCTGTATGGCATTGTAATTCTGACAATGTCGGCGAACTTACGATGGCAGGAATCCAACTTGATTCGTCCCATAACGGCGAGCCTGCCACCATCTATCAAACACGAGTTCAAGATCAGCATGCCGAAAAAAGGAATATATGTACCGTCGATACGAACCCTTCATCTTGTTCCAAGATCTCAAACACATCGCCAGCTGCAAAAGTGAGTTCATTTCCTTCAGCATTTCCTTCGAATGGATGAGAAGCCTTTGCATAACAGATTACGGTCGTACGTTTTGGTGCGGCAGGTGGTTGTTGTTGACTGGAGATTGTGACTGATTCGACAAGTTCTGGTGCTTGCACTGCGGTTTCAGCAACAGGTTCTAAAATATTAACTACAGCAACTGGTGCCTCAACGACAGATTGTACCGAAGCCTCGACTGGCTCAACAATTGACTCCACAATTGATTCCGTAACCGATTCTGCAACAGGCTCTACGATTGGTTCAATAACTGATTCGACAATAGGCTCAGCCATAGGCTCGACAGGAGATTCGAGAGGTGCAAGCTCTATGTCCTGAGGTACATCACCCATAATGTCATTGACCTCTTCGACAATGCTGTTGTTAGCTAAATCAGCGGTAGCCGAATCAATTGGTGCATCGTCAGGCTTGTTGGAAGCTGCAACTTGCTGTTCGGTGTTTGAGGTTGGTTCTGCAATGACAAGTGACAGTCTAGGTTCGTGTTGCGTGGCTTTGGACATTCTTGGTTCGTTTGAAACTACCGGATTTTCAGCCACGGCAACAGAAAATACTTGAATTGGTTGACTGGTAGTGCTGTTTCTGATAACACTGGATCGTTTGGTGTTGGCATTGGCAACAGCGAGGCTTTCAGCAGCAGCTTCGAATTTAGCCTTGATGTCATCAACATGAGCAGCAGCTGGAATCTTTTCAGAGTGTAGTGATGATGCGACTGGTTTGGGTGCATCATCATGTTTCAATAAGTTTGCCAAAATATTTGAAATCTGTGGAGATACAGGTGATGCTGGTCTAGCCAATTCCAAGCCAGTAAGTTTAAGAGCATCGGTACGTGGTTCTCGCATAGAGCTGGTACGTTTGAGACCAGCGTCAGTAGCAGAAGCGGAATTGTTTCTCTTCATGCCACTTTCGGAAGCTGAGTCTGGTGTTCTGACTGATGAATGTCGTTTCAAACCAGTGGGAGAAGACCCGGTATCGAGCAGTAATGAGACTGGTCTGCTGGACGGTTTTGGTGAGGATTCTACGACTGTCTCAACGGCAGCTTCGTATTTGACTACGAGATCTGATACATGCGAGCCAGTATTTGGTTGTGATTTTGTTGTAGTTGGCAGAGCAACTGCAGGTAAGTTTGGCGAAGCGGTAATGCTTGGGGTGGTAGGTCGTAATGGGGAAGAAGGTACATCCATTCCTCTTTGAGAAGCTGGGCTTGAACTACTAACAGGTCGACTGGTGTCTATCCCACCAAACATGCGCACATTAAGCGACGTAGCGGGTGATTCTACACCAGGACTTCTCATGCTGGTACTTGATCGATTAGGATTTGAGACTTGTGATAATCGTAATGATACTAATGCTTCTGAGGCAGAGGCGCCTCTTGGCCCACTCGTGCTTGACTTCCTCTTCAATTTTGAATCTCTGGCCTCGACTTCAGCTTCTTCCATCAGTCGTGATAATCGTTCTTGATCTCTGGCTTTTGCATCTTCTAGAGCTCGTTTCCTAGCCTCTCTGCGTTCTTTACGTTCAGCTTGGAACGCTAGCAAGTCATTTTTGGCAGCCATTGAAGCAGACCAACCATCTCTTGATACTGGCACCGATGAGAACACCGAGTCACTTGTACCAAAATGACGGTCTCCGATATTTTCAGAGAATGCGGGTTCCATAATAGCACCATTCAGTTCCATTCTCGAGAGCTTATACGCTGCTTGGTCGGCCGTTATACACTGAATGTGAGCCAAGTCACCAGAGGGTGATCTTCTAGGTGTTTGGGCAACTGAATTGGCTTGAGACATCCTATTAGCTCTCTTCACCTCGAGCTCCTATTTGTGATTATGAAGTCAATAGGAGTCACGTGGCAGCAGGTTGTTTTTTCGCGTCTTGCCTCTTCACGTCTCTTTATCCCATCTAATCTCATTTGATGTTCTCTCTCTCTTTCTCTCTCTAGTATGGCTCTTGCTTCAGACATGTGATCTTCTTCATCCTTGATTTTTTCGTGTAGTTGCGCATGTCGAGCTTTTAGCTCATCTTGTCTTAATTGTGCTCGACGTTCTTGCTCTGCTAGTTCACTAAGCAGCCTAGCACGACGTTCTTCATTGCGTCGAGTTCTTGCCGCATCCACGGCGGAACTCATTTTGGATGCCTATGGAGTATGAGTTGAATGTAAGATTGCAGGAAGTTGAGGATGCGGTAAGAATAAACCGGTCACATAAAATGACGCGTACCTCGATGATTTCACTTGATGAAAACCGTCAGTCGGTGAGTGTCGAGTTCTTGAGATTCCTTGCGGTTGTCAAGCCCAATCACACGCAGTTCACCAAGATCCTGTCAAAGAAGGTGCAAAGTTGTAGGAGGCAGTAGCCATGCAGTATACGTAAGTTTTCTTTCCTTGCCTCTCTTGTATTGGGCCTTGCTTTTGTTTCTGTTGTTTTGAATGTTCCGACATTAACACTTGCCTCACTCCAGCTATGATGAGTCGGGTGCCACGTTCAATTACTTTGTCTTGTCTGTACTCTTCATTCTACTATTGCCTACTACCTACTCCTACCTCTCTTCCTCCTCCAAAGGTGTCGTGTCGCAATTCAAACATTTCAACATTTGCTGCTTTCGAGTTGCGATGTTGTGATTCGAACATTTCGTAACATTTCTCATCGTTATAGTAATCCAGAGCAAGGGAACTTGTGATTGTGAAGCTTGTCTGCAAAAGAACAAACAACAGGCTGTCAACGCCAAAAGGGAAAAAGGCTTCTCTTGGACGTAATAATATCTGTGTTTATGATCAGATCATATTCTATTTCATTCATTTACACCTCCTTTTATATTCACAGGCCAATACTCTTACTCTTTGGATGGGGTTTGCTGTCTTTTGTTGCATATCAAGCAGCGACCACAACAATTGAACAGACACTATGGGATCCATATCAAATCATGGAACTAGATCCAGTAAATCTATGCAGATATTTGAATGATATCGCTGCAGTGGAATCATCTCATCACATATATCGCAATTCTAGGGAGCATCCGTCTCTGAAATCAGAAAGCAATACAGGAAATTGAGCTTGCTATGGTAACGCAATGGTTTGACGCTACAGCACTAGACATCACTAGTTTGACACTGGATACATAAATTAGGCATCCAGACAAGGTCGAAGAAGCTGAGAAAAATACATCAGAAGCTCATTTCATAGATATATCCAAGGCATACAAAGTGTATGTGGAATCGTTACTTGTCATCGCGTGGGCCTTGTTGACCTGTTTCATGCTGATCAACTAGATTGACGGATGAAGATGCACGAAAGAACTGGGAAGAATTCGGACATCCTGATGGCAAACAATGTAAGACCTATCACACTACAAAAATGACATGACATGGGATGAACCACTGCCTTTTTAGCATTATCATTGGGTATCGCACTGCCAAGCTGGCTTGTATCAGAGGGCAGTAGCTCAGTCGTGCTACTCATTTATGGACTTATTTTTGGTATTGGATTGCCTGTCGTAGTAGTACGTTGAGAGACGATTTTTTAAAGTGTAATCTGCGGCGGCGACGCGTTCCTCGGCCCTCAAAATCCTTTTTGACTTGTACAGGCGAGATGGTGGGGCACAACGAAGAACATGACCAAAGACAAGTTGATGATTGATACTATGAATGTATTCTACAAGGAGATGAAGGACATGATTCCTCCGAAAGGCATGCATAACGTTACTGCCGTTGTTTTTCCACCTCTAATCTGGGCTTTCTCAAAACAGCTCAACTGGATTTGATCACCATCGCTATGGAATTCCGATTCAAAGTCTTGTTGTTTGATCCAAAAAGTCCTGATCCAGCTGAAGTCAAAGTATGGTTGCAGTTCTTTACTTTCGACTTGAGAAGGTGTTTCCATGCTGGACTCAGGAACTCACTCGCTTTGTCATTTTCAATACTCCCAGCTTGAGAAGCTTATCAAAGAAGCGATGGAAGAAAAGGGTGGTGGAGACAAATATGAGAAGCCTAAACGAGTGAGTTGCGCAAGCACTACTTCCTTAGGAAGCCAGACTGATATTCCCCCTCTGTTCTCGTAGTATACACAACAAATACCTTGGTCGGGTCGAGTTTCACTGTTACTATATTCACATTTACTTCGTGTTCCGGTGGACAATTCTTTTATGGAAGAGGGTAAGCCAATTAGTAGTGTTGAACCAGCAAATCCATGGATTCAGCCCGTTTTGCGTACTTACAATAGAGAGGACATTTGTGGTCGAGAAATGTGCTAAATTGATGAATGGGTTGTTACAAATCGCTCTTGCACGATTCCATGCAACTACCATCTTTACCATTATCGAAGTTGGTCAAGTGAGTGCACCTACACCGTCACCATCATCCGCCTTTCGTTCGCCGAACTTTTTGTTGTCATCCAACGGACGTGTGCCCTCGAAATTACTAGTTTATATATCAAGGACTCTACTTTAAAGAGCATCCCCTTTTGCAGCTGCCTGGAATCAAAAAGGAGCACATCAGGCATTTTGCTGCAAAGAAGGTAAAAATAATTTCTTGCTACTTTTCCTAAAGCGATGCCCATAGCTCACACGGCTTTTTCATCATTCAGGTTCAAAACATGAAGGATTTGCTTAGTCTTGATGATGAGAAGAGAAAGTGAGATGTCGCCAAAAAAAGACTACGAATCATTTTGCAGGTACTAACATCGCCTCGATAGTACTTTGATGCGATTCTTATCCGATCCTGAACGTGATTTGGCTATATCTGTGGCTAGACAATATCCTCTTATCGTCATTGATCAAGCTGATTTCGCTGGTGGGTATTTGTACTGCCTTGCTGACAGCATAACTGTCACTTTTTTGTCAGTTAACACTCCAATTGTTTTATATTAGTTTTGGGTGATCCAGCCATCACTCCAGGTTCCATTGTGACTTTGACTATAGTGTTACGTAGAGTGAATACTATGGAAACGACAGAAACAGGAACATTGGCTGAGAGCATACTACCCAATAAGGACACTCCAGTTGAAGAAATGGCTCCTAGAGCATGGTGGAAGCCTGAGCAAGTTGGGCCTGTTGCTCATACTCCGTTATTTCCCAAGGTATGCCAAATTGCAGACGTGTCGGGGACAGTGGACGAGAGATAGAGTGAAGGGGAGAGAGAACAAAAGTCGCCTCAAGCTACAATATGCGTTTCCTGACGAATTCCTTAACTTTAACTTCTTTGCCTTTTTCCGACCGTCGTAGGAAGTCCCAGAAAAATGGTGGATCTTCCTTTGTGATTTACGAGTCAACAAGTTTGTGTGTCCACCCGGTCGAGTTAATGATTTGAATACACACAAGACGATACGTTTCCAATTCCAAGCACCGCCAAAGGAGGGCAAACTATCATTACACTTGTTTGTCAAGTCTGAATCTTGTCTTGCATGTGACATCAACGCTCATGAAGTCAAGGTGAAGATATTATTAACCGCTTCCACGTTGGAGGTTTTTACGCTGAGATGAATGCACATTAACATTATCATTTGATCGTTTTACTAGTTGGTGGTTGAACCTCCATCTGCAATCCCGAATGAACAGGAGGAAGATGATATCTCAGATCCAGATGAAGATACAATTGCAGGTACATTATCTCTTCGATAACAGCCGTTTTTTTTGTTGTCCACTCACCCTCACGGTTCTTTTGCTCTAGGCCAATTAGCAGCTGCACGAAGTATGTCCAGTGGGCAAGCACCTGCTGCAAAATCTCAACCAAAATCAAATGGCAACAACGCCAACAACAAAAAGGAAGCAGTACAAGACGATGATTCATCAGACTCGGACTCTGATTGAGATCACAAGTACAAAATCAAAGGAGCAAGCAGTCTCTAGACAAATCATTTTCCCCTTTGTGTATAGCGCTTTATTTCTTCGCCTTATAAATGTCGGATTGCCATGTGATTATTATTGGTTGAGTTTATGTACAAAAGTTCTGGGTATTGCTTTTGCATGCGAGAAAAATAGTTAATGTTGAGGAGGCCGCACTAGACTATAACAACCCTTCCATCTCCTTCATAAATTTGTCATAGTCTTTATCAATTGATGCGTTAGGTTTGGTTGCACCACCACCACTAGTGGTACCTATAACATTAGCCTTCTTCTTGACAGGCTCAACCACAACATCCTCATCCTCCTCTCCATCAATAGAAGGAGCCACATTAACAGATTTAACAGGTGCTCCTCTCTTTCTCAACAACTGTGGCGGAATGAATTTCGTCAATTCCTTTTGCAAGTCACGGACTATTGGGGCTGCTGATTTGACTGCGTTTGCGTCTGGTTTAAGGAGTTGTGGTCTTGGTGGCTGTTGTTGTTGCTGATGTGGCTGCTGGTGATGCTGCTGATTATGCCATGGTGGTGGACGATGCATGAGCGGTGGAGGCATTCGTTGCTGCATTTGTATTGGTGGTGGTGGATACATTGGGAAATTAGAGCCTGGTGGTGGTGGTGGTATTCCAGGTGGTGGCATTCCTGGTGGGAATGGCATGAATGGTGGTTGTCCTTGGTTGAAAATAATAGAGGTAAGCCCAATTAACAGGGACCAAAAAACTGGATTATTGCGTGTAATTACCGTAATATGGCATTGGTGGAGGAGGAGGCATATAATATCCAGGTCTAGGTGGCCGATTCATACTGCTATTACTGTTGTAAAATGGTGGTGGTGGAAAAGGCGGTCTATTTAATATTGGCATTGGTATTTGTGGTGGTGGTGGTGGTGGAGGCCGAGGTCGTTCTATTATGGTTGGACGATGTCTGGTTTCAGGCACGTCTATAAAGGCGTAAACTAGAGCTTCTCTGTCTAATGGCGGTGGTTGTTTTGGGATGGGAAGTTTAGACAAGTCGTCATATGGGAGTGTTGGCTTTTCTGTAAAGAGAGAAAAGAATTACTGACGTAGCCATAATAGAACGCCACTAACTCAGGGTGAATTACCTTCTTCTTCTTTCTCATTATCAGCTTCATCAGCGGACTCTTCATCTTCTTGAGATTCTTCTTCCGAGTCAGATTCGTCTTCCTCCTCGTCATCGGACTCCTCTTTTGCTTGTTTACTTTTACCTGACACATGCGAGCAAAGAAACTCGGTGAGGTTGTGCGACTAGTTGATGATCGGCAACTGATTCGCTCACTTGTATCGATAGTCCCAGGCGGCGGTACACCATATGGGTTGTACACAGGATGATAATATGGAGATTCTTCTGGCTTGCTCGATGAAGCTTGATTGTCTTTTGGAGCATCAGCTTTCAAACCCAGTTTCTAAAAGGGAATGCGAATAAATGAAGGCGAACGTGTATAGAATGAATGTGAATAGACTACCTCTCTAGCTTCCTGTCTCTTTTTGATTAGATCAAGAATCTCCTTCTTCCGTAGCTGTTGCTTGTATTCTAGCTTCCCTTCTCGTTCTAACGTGAGCGAAGGAGTGAGTCTATATGGTAATCATTGATCTTAAGCTCGATGCTAATGCACTACCTTGTTGTCGTAGTTGCGCTAGTTCTGTATCTAGCTTTCGAGTGTCTTTCGTAGCAGCAGCAATTAATCTCACTTGTTTCCTGTCCGCCTTGTTCTATAATGCGGAGAATCAGCAAGCTCGTAATAATATATGAAGTAGGGAATCAAGCTACTGCATACTTTTTTGACCTCCTTCTTCCTCTCGGCCTTCCTGTGAGCCTATTCAAAAATACAAAAGGTGTCAGTTGCTCAAGTTCACTTTCAAGCATATAGTAAATGTACACATAGATACAGAGTATGGGATCTCCTATAAGTGCTTACATCAGTGGGATTCAGAACTCTCTTGGCCATCTTTAGGCACCTCCTACGTTGGCAACAAACAACAAACGATGGAGTGGAATTTAGACGATTACAATCAAGCATCAAACATAGTCAGCGACGTGTCAGAACGTGTAAGATCACATTGTATGAAGAATGGAAATAGCAGATATCCTGGTAAATGTTTTCCCCCATACCGATTTTTAGGTCGGAGATTTTCTACGGCAATTTGCAACCTAGAACTGCAGAGGGCATAGAGACTGGTGCTGACAAGGCAAGATCCCAATAGCATTTCAGTAGGGAACTGCATTCCCAACCATATTTTGAACTGGATCTGTCCCATTCTTCCCTCCTCATCACTGCAGTTTGAGAACTGGTTTTAATACAGGCAGGCACACAGCATAGATCGAAACAAAATGTCAGAGTCTTATGGGAGAAGTGCTAATCCCAACCGGCTACCAATGGGAACTACTGGGAGATCGAAAGTGTGAGCTCCTTTGTTTATGGATTACTACTCATTTTGTTCTTGAGTTTGTTGACAGACGACAGACGCGCATTGCAATTTATAAACCGACGCTCATCATCTACCCTCTTCAGGTGGACTAAAAATGCTACCATTCGCAATGCTGGAATGACTCTCAACGTCCCGAATCGTGGCCCTACTGCACATGGAGCTCGCACTTCCGTACTGCTATA